GCCAACCACAGGTATGATTTATACTTTTTGTTTCTGTGCATTTCTCATGTACATTTATCATGTATCTGTTGCTGCAAGCAGGACATTTAGATACAGTCAGGGAGAAAGACCTGGGGAATCCTGGGAAAACCTACTTTAGAAGTCACACTTGCCCTGGGGTTTGTTACTGCTTGCTTGTTTATTTAGTAACTAACTGGACTGCTTTCGGGCAGGCTTTTTGCCCTGCTATGTGAAGCCTCTGGTATAATATCCCTCAGCACAGTCTTGAATGTGGTCATTTTCCTTGATAGTGGTCTTAGGAAGAATCTCTGTCCCTTTACCTGATCACACCCAAATGATTCAGTGTCATTAAATTTGATAATTGTTCTATTGTTACTGATTTTTTTTAGGTGTAAATTGCTCCAAATCTTACCACAAAGCGAGTTAGTTGTTACAGTCAGTGTTTGTTGAGGGCTCTTCAGATATGCCTCTTTGCCTGGGTCTCTGTGATTTATCTCTTAGGAAACAAGTGGCCTTTTGTTTACCTCAAAGTTCATTGATTTTAGGAATGCCCTTAGACTTAAACTTACCTATATTCATCTTCAAACAAAGTTAATTCCTTTGAAGATAATTTCAGAACTCTTTATGTAAAGCTTGTCTTTATCCCTAGACAAACTGTCTGGGGGAGCTATAGAGCTGAAGCCAGGGCAGGGAGAGTGGCTTGCTTCCTCTACAGTGAAATCTTACTCTAGGTAGGGCTGGGCAGTGAAAGTAGCCTCCAGCCCTCTCAGCTTGCCTATCCTAGCTTTGAGACTCCATCCTAAAGTGAGCTGGGCTGAAACCACCACAGCCATCCTATTCTTGATATACACACAATTGAGGTGAAGCATCCACCCTGGAACCTTGGAGGCCAGGGCAGAAAAACCAACTTTTTGGCTGTGCTTGCCTGTACCTTAGCTCATCAGAGGGCTGAGGAGCTGAAAATGCATGACTTTCCCCTTTCTGGAATTACCATAGTAATTATCATAGTCATTCCCAGAGCTGGGGGAGATGAGAGCTATGCACTCTTGGACATTCCTGCCTGGGATGGGTAGAATGTTAGACTGATCTGATAGCAGAAAGAGCTGGGGGTATGATTCAAATGCTACATATTCAATATTTGTCTCCAATTTCAGTAAGCTTTCTTGGATAAGCATCCCATCATCTCCTTAGGTCAATACTGAGAAAATTCAGGACCGAAGTGGGTATGATTATGCAGCAACTGTGGGTGAAAGGCTAGAGGCAGATTGTCCCAAAGATGCCACAGACTGATGATCAGTAGGGAATGATGTTCACCAAGCCTTGACACCAAATAAGTCCCTATACCTGAACTAATCTTTCAGGCAGAATAAAGGATTAGAGAAACCACTGAGTTGCAGAAAAATAATGACTTTCTTGTGGCCCTAAAACTGTGGATTGTGACTTAGATCAACTGTAAAATGATAGACAATTCTTTTGGTGAGTCTGTCTGATAGCAGAAAGGAGAGAATGGGAGGAAAGGAGAGGAGAAGAGAAGACACACACACACACAGAGAGAGAGAGAGAGAGAGAGAGAGAGAGAGAGAGAGAGAGAGAGATTGTTTGAATGAGAATGATCCCCATAGGCTCACATGTTTGAATATTTGGTGCCCAGCTGGTGGAAGTGTTTGGGAAGGATTAGGAGGTGTGGCCTTATTGGAGGAAGTGTGTTGCTGTGGGTGAGGGCTTTGAGATTTCAAAAGCCCAGAGCTGTGCCCAGTTAAGCTCTCTCTGTTTCCTCTTTATGCATCAGGATATAATCTCTCTCTCTCTCTCTCTCTCTCTCTCTCTCTCTTTCTCTCTATCTCTCTCTCTCTGTCCAGCCACAGCTTCAGCACCACACCTACCTACTGCCATGCTCCCAGTAATGATCATGAACTCTAACCCTCTGGAACCATGAGCCTCAAATTAAACTCTTTCTTTTTATAAGTTGCCTTAGTCATGGTATTTTACCACACCAATATAAAATTAACTAAGACAGATGGGAAACATCTTCCCCTCTTGAGTGAGAGGCAGAAGAATATGCTCTGAGTGTTCACGAACAGGATTTGGTGGAGCAGTAAGGCTGAGGATGCCAAAGGGAGAAATGATTGACAGGTGAAATCCCTGAGACTGAAGATGGGACCAAGCTTCTGAGGTGTGCTGCAAGTCCAGGTTAGTTTACTACTAACCTGGTGACTGAAATTTCAATATGTAAACAAATAACACACACACACACACACACCATATACGTGTGAAGTAGGAACGAAGGTCATCTTACAAGATGATAGGATGATGAAAGGATGAGAGTTTTGGGAGATCACAAATGTAGGAAGGGTGAGTTGAGAAGTGAGAAAGTTCCTAGGTGGGGCAGGATGGAAGGTCCTAGGTAGCATTACAGAGTCTAGGTTCACAGGGTCTCATCGAGGAGATTCTAAGTGATCCACCCACACTGCTCATCTTCTCTGGAGCAGGAATAGAGAATATGGATGACAGGGCCATTAGCCCAAGGATTAGGATTATTTCAAAAAAAAAAAAAAAAGAAAGAAAGAAAACAGTTGCTTGGAATGACTTCATACCTTAAAAAACAATGAAAAACCCACATATTTTACATAGCTGCTAAACATATCTTTTCTTTCAAATATATGATATCCACTTTATATTCCTTTGACAGCTGACTACGTAGCTTGCTCCCACCGGCTTCTACAAATGAGAGAGAGTATGGCATGGTGGTTAAATGGGACTTCTGGAATTTTTTTCCAGATACAAATCTTGCATTTAGTGTTTTCTGTCTGTGTGACATCAGACAAATCACACACCTCTGCACCTCAGATTCCTCATTTGTGAATCAGGGTAAGGACAACAGTACCCTACCCACAAGGTTGCTGCGAAAACTAAGTAGGCCACTGCTATTGTTGCAATCCAAATGAATAAACTCTTCTAAAAGAACACCCCTTTCCTTCCCTTCAATTAAGGAGTCCTGATTGTAGATGGTTCTTAGAAAGCACAAGGCCCTCTGTGAGGTTGCAAGCCTTCTGCAGGCAGGATCTGTGATTTCTACCTGTTGGTTGCTTCAACACCAAGAAGACTGTTCTTAGATAAACTAAAGGTAAAGTGATACATGATGATGGGGAGGAGGATGATGAGGGTAACAGAGCTTCTCATCCTTGTTTTCCCTGTCATTAGACAGAAAAGGGAATAAGGGGTATGAAGCTAAACAGATTGCAGGGCAAATCTTACTTTTAGCACTGAGTAGCCTTAATGCTACAAATGAAAAGTACACACACACACACACACACACACACACACACGTGCGCGTGCACACACACACACGTGCGCGTGCACACACACACACACACACACTTTGGCAGGCAAAGACAGCAGGTAGCTATTACATGCTCTTCAGGTTGCACTAGCCTGTATCCTCTAGAAAGGAGGGGTTTTCCTCATCAACTTTATGCCACATTGACTATTGCAATAACACACCCAGATAATTTACAAATTTCTGACTGTGGGGATACCTGGAGAATAAGAAAAATGAAAACATCCTTTGATCATCAGGACAAGGGTCATGTATTTCCATCTTTGATTACAAAGTAATGGTGTGCACCCATCCGGCACACAAAGACACACCAAGGAACATCTTAAATATGTTACAAAAAATAATGCTGGCTAGTTCACAATGAAATCTTCATGTAGTATGCATTATCATACTTTTGAAAATGATTATTCAGCTGAAGCTGTGGAATACTGAATTAAAGAGAAGCAGGAGGAGGGGAAGAGACAAAGTGACGTTCAGTGTGGGAAATTTCATGTTACAAAGCATAGATTGTGCTTCTGAATTATTGTTTAAAAAAAAACTGTCTTTGAAAGTTTGCTTGAGGTATCTCTCCAACCTTGTGCCTATGGACTTATATCCCAGCTTGTAACCCCATACCGGTTGCCTTTCTAATGATGACTAGAATATTTGCTATTAAAAAATACCCAAACTTCTGAATAGAAAGTATGACCTCTGAGGATATTCTATGGCTGTCCCAAGGATGTGACCATACTTCTCACTACTTTTAGAATCCCTCTGTGGAGTCACATGTGGCATTGAAGGGTAAGTAGCACAGTCAGTACAAACATGCCTGTACACATATTTATCAGCACTCACCATATTCAAGCAATTTGACTTCAAATTACAGTTTGGGCTTTACTAAAAACCAAACTAAAAACAAAACAAAAACAGAAACAAACAAAAACAAACCACAGTTATCCCAATGAACAATTTTTCTAGTATGAAAGTTACTGGGGTTTTGTTTGTTTGTTTTTAACAAATGCATTTTCAGTGGCATATACAAGCTATCAAATAGGAACGACAGTTTAAAGTAAGAACAGAGCCTGGGCTTCCCAAGACAGATAATTTGGGGGCTAAAATGAGCTTAGCAGGAACGTTGAGGTTTTTATGCATAATGTTGAACTATCATTTAAACAACCACGTTATGTTCATTTTGTCCTTTGGACCACCGAATTCTATCTAGTAGTAAACGACCTTTTCAAAAATTCCGACGTGTTCAAAATAGACTCTAAATTTAAAATTTTGCACAAAAATTCCGGAAGAGGGCACCAATCTGTGTAATGCTATTTCAGCTCTCAGCGCCTACTAAGCACCCAAAGCAGGTCAGACAGGCAGATGATAGAATCTGGTTTCGTTGAATGCTGGTGAAGTACAGGGGTCTTCAAACAGATCCGAGGATCTTAGCTCTTTCAAAATCTGTTCAGTTCAGTTCAATGTTTTTTGTTTGTTTCACAGTGTGATTCCTGTAATGTGAGCTTTTTAGTAACTATGAATTCTATTTTTGTGGCTTTTTAGCACTTACACCTGACAATGTTTGGTTGTGTGGTTTAAGATTGGTTAAATTTTTGCATTTCACATTCCTTTTGGCACTTTTGAAGAGAGGAGTGTTCGTTTGCGTCTTTTATGTTTAAGAATGAAGTGGCTGTATGAAATCCGCAGTTCTCCCCGGATTCCTGCATCATTAAATGAGAGGGCTGGAAATCTGCTATTACAAGCTGTCCACCCCAACCTTTTTTAGAGGCTACTATCCCTAGCTTCAGATTTATGCTGTTTGCTGTCTGCTGCAACCGGATCTGGTGGTCCCTCTCGGAAGAACAGCACAACTGGGTTTTTGCGAGCCCACATGACCACTTCCCCTCCTGCCCCGCTAGTCGGGTTGGAAGAAGGCATCCTGCTGCAAGTCCCCAGCCTGCTGGCACAGCCATTTAGAAGGCGATTGCGGCTTCTGGCCTGCAAACCTAGGCCTTGGCTGGGTAAAAAAGCATCCATGTTCCTAGTCCTGTACCCCTCCTCACGGCTGCGCCCTAGGAGCATGGAAATGTTGGGGTTTCGGATGGCATAGATGACAGGGTTGATAGCCCCATTGGCCCACGTCAGCCAGACAGCCGCCACATTGAGCAGCGAAGGGGCCTGCGTGGCCTGACCCTGCCGAGTCGCAGCCAGAAGCACCAGGAAGCAGTAGGGGCCCCAGCAGCAGATGACGAAGATAATCATGATGAGCACGGTGGTGGCGGTGCGCACGTCGCTGAAGAAGCGCAGCACGCGGGCGTAGGTGGTCATCGGCCGCACGCGCACGTCGGACAGGCGCACGGTCTTGCAGATGTGATAGCGGCAGAAGCACATCAGCAGGAAGGGCAGCAGGTAGCAGGCCACCACCAACCCCACGCTGTAGGCGGCGCCCAGTTGCGCGGGGTCTGGAGAGGTGCGGTAAAGGCAGCGGTGGAAGCTCTGAGGAGTAGGGGGTTCCCGGGGCGTCCGAAGCAGCTCCCAGGGCAGGGAGAAGCCGAGCGCAGCCAGCCACGCACCGGCCAACAGCTGCAGCGCGCGTCGCCTGCCCAGCTTGTCCCGCGGCGGTCGCACGATGGCGCAGTAGCGGTCCAGCGAGATGAGCGCCACGCTGAATGTGGATACGATGCCAAAGCACGAACTGAAGAAGCGGCTGGCGGCGCAGAAGCTGCGCCAGGGCCCCGAGTCTCCTGGAGGCGCGAACAGGTCTAGAAAGGCGGCGGGTAGACAGAGCAGCGCGGTGAGCAGGTCGGACAGGGACAAGGACAAGATGAAAGCATTGGTGACCGTGCGTAGCTGCCGGTGCTTCACGATCACCCCCATCACCGCGCAGTTGCCCAGGCTAGACAGCAAGAAGATGAGCAGGAGCACGAGCGCCTGGGCGGCCACCGCCGCCCCATGCCACAACAGCGGTGCAGGTCCCCGAGACCCCACTACCTCCAGTCGGCCCGCATTGCTCTGGTTTCCCAGCGTTACCGTGGCGACGGCGCTGAACGACAGCGCGGCCGCGGTGGCCGTGGAAACCGCCCCGCCCGGATGCGCGCTGCCCAGTAAGGCCACGCTTGCGGGCGGGCGGCCGAGTGGCCGCGCCTGCTCCTCCATGGGGCCCCGTGTAGGCCGTCGCTCTGCTCATCCCGCAGCAGGGTGAAAGGCCGCACTGACCCAAGCGGCCACTGCGAGGAGTGGGTGGGGCTCGGCCGAAACGGGGCGGTCACCACCGGGACTGCTGGAACCTTGACGTGGGTTCCAGGCGTTGCCGAGGGAACCGCCTGTTTACGCAGGAACGCAGGGCGGGATGTCAGCCGGGTAACCCAGAAAACCAGCCCACATCATCTCCTTCCCCAGCCCCAGGCGACCCAGCTGAGGTCTGCGTGGCTGAGGGCTGGTATGGCCCACCTCCAGCACCCTGCTATGCCAGAGACAGCCAGACCACCCCGCATACGAATGGCAGACTGACCCAAGGTGTTCTTGCTCTTTCCTGTCGTGCACAGATGCCCAACTGGGAAGACTTTGTGAGGGGACTGGTGCTCTGGGCATCTCTGGTGTACACAGGTAGGAAAGGAAAGCAGTCGACATCCGGAGTTCTTGAACTGGGGGTGGGTAGGGGATATTACCAGTACCTCTGAATTTTGAGCCGGCAACAGAAACTTTGAGAGGGAATGTTACATGTGACTGAGTTCCAATCTCAGTTTCAGATGATGTAGCTCCGAGGACCAAGGATTTATATGGGTGGTGATGATGATGGCCCAAGGACCACTCTTTGAAAATTAGTGATGTAATTAACTTGTTTCAATAGATTCCTTCCTGACAATATTCCCGAGTCTGGGCTCCTCCCTTAAGTTTGATTCTGCACAGGTACTCTCAAGAATTGGAATGCGGTTCTAGGAGGGAATATATAATCGACTCACTGCTCAGGGTCCTAGACCTTGGGATGGTAACTGGTTAATGCATGGGGAAAGGGCAGAGAGAGGTGTAGGTTCCCCTGCTATTACAGTTTGGTTTCTGGAACGTGTTATGTGTGGCATATAAGGCATTTCCAGACACAGTCACTCTGGCAGATACTGGGTGGGGAGAGTCAGGACCAGGAAAGGCCTGGCTGCCCAGCAAAATTGCACCTCTAGATTGTGGCTATGGGGAGAAGCTTGATTCACCCCTCAGATTACCTATGCTCTTTAAAGCAACTGTTTGCAAAGTGTGGGTCCAGGACCAGCAACCTCAGCATCCCTTAAGAACTTTTAGCAATGCAAAAATCTGATCCGATACTGATCTGGAGAAGGTCCAGATTCTTGTGCTTCAACAAGCTCTCCGGAAAATGCTAATTGTTAGGAACTAGCAGCCAGCTGACCCCCCCCCCCCATGATGGGCGGGACGCTCATGGCCTTGTCATCGCTATGTCAGCTTTACCTGTTGGCCAGAGGACTCAGTTACGTATGCACAAGCCTCTTTTAAAGCAAGCGTGCCAAGTGCTTCTCTCTCTGGTCCCTCTCTGTTCCCTCTCTCTCTCTCTCCTGCTTTTGGTTGGTCACCAGCTACCCCTTTTTCTCTCCCCTCTCTCAATAAACTCCACATGGGTGCTGAGTCTTGTGTTTGTGTTTCTTAGGCATTAGCTGCACAGCAAAAAAACAACACTAATGCACCGGCAAGCTTGAGAAACTCTTAAAGAATGACTAGGACGCTTGCACGTCTTGGGACCCATATTTCAATGTATGCATTTAAGGGTTTCTAAGTACCAGCCGTACACAGTCTGGGTCAGGTCATTCCTGGTTGGTGGGAACTGTTCCACGAAGAGGGTCCTTGGCAGCATTTCTAGTATCTGCCCATTGGAAGCCAGCAGCACATCTCCCAGCTACAACAACTAAAGTTGTCTCCAGAAATTGCAACATTCCCCTGCAGGACAAAAGCAACAAATTCCAGCTGACAATCATCCAATATGAAAATATAGTACCTGTAGATTAATTTATTTAATTTATTTAGTAAGTTCAATCTTCAACCATTAATGCCTAGTTTTAGGAAACAGCAAATATGGGCCCTTGCCCCAAAAGACTTACAGTCTTAGGCAAACACAAATGCATTACAAGGAAATAAGTGTTTTTTTTTTTTTTTTTTTTTTTTTTTTAAGCAAGAATGAAATGCAATAGAGACTAAGTTGCTATGGTAGCTGATAAAGACTTTGCATACTAAATTGGATTACTGAGAAGAGGGAGGAGAGGAGATATAGTGAATGCAAACATGACATCAAGAGGTTAGTGTTGAAGTTGTGTCTGTTTCTAGGCTGCGTGCAATTGGGAAGTAAAAGGGAAATGCGGCGGTTTTCTTGGGACAGGACTTGCATGCTGTGCTATGGAGACTGAACTATGGAGGAGGAGGGTTTAATCACAGTAGCTGTTGACCTTTACCAAACAAGGGCCATAGTCTGGTACGCGGTTCAGAGAGGCAGCAGGAACCTCCCACCCTCCTTTTTGCTTTCTTCCTTGTCTGCACCGCCGCCGCCTTCCCCCTCTGCCAGTAGATCTCTTCCTACTGGAGCCCGGCTCCTTTCCCCTCTGAAGGCCCTGTCTCACTTCCCAGACTTCAAAGACTCGATTCCTAACCCCACATCTAATTCCATGGGCTTGAATGGGATCGCTTAGGGGCAGGATAGTGAGTGAAAAAGGAATGGATGCTGAATAGAATGCTAGGGGCTGGTTAAAACCCAGAAGCAGTTAACGAGCGTAAAGCAAGGCAAGGTGGGAGATACAGTAAGACAGGATGGTAAGTTTCCGGGTGTCATCTCAGTTTGAAAGCTCCTTGTGGAGGTCAGCTCTATCATTTACCTAAAAGAGAGACTTCTTGAGTATTTCAGAGTAAAGTGAAGTTCCTTAGTAAGGGCACTCTCACCTGTGAAACTTGGGCCCCATCAGGTAATTAACACAGATTTGCCAAAAAGTTTGTTACCAAAGGGGAGTCTCCCTCCAGACACCTCAAGAGTTAGAAACAGCTCAACCAAAGCCTTAAACTGGACTGGGACACAATGTGTGAGTTTTTGGGGGTTGAAGGGTGGCTTGATTCTTAAGGAATCTAGAAGGTTTGTAACAAGATGAGGGTGTGGGTCTTGGCTCACACAATTGCAGCAGCATCACATGCAATTGGGCGCTGAGGACTAACCCAAAACAGTCTGGAGAGCCTCACCCAGCCACTCTGTGGGTGACCTTTGATCTTTTCGTTAGAAATCCTGCTCCAATACAGGTACCACACTTGACTGCAAGGACTCAGCAGCAGTGTCCACCGTGGGTTTGAAGAACCCTTTGATGACTCATAACTGACAGGCCAAGAAGTTCCCAAAGGGTAATGATGCAGAAACCAGACAATGCTTACATACATAGGGAAAGTGTACCTAGAAGCTTGACTCCGGAGGGAAGGAGTTGGGGGTGGAGACAAGCTACAAAGTGGGTCAGGAGTCTTTGTCTCATCATCTTCATGAGGACACATGTAAACACGGGGCATACCACTGAGGGGAAGGAGGTTGTGGGTGCTATGGTTTGTTGATGAGGTAAGCCTTGAGATGGACTGGGTTACAGGGAGCGGTGTGGAAGCAGCCCCAGTAGTGGTCCTATTTGAAGGCCAGAGGAAGTGCGGCTGATCTCTCCCCAGCCTTTCTGACTCCAAGGAAGGCAGAGCGAAGGACAGGATAGAACAGTGCTTCTCAACCTTCCTGATGCTGCGACCCTTTAATACAGCTCCTCATGCTACTTCTGTAATTCTGCTACTGTTATGGATTGTAAATATCTGTGTTGTCTGGTGGCCGTAGGCCACCCCTGTGAAAGGCTCTTTAGACCCCCAGAGGTTGAGAACCACTGATGAGAATGCCAGATGTTAGGTAGTCCCAGCTTGTTGGAGTCCCAGTCCCTGGATTGACTATACCAGAGTGAGTCAACGTGCTTGTCCAGCATCTCCTTGTGTAAGTGGGATGAAGCACAATGGCACTGCGCAGGTGAGGCAGAGGGCTCTACCCTCAGGCAGTTAGTGGGGAATGTACTAACTGTAGACTATTCAAAAACAAGAAGGGAAATGGCTGAGTCATCTGCTTGTTATTACCACCAACAACTGATGGTTTCTTTAGGCTAGGTAATAAAGTTCCATGTCTCCAAAAAATGAGCCAATAAAGGTTTGCTGAGTGACAGAGCAACTTAACATGGATGAATTCAGTACTGATGTGCATAGAACTGAATTACAATTACAACCTCACAGAAGAGCCACTGAGTTGTCTGAGGGCATCGCAGTCAATGTTTCAATTTATGATGACGGACAATGATCCATTTTATTTTATTCCTGATTTTTAAAAAGACATGGGCCTCAATGAATTGGCTGATCGCAAACTTCACAATCTTCTTGGTTCTACCCACCATGTGCTGGGATTACAGGCATGTGTCCCCACACCTGGCTTTCAAGAACTAATTTTAACAGGCTCAAGGGTAAGTATTAACTGGCAAATAAAATGCTAGTAATGGGATTTTTTTTTTTTCATGTTCTAAATCTAGCAAGCAACTGGTTGTTGACAGTAAGGCTGACCCAAGGCTTTCTCAGAGGCCCCTGGGAAAGGACAAAAGGAACCTATTTTCATGTCCTTGCCCAGGGACAGACTTGGCCAGGTCCAGTCCGGGGCTGGAGCCAGGGTTTTGAAGGAGTTTCTATTCCTGGGAACTTGGCTGTCCCCACTGAAGAGACTGGAGTTATCAGCCCCAGGGACTGTGCGTGCTGGGCCAGTGATGCCCCTGAGGTATCCTGTGCTCCTCTGTGCAATACTACCTGATTAGCTTCCTGCTGACTTTGTCCCAGTGCATGATAGCTTTCTGCTAGTCCCATTTTCCCCCTGCAAACACTATTCAAGATGGTATACTTCTTAATAAATCTGTCTGGAATAAAACACAGCTTGTACAAGACCTCCTGAGCCCACCTTTCCTATCTTCTTCTTCTCTGATCTCCTGGACTTTGCTCGTCAGCACCTGTCTGTGAAGAACAACTTACAGGTCAAGGTCAGCTGGTAGAACATGAGATTCACTTCACTGTACAGGTTCAGAAATTGATTTTTACTTCACATCTGTATTTCAGTAATGTAGCATGAGTTGTAGAATCAATCCTTAGATCCAATGAATGTACCAAACACAGGGAAAACAACCAGACAACACACGACAAACAAAATAACCACTCCCAAACCAAAAAGCACCATTTTAGAGATGGCAAAAAATCTGGTCACCAGTTGGCCTTTGCAGCATCAGCCAGTGACTTTGAGGCACTTGGGTACCAGTGGGTGTGGATTACGGTGGGTCACGGCAGCAAAGGTGATGCCCCAGCAGCACCTATAAGAGGCCTGTCAAAGAAGCAGACTCCATTTGATCCTTCTAAGATTGTTTATGCCAAGTGTTGAGCACCTCCCAGCAAACCCCCTCCTCAGCATGCTGCTTTGCTTTACTCAAACTGGAATGTTAAAACAACGAACTCACAAAGTTTACTATTGTGTGTTCTTATAACTGAAGCTGTCATTCGAAGACACTTTAAGACAAAGCACTGTCATATCAGTACAGATTAAGTAACTAGGTCTTAATTTTGCCTTGCATGCTAATGATTAAAAAGTTTCTGAATTTTTAGCACTTTGTAAACCACATCAGTGATATTTATGCTCAAAGGGTTTGCAGATAGGAAGTACAATGCCTTGCAGTTAGCCATAGTGTTCTATTTTAGAAAGTGGAGAAAATTAGCCTACACGAATAGCTGGATGCTGATTTTCATGTGATACAGAGAGAACGTCACTTATTGGTAATGACTTTAGAAGGGAAACCTTAAAATGTATGGAAAAGGTCACTTGAGAAGAAAGCCATCCCTCAACGGGTCATCATCTTCCACTGTCAGGCTTGCTGTCCCCGTGTAATGGGCTTGCCCTGCAACTTCCACTATGACAGCTTTGAAGTCCCCGCACATTGCTTCCTGAAAAAAGAAGACAAAAGGAGCACACTAAGAAAACCCTGGTGGTTGGTATCTGAGGCTGGGCTCTTGGCTCTCACAGCTAGAGAAGCCCTCATGTTCATCTCTTAGGCACAGGAAGGTTTTTAAGGGGGTGAAAAGGTCAGATGTGTGTTTAGGTTAGCTGGAAAGGGGGGGCACATGGGACAGGGACTAGAAACCCAGAAACCTGCTAACAGGGGGAAAAGCTCTGATTCCTGACTGACACCTGGAGTCACTGCGCAGCAGCGAGGAGAGAGGGAGAATGCACGCCAAGTTGGAGATAGAACTGACTGCCTGGCGATGCAGACAGAGGGGATTGTGAATATGACAAATGTGACTGTGGTTTCCAGCTCGGAAGCGGCATTATTTACACCATTAACACAGATGAAAAGAGAGGGGAGGGAGTGAGAGAAAGAGAAGAGAGAGGTGGTTTGAAGGAGAATGGCACCATGGGCTAATATGTTTGGGTACAGGGTCACCAGCTGGTGGAACAGTTTGGGAAGGATTGGAAGAGGCATGTCACTGGGAAGGCTCTGAGGTTCCAAAAGTCTACTTCATTCCCAGTTACTTTTCTCTCTGCCTCCTGCTTTTGGACCAAGATGGAAGCTTCCAGCTATTGCTCCAGAGCCATGTCTGTATACGTATTACCACACTGCCTGCCCATCACGATGGTCATGAACTCCAGTCCTCTGGAACTGTTAGCCCCAAATTAAATGCTTTCTTCTCTAAGTTGCCTTGGCCATGGTGTCTTATTACAGCAATGGACACGTAACTAAGAGAAAAATGCATGAGAGAGAGACAGAGAGAGAGAGAGAGACAGAGACAGAGTAGAGAAAGAGAGAGAGAGGGATAGAAGGAAGGAAGGAGTTTTTAGTATGCAGAATTTAAGACACTTAGGTAGTAACTTAGAGATGAGTGTAGCGAACTGCTAAACTGTTAGATTGGACAGAGGTACAGGACAGACAGGGTTGAAATGCAGGTTTGGGACTTATCTTCAACAGATGATCAAGAACTGAAGTCCAGGAAGTAGATGAAATTGTCCAGTGTCATCGAATTGGAGAGAGGCTAGAAGGAAGCTAAGTACAAAATTCTGGGACCACCGAATTGGAAGGACTCCTTCAAAGATCCTGGAAGGCACAGGGCTCTTTGGTACAGTGGAGGAATGCAGTGTGGTGAGGAATGGGCAGATGTAAAACCAATAGCTGCTAATTTGCTGTGCCCTGAGTACGAAATGTCTCCCACAAGTTAATGTGTTTGAACACCTGGCTCCCAGTTGGTAGGTGCTCTTTGGGGAAATTGTGGACCCTTTAGTAGGCAGAGACTCCCTGAAGGGAATGGGTCACTGCTGGTGGGCCTCAATGTTTTATACCCAGCCCACTTGGCTTCCTGACAGCTGGCTTCCCTTTGCTGCTGTGTCTCCCTTGCCATTGTGGACCACATTCCCTTGGACTGTAATTTAGAATAAAACCTTCCATTGGGTATTTGGTCACAGAAATAATAAAAAACAGCCAATACAAAATCTTACTTGTAGTGTATTTGCTTTTCTAAATTTTAAAATAATAACCAAAATTAAAAGTAAAATGTCAACTATAAAATCCAGGTACAGTAGTTTCATTATCACTTTAATAGTGTAGGTTGGACCCAGGGCCTTGTGCTTGCCAAGCCGATCCTCCACCACTGTGGTGGCTTGAATGAGTATGTCACCGAGGAGGGCTTTGAGGTCTTAAATGACTCACACCACTCCCAGTGTGCTCTCTGCCTCCTGCTTGCTATTGGAGATGAGAGTTTTTAGCTGTTCCTGCTACCATGCCTATGATGATCTAGATTCATGTGAGGTTGAAATAAGATAGCATGCATAAAGTTCTTAGCTTGACTGGCACACAATAAAATTCCTAATAAATATAGTAGCTTATTTTATCTCCAGTCTCAGACTCTAAAGATCTAAAGATATCTATATTGTGTTCCACATCAATGCATAGAACATAAATGGTTTGGTGTATTATAAATCACTCAATATGTGGATGCCTAGCTTGAAGATAATTCAGTATTCGAGAGAACCCATAAAAACAGCTAAAGTAGATAGCTTGCTTCCGATGTTAAAAGACTCTGAGTGCGTTCATTCTATAACAGGTTTCATTTGCTGCTGAGTAGATTCATTGTTAGTACATTTGCATTTGATTTCATTACAAAACTTCTGTTTTTCACAACTCACATCTTTTATGTGCTACTATTTGAATCACAACACTTCCCCAGAACAAGTCAAAAGCTCTAATGTGGGACTTCTCAAATCTTTACACCTTAGTATTTGAGGACCTCAAGTTCTTCCTTATGCATGTTATACCTCTCAGCACTTATTGGGAATTAGAGGCATTTGTTCATCGCTTCATTTGAAAACAAACTGACTGTACAGTAACATAAATACACTTTATGGAAATAAAAAGCACTGTTTGCCAAAAAGCTTTAAATGAGAAAAGCGGCATCATTTTACAGTAGTGCAACGCCCTCTTGTGTCTGTCTCAATAGAAATGCTGGATCCTTGCCTGCTTCTGCATTTAATCATTCTCCTCTTGGGCTATCACCCATCATGTAGCCTGTGGAGAATACCCTCATTACTTCTGAGTGAGTGTCCTAGTATAATGATGAACATAGTTTTGACCCATGGAAAGCACAGTGGGTCAAACCAGAGCTGCCAACACTACACTGTGAATCGACTGTTGAACAGAAGTCTTTACAGGCCTGTCCCCTGCCCCTTCTGTCTTCCCGTGAAAGAAGCCAGAGTCACACTCACCCTCACAGCACGCCCCGTGAACACTGACCCAGTTACACTGCTTTTGAAGGCTCTGGTCTGATGCAGCTGCACAAAGCCCCTATGATACTGCAGAGCAATCCGGGCCGTCACTCCCGAGCCGGTGGGGCTTCTGTCGACCTGTTTCCAATCAGTAACGACAGGAACTGAGTGTTCTCTACCAGCTGCTTCTGGTGTTCAAGCCTAACAGTTGCAGTCTTGATACCTACCTGTTCGTCTGCAAACACGCAGATGTTGGTGGTAGGTTCCTCGCTGTAAACATCTTTCCCATCTGTTAAAATAGTTCCATACAGAAAACCAAGGTCTTCACTCTCAGGATGGTTGATTTTAAACTATAAATAAAATGACCATATGTAAATTTTTTTATTTGAATTCTGCCTCTAGAAATAATATCAATGACAGACTCTCAGACATAATTTTCTCAGTACATATCATTTATTTTATTTTATTATTTTACATGTCGATCCAGTTCCCTTTCCCTCCCTCTTACCCTCTCTCCCCCCTCACATGCACCCTGAGCCCCCTCCCCTCCCATCCCTCACCCCCATTCCACATGTAGGGCTATGCCATCCAGGTGGGGTCATGTAAATCTGTCAAGGCATTTGAAGTAGGGACTAGGACTTCTCTCCTGTCTCTAGGTTAAGGGAGTGTCCCCTCCATGGGGATGTGTCCGCAAGGTCCTTTTGTGCACCAGGAATACATCCTGGTTCCACTGTCTGAGGTCCCTTAGACTGCTCAGTCCTAGCTGAGATCCATATTCAGGGGTTCTGAGTCAGTCCCATGCTGGCTTCCCAGCTATCAGTCTGGGAGCCCGTTAGCTCCTCCTTGTTCAGGTCAGCTGTCTCTATGTGTTTCTGCAACCTGGTCTTGTCCTCTCTCTGCATCTGGATTCTAGTTCGACTCAGTATTTAGTTATGGGTGTTTGCTTCTGTTTCCAACAGGTACTAGATGAGGGGTCCATGATGATGGATAAGTTAGTTGTTGATCTCACTATCCAGGAAGGGCATTTATGGTAGACTTTCCATGGTTGCTCAAATTGTTAGTTGGAGTCAGTCTTGTAGGTCTCTAGACATTCAGTTTTCTCTTGAAACCAATAATGGCTCTCACTTTTATATTCTCTCTCTCTCTCTCTCTCTCTCTGTTTTCTATTCCTACCCTAACTCAATCTCCCTAGGCACAGTGCTTTCCTCTCTACCCCTTCTCTTTCTCCTAGTTCTCTCTCCATTCACTGCCCCCCCCCACTTCCCCTGTGCTCTGGGGGACTTGTCCCTTCCCCCTTTTGTGAGGGACCTTATATGAGTACGTATCATTTTTGAAATTACCTGTGGGATAAGTCTAAATAAATGCTTGATATTATGTTACTCTCTAGGTATAGTTTTATTGGCAGTTATGCTTCTGATGTTGAGCTCATATGGAGGAAGATGCTCTGTATCTAGCCTCAACTAATCAAGCAGGCCTATTTTATTTGCATGCCCAACACACACCCTCGGTGACTCACTGAATTCATGCTGGTTAGGCCACAGGTTGGCTATGCCAGAGCTAACACCATCCCATGGGAGGGGAGAATGTGAAAAAAGTAATCTAACTAATAATTTTAAAAAGGAAAGTTAAAAGGATTCAGAGGCTACTGGTAAGTAAGGAACAACTGGGTAGAAAGGGAGAAGCAGACACAATTTGAGGTTCCATGAAAAGCAGTGATTATGCACAGACACAGCCCAGGGCTGTGGGAAAGTATATTCAGGCCCAACGGCATAAAGCTTCCAGTTCTTGGGAGGCCCAGTAGTTGAGCTTTTCCTGGACTTCAGTGATAACTGACACTTAATGTCTGAGATCACCATATTCATCTTCATACATCTATCATATGACACTTAAACAGACCTGAGGTTCTAAAGTCCACTCTATCAAACCAAGTTAAAGAGACTGGCAAACTTGTTTCTTGTCATTGCTTAAAGTCCCATGCCTTCCTCTACTATTGCACAAGGCATAGCTCCTTCCATTGGATTAAGCTCCTGGGACACTGGGGTGGGGTTTGTCCCTCCTTTGGGTCTCCTGCACCTAACTTAGTGTCTGACATATGCAATATGTTCTTGTTAAATATGTGGTAAGAGGGTAAGGTTGAACTTAGAGCACATTAACCGTGGACCTTGCTATACAAAAGGTCTTTCCCTAAATCTGCATCAACAATATGGATGGCCAACAACTAACAAATGGATGCCCAATACTTCCGTGATGGAACCTTAATTCTCTCAAAGTACAGGGACTCTGGGTTATCTCAGATTCCACCCTTTGCCATTATCACTTGCCTCCCCATGGTCCCTTGTCTTTGCAGAACACACATCAAGTCCTAATTTTTCTGCACTAACATGCACAAAATGTCCCACCATGTGCAATGTCCATCACCACCTTTCCATGTCTAGGAACATCCACTGTGAAGTCTGAAAGAGGCACTTATAGGTAAGTTTGTCAGAAAAAGAAAAGAAAAAAAAAACCCACAAAACCCCATGTTGTTTTAACCATGGACTTTAACAGAAAGCCCCAAATTACTCATTTTTAAGAAAATCAGATCCCTTTGCTTGATTTCATTAAAAAAGGAAGTGGAGTTATTTGTATTAAATGTTTAAGCCATTATCTGTCTGATAGGATAGAAAACATGTAATTGAGTGTTAGAATTTATCATAATAAAATAATTCTATATATTGGTATTGATAACCCCAGAAAGTGGTAATTTCAAATAGTGTTATGCTGTGTATGTTCTTTTAAAAATGCCTGTTTTATGTACATTTTGCCTGCATGCATGTCTATGTACATGTGCCTGGTACTCAAGAAGCCAGAAGAGGACATTAGACCCCCCTGGAACTTGAGTTAGGGATGGTTATGAGCTGCCATGTGGGTGCTGGGAATGAACCTAGGTTCACTGCAAGAACATCCAGTGTTCTTAACCCCTTAGCCATCTCTCCAGCACAATGCTACATATTTTAATTTTTTTACATTTTATAAATTTTGTCAAACTAAAGTCTTGCTAAGTGAGCCCATAATATGATCAATATGAGTATATTAGATACCATCATGCTATTTTTTATTACCACTAATTAAAATGGCATTTAACATTCAAATATGGTAATGTTCTTTCACCTATGAGTCCTGATCCCAGGGAGATTGGCAGAATTATGCTAGAGATGAAAGAATTCTCTAGAGTCCCTCACCACCTAAAGTGTCTTGATTTTAAAAGTAGGGAAACAGACACATGGAGGTGAGCATAGGAATGTTCTCAGTGTCAAAGCTAGAATTCACAAGAGTCATGCTGAGCCCTTTGGCAGGTACGCTAGTCTTATGACTAAAGACTTGGGTGTATTCATGTCTAATCTCCATATGGGTGTGATCACTTGTATTCATCTAAGCACCAAGGATGGCATTGTCATCAAGGTAGAACTGGGACTCACCTGAGCCTTCACGGCTTCTGTCACTGCACTTGCTGCCTCCACGAGGTCCCTTGTCTTCGAAGAACACACATCAAGTCCTAGTTTTTCTGCACTAACAAATGCATAAAATGCTCCACCATATGCAATGTCTGTCACCACCTTTCCATGTCCGGGAACATCCACTGTGAGGTCTGAAAGAGGAACTTATAGGTAAGTTTGTTAGGGAAAAAAAAAATCACATTGTTTTAACCATGTTTACTCATGATTAAACTTTCACAATAAAAAGGAACTTTCACAATAAAAAGGAATGAAGCAGAAATCCATTTTCAAAATAAGAGTTGGGTAAACGAGAGAGCTATGTGCATTTTCTTGTTTAAAATGGTGGTTTGCCTAATGGCGGTCTGGACCTTGCGTTTCTCTTTGATTCTGTGTACGTGTCTGTTAACTACCCTGAGGTTCTCTTGTAGGAGACATGATAGAGTGTGAGTAAGAGATGGGGAAACTCTGGGAAATCTACCTGTGAAGACCATGAAGGAATACGTATAGTATGGAAGCCTTCAAATGGGATTTGAATGCTATTCACATAATTGTCAGTTATAGTGACAAAAGGAAAATTTTTAGATTTTTTTCTAAGCTAGGCATGTGTAACTCATGCCCATAATACTAGCACCGGGCTTGCAGGTGTGAACCACAATGCCTGCCTGCCACTTTTCTTCTTAAATGACTAAATTGCTGATATTGGAAATTGAGAGACCATCAATACATCCCATGTGCCAGACCCATATACTAGCTCCTTAAGTACTTCAGCACTGACAGACAGGTATTGTATCATAAGACCCTCCCCACAAGTCTGAGAAGCCCACCAAATAAGTGGCAGAGCTTGGGGTCAAACTCAGAAGCAGTTGACTTTGATGTCCCAATCATTTCCCCCTGAAATATGTAACCTGTTTTTAGAACTCAATCCTAAATCTATCATCTTTCCTTTCATCTATGCAAACTTATCATTAGAATTTTAAATTGATTTCCTTCAGGTAACACTTAGGGCATACCTACCAGAAGAGAATATACCATGTAGAAGACTAAAGAGTTACAGGATGAATAAAACAGCCTTTCTTCTCAAGTTCAGTTAGACAAGAGAGATAAAATCTCAAATGTCTCATGTGGTGTGAATGAGGTTGAATATCCGAGTTTTCCAAAAAATTGAAATGTGTCTCTGTGAGTTGCAAAAATGTCAGGAATGAAAGGCTAATTTGCCGGGTTTGGCTCCTGGTTCTGCTCCTCAGTACAACTTTGCTGTGCTTGCACAGAAAATGGACTTGGACTTGCTATGCCCCCTACAAGAGTGCACAGAGAGCACCCAGCAAGGTTAGTAGGCATGGTGAATGCTATAGTGAAAGCCAAAGTTTAATTTCCAACAGGAATGGCGTTCTCCAGAGGCCTAGATAGCCACAATTGCCCATCGGCACATTCTCCAAATTTCATTTATTTAGCTACTCGTTCAGCTGCTATTCATCTACAGTCTACTGTTGTAGATTCCTAGGACACAGTGAACAAAAGAAATGTCATTTATCATGAGGGGCTGCAGTGAACTCTGTAGCCCTCCCAGGTGGGTACTGCTTGCCCCTTCATTTCACAGAAAGTGACTTTCCTGAACAAGGTTGACGAGATGGGAAGGGGGTAGATCAAGGCTCTCCACCACCCCCTTGCCTTTTATGTGCTTCTGAGGATGCAAGGTTCCCTGTTCCTAGGGAGAAATTAGGTAGCCAGCCAGTTAAACGACTTCCTTCCTTCGTTCCTTCCTTCCTTTCTTAATAAAATCATAAATGACCTCCCTCAAGCACCAATCTGATTGTGTTACCATTCTCTCAGAGGGCATCGAATTGCACAGAGGCATTCTTCACCATGGGTGTTTGCCTACTAAGGTTGCTCTAAGCCTGTTCTGCAACAGTGAATTCACACCCAGGCTGATCTAGAGTTGAATTATTCTGGGAGGATCAAGAGAAGATTTTCTAAGAATGATTCAAAGACTTGGGAGAAAAGCGGTGTTACATAACCATATTCCTGGATTGACTGAATTAGCTCCCAGTCAGATGCACTGACAAATTCCAGCCTGCAGGTGTATCTGCCTTTCCACTGTGGCAAAGCTCATGCTAGAGAGCTACCCATAAGAAACAGGTAAACCATTAAAGAAACTCAATGCTTTAAGTAACTTCCCATTTTATGTTGGGCCACATTTATACCTACCCAGGGGCACATGAGCCCTGCAAACTGCAGGCTGGATGCTCTTGTTAGCGGTGGTTCTCAACCTTCCTAATACTGCGACCCTTTAATAGACTTCCTCCTGTTGTGGTGACCCCCAACCACAAAATTATTTTCATTGCTACTCCCTAACTATCATGTTGCTACTGTTATGAATCATACTGTAAATATCTGTGTGTGTGTGTGTGTGTGTGTGTGTGTGTGTGTGTGTGTGTGTGTTTTGAGGGTCATAGGAGACCGCTGTGAAAGGGTCAGGCATCCCCAAGGAGAGCCATGACCCACAGGTTGAGAACCACTTGTGCTAGAAGGACACCTGGCATAAAAGATAAAACACCAGCTGCCAGCTTCCTCTACAGATGACCTGCTTGGAAAGATAACAAAGGATCTATACTAGAGAACCCAGAAAGCCTGTTCATGTTTCTGTACGTCCAGGGAACAAGTCCATATATCTTCAAGGCTCTGCTTCCTGATGAATATTTTTTTTCAGATTTTAAAAAAATTCTACCAGCACTCAGGAGGCAGAGTGTTGGAAGTCAGCCTGTCAACATAAACGTTCCAGGGTTTCATTCAAGCCAGGGCTACAGAGTGAGACCCTGCCTCAAAAAAAAAGTCAACACGTATTCATTCACCTTTAAGAAAATAAAATTCTATTTTATGTGCTCATTTTTAACCATAAGGACCACTGGGAATAAATGAAGGAATAGACTAAGTCAGGTATCTGAGCGGTTGTCAACTTAGCATCCAGGCAAAAGCCACAATATCTTCACTTGCAAATTTAGTTCTTCCCCAAAGGCAAGGGCACTTAACAGCTGGGGAAAAGGACAGGTCATGTTCAGTAACTTATTAGGAGTAATATGTTTACCAAGCACATTCCAAGCTAGGCTAGAATCCTGGTACACACACTGTCCTTTGCTCTTAACTTCATTCTACCGTGAAATCTCCACGAATGCCTGACAAACGTGGAGTCGGGATCTTGGGTAAGAGAAGTAGGAGGCACAGAATTCTTCACTACTCCACTCAAAGCTCTCTCAGGCCTTGCATGGATGGATAGACTCTGCAAGATAACTGAATTGCAACCACCAAGACGCTGAGGCGTGTTTGCAGTAGCTTGGAATTACCTTTTTATGAATTGCGAGGGCAAGCAGGGTGGGTTAGTTGCATGGGTTTATTCAGCACAGAACAGTGGTTAGATTCGTCTGGACTGTGTCCCAGTCCAGACACCCTTTACCTGCGGCCAAGACAAAGGCCGGGACGCTGTGGAAGCGCACGGGGCCACAACTACGGCCACCTTCACATGCCACGAAGGCGGCCACCAGCCCGCAAGGGCAGTGGATGTTGACCTGTGCCTCGCGGGCGCCATCTGGGGGAGCGGGCACCAGTCCGAAGTCAAGAGCGAAGCGGCCAAGCGCCAGCACTGCGTGGCCGCACATGGAGCTGTAGCCTTCGTTGTTCAGGAACAAGACACCCAGGTGCGCGTCGGGCAGCTCGCTCGGCACCAGGACCGCCCCGTACATGTCCCGGTGGCCGCGGGGCTCGAACACGAGCCGTCGCCGTACATAGTCGAGGTGCTGACGCATGTAGCGCCGCTTGGCCAGCAATGTGGGCCCGGCCACCTCCGGACACCCGGCGTGTACGATGCGCAAGGGCTCGCCGCCGGTGTGCATGTCCAGCACCGTCAGGACTGGCGTCCTCACGTCGTGCGGGGGCAGCCGGGCCGCTGCCAGCGCTGCCTCCATTGTCTGCGTCCAGGGGTTGCTGCTCGGCACAGCGGTGCTTTCTCCAAGCGGGGGATAAACGCAAAACCCACGGGAGAACGTGCAAGGGCGGTGGCCACCTCAGGGCCAGGCCTCGGGGCGGAGATCACTCAGCCAGCGACAAGCGCCTGGAAGTTTAGCCTGGGAGCGCCCGCCGGGTTCCGAGGACACATGGCAGGGGCGGGGCCTCGGAGACTAGACACGCGAAGGGGGCGGGGCTAAGACTAGCCCGCCCACGGAGGCTCCAGGGCTTGACCATGCTGCAGGGGCGGGGCCTCAGCCTGGCTCACCCGACGGGGGCGGGGCTACTAAGCCTTATCTAGGAAACTGGGGTGTGACCTCAGGGTCCCGTCTAGGAGTCGCTCCAGGCGGTGTAGGTTAGACCGGGTTGGAGGCCGGACCTCGGTTCCTGCCCTGGCCCAGACGAAGCCCGATGGGTCTGGATCCGGAAAGGGTGGAGCCTCTGAGCTCAGACCCGGAAGCGACAGCGACGCTTCCGAACCTGGTCTAGGAGAATAGGCACCTGGGATCCTAGGCCGGATAGTCCGCAAAGTGCGTCTCAGCCTAGCGGAGAAGGCGGCGGTGGGGCGGGACTCGGAGCCTAATGTAGCCGGGGCGGGGTTCCACTGCGATCGATCTCCAGGCTAGCGGGAGGCGGCGAGGCGCGGAGCGCTGTGGCCCGGATGTTGGGGCGCTGCGTTCCAACCGGCTGAATCCCGGGCTTCTTTGGAGAACCTAGCGTGGCCAATGGGTAAGTGGTCGTTTAGGCTGCGGGGGGTTCTCTGTCTTCGCGTCTGCTGTTTTTCCACATTGTCGTCTCCGGCTCGCCTCCGGCCGACAGCTCTGACCTGGAGCGCAGCCTCCGTCCTTTGCTGAGCGGTGCTCCGGCTTTGACTTCTCCCGGGATTGGGACGGTCGGCTTCCGAATGGCTGGAGATGAGCGCGGGGCCGTGTGCAGAAGGAAGGGTCGAGGCTTTGTTGTGCTCTTCCTGTGTTATTTCGTTCATCCCTTTGTTTCTTGTCCAGGAGGGCGTTCCTGATGGTTGACTTTAGAATTAGAAGTGCGGGTATTAGTGAAGGGCAAAGAAGCAGAAGCAAATTGTCACATATGATTTTTCCCCGCAAATGTCAATTTTGTTTATTTGTTTTTTGTTGCCGTAGTTTTTCGAGACAACGTTTCTCTGTGTAGCCATGCATGTCCTGGAACTCGCTCTGTAGACCAGGCTGGCCTTGAAGGCAGAGATCCACCTGCCTCCCAAGTGCTTGCTGGGTTTAAAGGTGTGCACCACTACACCAGGCATCAAACGAAAATACACTAGAGCCCTTCGCAAGGGGCAAACGTTTGTAGAAAACAAAAAACAAGCTCAACATTTTAGCCATTCACAAAAGGCTGAGAAAGGTGATTGTACAGATTCTTGTTGTTAGGTACATGAGCTTTGTTTTTGTTTGTTGCACTGATTTTCAGGCCTTGGTTTTGAGATCTTTTAGATGCAAAGCCCTTTGAGAAGAGGCTTTCAGTGCCCTAACTTCTCAGAAAACCTGGAACAATTCATTTCATGTATTTATAGTTCATTACAATTCAGTTGTTGTAAAAAAAAAAAAAAAAAAAAAAAAAAGATGTCAAGGGGTGGAGATATGGCTCAGCGATTAAGAGCACTTGCTACTCGTCCTGACCACTGGGGTTTGATTTCCAGCACCCAACAGAGTCTCAGGACCCTCTGCAACTCCAATTTCCTAGGATCAGATATCCTTTTTCTGATCCAAGCAGGTACCTGGTGCTCAGATGTAAATGCAGGCAAAACACACATGACATAAAAACATAATACTATAATAATAACAAACAATATCCTAAAATAAGGAAGATGGGCAAATAAAGATGTCAAGTACTTGATAAAACTGAAAATATCAAACATGATATTTTAGACTGTTTTTCTGTTTTCCCTCAAAAAATGTAAGGACAAAACACCTCAAGTCTACAGGAATTTGAAGGGAGAAAGGCCCTTGTAACCAGAATCTCTGCATTGAGAATAATGGAAGATTTGAGGAAATTATTGTTCAGTGATAATAATAAAGTGTAAATTCCTACATAGGCCATTCCTACATTTGAACCATTTCATGGTATATGGCAGATTCTTAGAGTGAACAGTCACACTGCCATGGTCCTGTGAGGACCTTCATGGCCCTTGAGCAGCATACTGCATGTATGGTCATTGAGCAGGGAAGAGAACCGGGTGTTGTTGGTTCTAAAGATGCCTTCAGTAATTTCTCCTGGATAAGGTCCAGAATGATGTGGGGGTCCGCAGGGTTTTGTTTTTAAAAGAGCTGTTATTTATTTTCCCATATCTTTAAGAAATTAATTGCAAGGCAGTGGTTCTCTGGTAATTGTTCAGAAGCTCAGTGCTAGCATTGGTGAAATTTACCCCTGTCCTCAACAAAAATGATAAAACCTAGGATATTGCTTTTATGTGGGGTGAATTTTTCTTAAAGACCTACCTCTGTTCTGAAATTCTCTCCTTCCGCCTTTCTGTTAATGTATTCTGTTATGGACAAAGAATGTCTCTGTGTGTGACTAGTGTCCCAGCTGGGCAAAATGAAGAATATTGACCTGTCATTGATTTCTTTTAATTAATTTTTAAAATTATATGATATGCATGGCACTGGGGAGTGCCTGCAGAGCATGCACATGGAGGATGACAAATTCCTGGAGTCCTCCCCTTTTACCATGAGCTCTAGAAATCAAACTCCTCAGGTAGTTCAGGTTGCTTGTCAAGTGCTTTTACCAGAGCCCATCTCTTTGGCCCTCTATCAGTGATGTTTAAAAAAAAAAAAAAAAAAAGTGTATGACCTTATAATCAATGATACTGCAAAGTCTAGTGATAGGGACTGCTTCCTGGAACCGGCAAGATTCAGGGGTAGGTGCCTGGGGCTAGGATGAAGACCAATATGAGGCTCAGGGTGAACAGCAAAATGCAAGTATCATTTTCTGTAATGTCACAGTGTGAAACAGTGTGAAAGAATTTAAAAATAAATGCACCAAGACTTGTCTATTACATGTTTTTTAAGGGTGATTACATATTTCTGCCAATTAGTTCAGCTGTTATTAGGTTATTATTATTTATAATCACAAAAGATGTTACTATACTGGCATTTGTTTTTAAAAAGCTGTCGATATTCAACCAGCATGCCTTGGACTCTACTGTGGGAAGACCCTATTATTTAAAAACGGCTCAAATGAAATCTATGGAGAATGTGGGGTAAGTCCTATGTTAATATTATTTTATTTTAAGACCTATTTACTTTGGAAACCTTTTGCATGTAGAATTTTTTGTTTTAAATATATTCATTGAGTGTATAAGAATGTGGCATTAATAAGAGCCTTGTTTATATTGACATGTTGATAACTATATTAAATCTTCCTTGATAATCACAGATACTAAAATATTTTATAATGTCTAATTACTGTTTAATGATTTATCAAAGTGTTTTGTACAGTCAGTTAACATGACAACTCTAGAACACTTCTGCAATAATATTTATATGATGTTACTAACAAGGTTTTTTTTTTTTGTTTTTACTGAATAGTAGTTAGCTGTTTTAGCAATTAAATAGGAAGGGTCTTTATTGAGCATTTTGCAGACAGCACAGGTGATGTGGATCTCTTGAAGTGTTTTTCATTTTAGATTTCTTTTTATTCTGCTTACGGATTTTCTTTTTTAATTTCTAAAAGCTACAAATAAATACTAAACTGGTTAAAATAAAGTGGGATCCCTTATAGGACAATCCTAGAATACTGTTTATAAGGAGTAAGGTTTTTCCGCCCGCCGCCTGGTCTTGTCCCACCGCAGCGCCAGCCCCAATTAACACACTGAGACTCTGTATTTGGTATAATACTGTTGGCCAGGTACTAATTTCTTATCAGCTAGCTCTGTCTTAATTATTAACCCATTTCTATTAATCTCCACATGGTCTTATCTTACTGGAGAGAGAGCCCGCCGGTATTCTGCTCTCTCTGTCTTCCATCTTGACTCCTCCTTTCTCTTTCCTCTTCTTGTCTCCTAGTCCCTCCTGTCTTCCTTTCCTATTGGTCAACAGTGCTTTATTCATTAACCAGTATGAGAAACATATATACAGAATGACATCTCCCATCAACTGTTTGTGTGTAAGGCAGTGGGATCCCTTATAGGATGATCCTAGAGTACTGTTTGTGTATTAAGCAATGTTTTTACATGCTGTAGGTGTGCCCAAGAGGACAAAGAACAAATGCACAGAAATACTGCCAGCCTTGCACAGAATCCCCCGAACTTTATGACTGGCTGTATCTTGGATTTATGGCGATGCTTCCTCTTGTTCTACATTGGTTCTTCATTGAATGGTACTCGGGGAAAAAGAGGTAAACACATCCTGATTGTATCTGAATGGACCAGTGTTGATCACATGTTGTGATGCTGAGTACACAGTCGTCTGCCAGCCTACACCCTCAGCCTGACTGTCCTTTAGAAGAGCAATTACTCTTCACTTGTTTCAAAGGAGGCAACCTGATTTTCTTTTTTATTTCTACTGTTTTTTCTTGAAATGAGAAAGCCATGGTAGGACACATCTTAGTAAGTCTTAATGACACTCTGATAAAGAATATTACTTCTCAAAGATGATACTGAGTTTCTGCAAAAAATTGCTTAGGATCACAAGCTGTTACTGTTTTAGAACAAATACTTTGTAACTTAATTTAGTGCTAACGACCTGGTATAATTATTAGAGCTGACTAATGCACTGTTAATACATTTATTGAGCAGTGTATTTTATCTTTGGAAGATCGAAGGATGAGAGAGAGAAGTAGAGAAGATGGATAGGTACATGATGATACTATCAATCCATCTTAGAGATATAGGGAAATACTCTGTTGTCAACATCTAGAGTCACAAAGACTGGGAAGAGAAATTATGCTTAATAGAATCTAAAAGTCTTAAAAAGAAATGCTAAAACAGTTTTGGCATAAAAACGATGGAGGGATGGTAATGTGAGCTGAAGCGGTCGAGGTATGGCTTGTAAAGGAGGGAAGGTAATAATGACAGTGGGTGGAGGCCAGAATGAGGTTCCTGACAAGTGTGTGTGTGCCTGGTCCTTCTACAGGGATGGGGAGACAGATTCTTCCTTAGCTGTCTCTGCCTTTGTAGTTCTTTCCCTCTGCTCTTGTGAGTTTTTTCCTGCTTTGGTCTTTTTACTTTCTCCGAGCTCTTTTTGCTGCCTGGCACTGTGGAGGCAGACGTGAGTGTGGTATGGTTGAGAAATGAGAACTGAGAGTGGACTGACAAAGAGTCCTGGGAATGGAAGTTTTATGACATAATTCCAGAGCTGGTGGTAGAGAGCATGTGGTTTTCCACACATTTCTCCCCGTATTGTGGACCGTACGCCTGGCTGACCGAAGCATTGACATTGCTCTGGGATTGTGCTCCCTGTTTCTCCAGCTCCAGTGCGCTTTTCCAGCACATCACTGCGCTGTTTGAGTGCAGTATGGCAGCTATCATCACCTTGCTGGTGAGTGATCCAGTGGGCGTCCTTTACATCCGCTCCTGCCGAGTACTGATGCTTTCCGATTGGTACACGATGCTGTACAACCCGAGTCCAGATTATGTCACTACGGTGCACTGCACTCATGAAGCAGTCTACCCTCTGTAAGTATATAACCAAGACCTTTGAAAAAGAACGATTGTAGATTCCATTGATTTCCACAGATCAATTGTAAACTTCTGGTGCAGGAAGAGATAGTAGAAATTATTTTCTTCTCTGAAGGCATATAGTATATAGGAAGAAACATTATGTTTGTTTTTAAGACATGGTCTCACTAAGTCTCGTTATCTTGCCTTGGCCTCCTAAGTATTGGGATGCCAGGTATGTACTACCATGCTCAGAAAGTCAGAGAGAAAGACAGAGACAGAGGGAGACAGACAGAGAGAGAGAGAGAGAGAGAGAGTCTTGTGCTAGAGAATAAGCCCAGCACCTCTGGCATGCTAAGGCTCTACCACTAAACTGTATCATCAGCCCAGTACAACTTAGCGATAGAAGGGGGAGTATTTTTTTTTGATTTTAAAAACAATGCACACATAGATATTTATATGTTTTCTATGTTTCCTAGACTTTTTAAAAAGAGGTTATTCCTTTTGGGGATATACAATAGAGTTGCAATCTTTGACATACAGGAAGTAAATGTAGGCTCTGAAAACAAATAGAGCCTGGATTTAAATTGTAGGTAGATCTGTTACGCTAACATGAGTATGTTAACAATGCCATATGATTCCATGTTTTTCATTGGTAAATGGGAATGATACCTCCTAGGTTGCTGTGAGGATTAATTTACTCCATGTGTATTAGATGTTGTGTGTCCTGCAAATGCAGGTGTTCAGTAGTAACTGTCATTACTGTTTGAGTATTTGGGTTAGTGTTTCTTTCTTTTTTTTTTTCTTTTTTTTTTCTTGTGGTTTTGCAAATGAATGTAATCTTCATCAGGTTGCTATAGTTTATGTATATGAATGTATCTGCATGCCACAGCACGTGTGTGGAGGTCAGAGGACAACTTGCAGGAGTTAGTTTTCTCCCTCTATCATGTAGGTCCTAAGGATCAAACACAGGCCATGAGGTTTGGTAGCAAACATCTTTATGTCCTGAGCCATCTTGCCAGCCCAGGATGCTGTTTTCAAAAGGAAGTTCATAAGATTCTGTGCACTATAGCATGCTATTCCATTTTAGAGTTTCTTTAAATTATTGGCAAGTTGGTATATTTTTCTTGCTATGGGTAGAATAGAAAAGTTATTATTTATTTATTTTTTTTGGAGTAAACTTACTCAATTGGAACAAGTTTCTACTAAATAATGTGCTCCAGGAAATTAGTTTTGATTAGGTTTTTTGTTTTGTTTTGTTTTTCTAAAGGCTTTTGTTATCCTTTATTTTATATGTACAGATATTTGTCTACATGTATATATATATATATATATACTGTATGTGTGCCTGTTGCCCATGGAGACCAGAAAGGGGCATCAGACCCCCGAAACTAGAATTGCAGGTTGTTGTGAGCTGTTCTATGGGAGCTGGGAATCAAATCTGTGTCCTCTGCAAGACCAGCCAGTGCTCTTAACTGCTGAGCCATCTCTCCAGGCCCACAACCAATTTCTTAATAGTAAATTGTCAAACACATGGACACATGTGCACATAAAAAGTGATTCTCAAGTCCAGATATAGAAAAATGAAAATCACTTTTACTGCCAAGCTTTATGACCATCAAAGGGCATGCATCTGTATAACTGCATTTCATCAAAACTAATAATGTCCTCTGTTGACTTATTGAATCATAGAGCTGTAACCCTGCTTCAGTTATCTGTGGTTGTTTTGTTTTGTTTTGTTTTGTTATACACTATACTAAGAACTTGTAGAATTTGATTTTTTTTTTTTTTTTTTTAATTTTTTTGGCTTTTCGAGATAGGATTTCTCTATGTATCTCTGGCTGTCCTGGAATTCGCTCTGTAGACCAGGATAGCTTAGAACTCATGGAGATCTGCCTACCTCTGCCTCCAGAGTGTTGGGCTTAAAGGTGTGTGCCACCACCACCTGGCTGAATGTGATCTTTTTATATGTAGAAAACTTAAGAACAGAATGGAATATCATTTAACTAAGATATGTACTCATTTAAAATTAAATCTAGCTCATTTACTACTCGTCACATAAATGGTATTTATTATAAAAAATGTCAAATTTGACGGAAAATGGCAAATGGGTTCCCCAAGTCCTCTTTCTGTGCACATAACAGCTGCTCTTATTTTTAGTTCTGTTGTCTTTTAAAATTCGAATGATAATAAATAAATTAATGGGAATTGTAGAATTTCTTTAATTCAGGGTGGACATAACAAATACATGGGGTAGAGTTCAGATATGGCTATCCATGTCAGCTAAAAGTAATTGAGTTATAGGTGGTCATGTAAGAGACCACAAAGTTTGTTTTGGTCTGATGAAGTTAATTACATATTTCAGAATCTTCTCTGGGTGATTCAAGCTGTCGTACCTTCTCTTGTCCTGTCACTTTTGTTAGGGCGTAAATCAGTTGGAAGTGTTAATACACACACCATGACACATGTATACATAATAACAACGATTCTTTAGAAAAGATTTACCTTTATGTGTATTGATGTCTGTGTGAATGTATGCCGTGTGTGCGGGGGTGCCATAGAGGCTAGGAGAGGGTTCTAGGTTCCATAGAGGTGAGGTTACAGGTGGTTGTAAGATGCCTGGCATGGGTGCTGGGACTGAACTTGGGTCTTCTGCAAGAGCGTTCTATCATTTTAACTACTAGCCATCTCTCTGGTATAAGTAATCTTTATAAGTCAAATTCAAATCAAATCCATAGTTCAAACTGCTAACCTAAATTATGAAAAGTACATTTCTTTTTTGAAATGAAAAGTACCCCTTTTTTTGTTTGTTGTTTATTCTGGATGGTTTCTCTGATATATTTCTTCAAGTTAAACTTCTGGGTCTACAAGCATTTTGAGCTGGGAATGGCTCAGTGGGTGTAAGTGAGGACGTGGATTCAGATCCCTCATTGCTAATATAGAAAGCTGGGTGAAACGGCCTAAAATACCAGTTCAGGTAGGCTGAGACAGGAGGATGCCAGGGGCTCCATAACTATCCACTGTAGCCAGTCACTGAGCTCCAGGCTCAATTAGAGACCCTGTCTCAAAAAAATAGGGTAAACAAAAGATACCCACATGAACCTCTGGCCTTCACTGGTACGTGCATGGGCACACATGCCTGCACACAGACATGCGTAACTCCCCTCCCCTCCAGAGAAGTAAAAAGTTTTAAGGTAGATGAACATTGTAAAGATGGCTTTTAAATATGTATTTACTTTTGTTCTATGTGTAAGGGTGTTTTGCCTGCATGTGTCTGTACACCACATTTGTACCATGCCTGCTAAGGCTACAAGAAGGTGTCAGATCCCCTAGAGCTAGAGTTACAGAGGGTTGTGAGCTCCCTTGTGGATGCTGGGAACTGAACCCAGGTTCTTTGCAAAAGCAGCAAATACCCTTAAATGCTGAGCCTTCCCTCCAACACCATCTTTAGGATTTTTGAGGTATTTTTAAACAAACAAAAAAACTGTGTGTGTGTGTGTGAGAGAGAGAGAGAGAGAGAGAGAGAGAGAGAGAGAGAGAGAGAGATTCTTGTCCCCCCTTTCATCAATCTGAGTGTCTTAATGTGCAGACTTAGTAGCATTTTCAACCTTCTTTTCAGAACTTTGATTTAAGAACATCTAGGGTAGAAGTGTGTTAAACATAGCTCGGTCCATTCCTCCTTTTGCAGATACACCATCGTGTTTGTGTACTACGCCTTCTGCCTGGTGTTGATGATGCTGCTGCGGCCTCTCCTGGTGAAGAAGATTGCCTGTGGGCTGGGGAAGTCTGAGCGGTTCAAAAGCATTTATGCTGCACTTTACTTCTTCCCCATCCTGACTGTGCTGCAGGCGGTTGGTGGAGGCCTCTTGTGTAAGTATGATGAGTAGAAAGCCAGTGTTCTCATCCCAACTGACGTGATATACGGCTTTTTCTTTACAGTCATCCTTTAATCTTTGAAGGCAGGCCTTAGTGTCTTTGCTGAAACATAGTGCTATTAAAAACACAATGGAATAGAGTTTCTCAACAAGATGAGACTGAAGTTTGTAACTTAACTAGAAGATTTTAAAATTCTGAAATTCTGAGCATAAAAGTTTAAAAAGTACATATATATACATATATATATGTATGTGTGTATATATATATATATATGATAAAAATTTATGTTGGCAATAAGTATTGTTTTCTTAGATTTCTAAGGTCCCTTATAAAAATCTTTTATACATAGTTAAAAGAAAGTTTGTTAAGATAGCCATTCATTTAGCAACTCTTGAGATTGAATTGTGTCTCAGAACAAGATGTAAATCACCATTATAAGGCTCAAACATACCTCTAGGAGACAAAGCAGACCCCTTCCAGACAGCTGAGGAAACATTGGAGGGGATTTTTTAATACATTTCCATTTTCCAAAGCCATTGCACGTTCCGTAGTGTTTCTTCTAAGAAGTCTTCCAAGAAGCGGAGGAAAAGCTTTTTGGCCCAGGAGCGGGTAGGGGTGGGGATTATACGACTTGGTAATGTAATCTGGTTCCAGGTGAAAGTGAAACTGGAAGAAGAAATTGGAGGTTCTTGAGGGGTAGGAGTCCATTGAGGAAGGGAATTATGACAGCATGTGGTAGAAACAGTGGCAAGAACAGCTGAGAGCTCACATCTCAAACTGCAAGCAGGAAGCAGAGAGTCGAGGAGAAATGGCTTGAGTCCTTAAACTCCAGAGTCAGCCTCCAGTGACACACCTCCTCCCACAAGGCCACACCTCTTCAACTTCCCAAGTAGCACCATCGGCTGAACCAAACATTCAAACGTGAGCTGGTGGCAGACATTCTTATTCAATCTGCCCATAGGGACCTTACAAAGATTTAGGTAAAAGGGTGGCATGATCAGATTTCCATTTTAGAGAGATAACTTGCTAACACCATGCACTGTCAGAAAGAAAAGCTGGAGATCTGCTTGGAGATGCCTGCAGTAAACTGAGCCTGATGGACTAACCTAAACAGTGATGGATGCCAGGACTGCAGGGCCATTTCAATGTAGGGTTCACTAAAACAGGTAATAAAGTTAACACAAGGGTTGGGAATGAACTGAACATATAATAAAGGAACTTCTACGTGTTCACCATGTGCTCATCATGGGCAGCCATGATGAGTTGATGCCCACATATCTAGGTTATATTTGTGTCTTTGTTGACTGAGGATTGTCCCTCAACATCTTCCAGGATGCTCTAATAGAGCAAAATCTTGAAAATTTCCACAAAAGCATTGAGTGGAAGTGCCTTGAGCTTGTCTCTGAGCTTCCAAACAACAAAGAACCATAAGTGATTCTGCCAGGCATTCTCAGAATCAGAAGCTTGGAATCCCTGAAGAGTCCGCTAAGCAGTGGTCTCTCTCAGTCTGGAGATGACTTCTCTGTCAGCATGTGTCTTGCATGAAGGGAAATGAAGTCTGTACACTCTGGTGAGAGCAAAGAGGACCTGGCCAACTGCTCTTGAAAATTGTTTAAATCATGACTCATAGGCAAGTACTGGAGGTAGCAGCCAAGGAGTTTGATGGGAGGAGGCTGGCCTCCATGACCAAGGAGCATTGGGTTACTAGAGGAAGAGGAGGAAGAGGAAGGGAGCAAGGTGGAGTTTGAGAATGTCTGCACACTCATGGAAGATGATGTCTTGGGTAAAAAGGTTGAGGAAGTGATCGTCTCTGCTAGGCTTATGTCTTCATCCTGCTGTATTAGCAAGCACCTTCAGGCCAATGTGGAATAGATCATGAAGGACCGGGCACTTTGAGACAGCTGTTTGACAGCCAAAGGGCTGGACCCCATAGAAGGCTGAGGTTTACAATGATGTCAAAGGATGTCGCCCTGCTTTTTTTCTGGCTTCTTGCTTGAGGATTCCCAGATACTCTCCAGCCAAACCCATCCCCTGATCATGTGATGCCTGGCCACTCATGAAGATGAGGTGACAGCAGAGGACCCAGCATTGCTGTTCCTGGTGGTACCCCTGCTTGAGTATGATGAGAATGCATCATTTTACATGGAAGAAGATTGGGGTCTCCCTGGGAAGCCAGAGCCCTCCATATAGTTTCCTTACTGCTCCTGCAGAAGCCTTGCTGCCCTAGCCCACCTGGCTCCCCTGCTAATGTCTAGTGTTCTATTTCTTCTGTCCTTGTGTGTCTAAGTCAGGAAAACCTCCTCCCTCACCCAAAAGCAGGGTTGGGTGTTGTGTATTGTTTTTGTTTTGTTTTGTCCTGGAATTACACAAATTAAGAAATACAATTAAAAATAGTTGTCTAATTCCTTTAGCCTAACTTCTGGTGCTGCTATGTTGGAGCTCTTAGGAACTAGAAGAAAGAGGAAAGCTCTGGAAAATCAGAAATGGTTTGGAATATTAACTCTGGGAGACAGCCAGATAGTATTGCATCCTAAGTATTTTTACAATTTATGTGAAAGTATTTTTACAATTTATGTGAAAATTTTATAATAGTATATAAAGTATGACACTAGATCTGTTGGAGAAGCATTAGACTGAAAAATTTGCTAACAAGACTCTACTCATATTCAGAGGATCAAATTGTTGTAATTCATTTGCAGTCTCCTGCATTACTCACAGAGGGCTCATACCAAAATCATGATTTGGGGGGGAGGGAATAAGTTTTTTTTTTTGTTTTGTTTTTGTTTTTTTAAGCTATATCAAGTGTGAGCACAGTACATGGGTCAGATGGCCCAGGGAGGAAGGGTCTGGGAATGCTTGCGAAGTGGTCAGTAACACACTTCTGGCTTAGAATGTTCTTCAGCCAGTATTTCAGGTGTTATCTATATCTGACCCAGGTGCACAAGATCTCAGGTTACTTTACATCCTAGCACTTAAGGACCTCTCAGTCCTGTGCCTACCCAGATAGTAACTATCTGACCCTGGAAGTTGGAGCTCTCTTACCAAATCGTAACCACTTATGTTAGCAATGTTATTTAGGTGTACTTTAAGTGAGTGAGTTTTTTGTTTGGTTTTTGTTTTGAGGACACAATCACTATCATAAAAAGTTATAGATAATATCTCAGTTCTAAACTAAATTGATCAGGCCTATTGGTAATTGAGGCTTCTGGCTACTGCATCCACAATTAATGTTTTAACTTGTTCCAGAGTGCTTTGTAGAATAATTGCAAGTGTTATAAATTGAAGCTATTTTGAAGTAATCTTATAGAAATAACTCAGGGTATTTTTCTCAGTTTGCCTATTTTGTATGCTATACATTTAAACATAGTAGGAAAGGGGAAACTGTAATGTTTTGTAGGCAAAAGTTTTAAGATATTATTGCTATATTGTGTTTGAAATTAGGAATTTTCTAGAATTTTCCTAGGAATTTAGTATTAACTAAAAGTTTGATGACAAATAAACTTTTGCAAAGACTGTGAAAGCTGAGATACTCTTATGTGTGGTCTTCTCAACAAGATTCCCTTCCTGAAGCATGCAGCATAAAACTGAGTGTTCCCAGTTCTGTAGCTTGGTGTGTAGCTACTAGCAGCATTCTAGATATGTGGGAGAGCAGTTGACCCTTCACAATTAATCCTTCAGCTGGCTCAGAGCTCTTAGCTTCTCATAGGTGTGTGGTACAGTTACATCTTTAAGAGGTTAAAAAATTCAAAGACAATGTTTATTGTGTGAAAATTACATGAAACTCACAGTTTATTGTTCATGAAATTTTGTTGGGACAGAGGCCGAGCCACTCATTCACATGTGTTCTGTGCTGTTTGCATGCCTCATCTGTTGAATCGGGGAGTTGAGATGGAGACTGTGTGGCCCAGAAGGCAAAAAATATTTATAATCTCCCGCCTCAGGGTGATAGGGCTCAGGTCTCCGCAGTGGCTGAGAAGGAATTTAAGAGCTGTGTTATATCTGATGCTTTAATCTCTTAGTTTCTAATGCAATATCTATGTTTGTTTTCCAGATTATGCCTTCCCCTACATTATATTAGTGTTATCCTTGGTTACTCTGGCTGTGTACATGTCTGCTTCTGAAATAGAGGTAGGAAATTGGGTTTTCTTTGTTATGCAGCTTTAGGTTTTTCTTTTTTTCCTTTAAATAAATATTGATAATTGAATGTGATAATGCATATGATGTGGTAAGGATGCTCAGTGGTTCAGTGGTCCTTGGCTAATCGATGCCACTTGTACCTCCTTAGTTAATTTTCTGAGAGGTTATGTGGGCTGCATTGTATCTTTCCTTGGGAGATCAGGGAAGCAGTCAGTGCTCTTATCCAACAAGATGAAGAAAATAGTGTAACATAATTTACCCTGATAGAAGCAGATACGCAATTATCAACACATTAAAGTTCATTGATGCTATTTGAAAGACACACAGAAATGTTTTAGTACACACAGAACTGATTTTAAACTGCATTTTACTAGAAATGTCCATAATTATTCATTCCATACCAGCTGCATTTCTCTCTCAATCTCATGCTTGAGTTGGATGATTTTGCCCTGCAGTATCTTTTTTGTTGATTACATTGATACTAGTACTTTAGTTCTGATTGGCTTCTTGTGATAAACCTTTTGTATTTAGTATTGCCTTAGGGTTACTATTGTTGTGATGGAACACCATGACCAAAGCAACTTGGGGAGGAAAGGGTTTATTTGGCTTACACTTTCATATCACTGTTCATCATTGAAAGAAGGACAGGAACTCGAACAGGGCAGGAACCTGGAGGCAGGAGCTGATATAGAGGCCATGGAGGAGTGCTGCTTACTGGCTTACTCCCCATGGCTTGCTCAGCCTGCTTTCTTATAGAACTGAGGACCACCAGCCCAGGGATGATGGCAACACCACAGTGGGCTGGGTTCACCCCCATCAATTTAAGAAAGTGCCCTGTTACGAGTATTTCCCGCCAGCCTGGTCCCACTGCTGCGTCAGCCCCAAATAACTCACAGAGACGATATGTTAATTATAAAACTGTTGTCTGGTTACTAGTGTTTCTTATTGGCTAGCTCTGTCTTAAATATTAACTCATTTCTGTCAATCAAAGTGTTTCCACATGGTCTTATCTTAATGGAGACAAGATCCAGACCTCTTCCTCCTCTTCATCCCAGATTTTGACTCCTCCCTACTACATCTCCCAGAATCCTCCTTGCCTCCTAGTCCCACCTGTCTTGCTTTCCTATTTGCCAACAGTGCTTTATTCATTAACTGATAAGAGAAACATATTTACAGAATGACATCTCCCATCATCTCTTCTGTCAAAAATAAAAAGAAGGGCTTTAACTTTAACATAGTAAAATATATAACAAAACAGTTATCAAATAAGAACTATAGTTAACAATATTTTGTCCATTAACATTATCAGGAATTAAAGAAAATATTCTATCATGTATCCTATCTTTGAGGGTTTAAAGTCTTATATGTAGCTTATCTTTAATCCTAAGGAAAACTATAACCATAACTATCTGTCTTCAACTCCATCAAAGACCACAGAAGGATAATATATAAACTCTACAAATGATAGAACAACTCACTACCCAGATAATCATCCAAAGTTCTTCTGTAAATTGGGGCATCCATCTTCAGCCCATAGACCAAAGTAGGAAATTTCAAACAGTCTCACCTGTGTTGGCAGTTTGTCAGTCACTTTTCGCTGTGTCCTGCAGACTGTCTGGCAGACTCTTCCATGAAGCAGGAACTCTGTAGCAATGTCCATCTTGAATCAGCAGTCACTTTTCTGTAGGTCCTGCATGTCCAGTTTATACATTATAAAGTCAAACAGTCCAGAAGAGCAGTATCTTGCCATATTGGAAGCGAAGTCCATAATGAGTTTCTTCCATGTACATCTTTCTTTCTGATGCAGTTGGTGTTGCCAGGAGCAGTTGTGCCTCACTGTTCAGAAAAACCCTACCATTTTAAATGTATTATTCTGTAGGTCTTTGAAAGGTTTGAAGAATACCTATCCAATTGAAATATATCTCTGTATATCTATAAAAACCTAACAAACCTAACTATAAGTTTTGACTATTACAGGTAACTATCTGTAATCTGTACTAATTTATATATTACATTTTTAAATGAGCTATATAAACACAATACCTAAACAAGAGGAGAAGTATACACATCACAAAATTTACCTTAAATTTATGTCAATAAATGAAAATCCATTTCAAAACAAAGTATTCATTTCTATACCATAATCCCTTTTTTACCTTTAAAAGAGATTGGTTGTGATCATTAACCATTTATAACCAACTCCATTTAGATGAAAACAAACATTTATAAACAATATTTGGGAATTTGGGCGTCGTTTTTTCCAAACTGCTTCCTGCTGGATGGTGATGCCGTAATACCATGGGAATCCTAAGAAGATTGCAGATATCCTGGCTGTAGTCTGCAAGGCTGCATTGTCCCAGCTGTTTTGAATGTTGAGCCACCTGGGACACTGTTTCAGTGGTCTTGCTTTATCAAACCATGTTAGTCTGGAAGGAATCCACAGCTCTGCTCCCCCACCTCCCACCCCCCACTCCCAGAAACAAAAATAGAAATTCTTTTCCCCAGTAATCTGTCCTTAGACTTAAATTTTGAAGTCAAAGCATTTTTAAAATATATGTGTTGGATTAATTTAAGAGCATTGATAATCAAATGTATTTTAGCACCTGTAGCTCTTTCTTTAGCAAACAAACAATTTAAAGACAGCATTATAGTTACAGTATCCAGACTCTGTGTGTTTTCTCTATTTGTTTTATTTTTTTATTTTCTGAGTTTCACAGGTTTCTCTGTGAGCTTTTTTTTTTTTTTTTTTTTTTTTTTTTTTTTTTTTTTTTTTTTTTTTTGCCACAAGTCATTTATCTGCTAAACAGCATTGTAAAATTAAAGCAGCAGCTGTTTTAGCTGCCGTCTATCCACGATGATGGGGTACGCTTACCGCCAGCAGTGAGAGCTGTGCTCACTGCCTTGGTGTATGCTGCCGTCAAGCGGCATGTTGCTGGCTTGGAGATGTGGTCACTGCCACTGCCAGCTGTTGTACACACTATTTAGTTGTTAGCAGGGCCTCTTAAAAGTGCCCTGCAGTTTTTTCTGCTTATGCCGAGTCAGGAAATCTCCCTTAAAGGAGCAGTGCAAGTCTTTGCTTGTGTCTAGCAAAACAGAGCCTGCCTGAGAAAAATGCTACTACCAGGAAGGCTTGCTTGTCTCTGTTCTTTTGTTTTTAAAATCCTTTTTAAAGATTTTGTTAAGTTTTAAGTGGAAGTTGTTAGTATCCATGTTGCAGGCACCATTTTGTTACAAGTCTTTCTGGACAGCCTGGTCCCTGAGCCTCGTCAGCACCAAATAAACTGGCAGAGACATAATTCAAATAATTATGAAACTGTTGGCTGGTTACCAGTGTTTCTCATTGGCTAGCTCTGTCTTAAATATTAACTCATTTCTATCAATCTAAGTGTTTTCACATGGTCTTATCATACCAAAGAGAGGGTCGGGACCTCTTATTCCTCTTCATCCTACATTTCAACTCCTCCCTCCTACATCTCCCAGAATCCTCATTGCATCTTACTTCCACCTGTCTTGCCTTCCTATTTGCCAACAGTGCTTATTCATTAACCAATAAGAGAAACCTATTTACAGAATGATATCTCCCATCAATGCCCTAAGCTGGATATGACTCTAGCTTATGTCAAGTTGACATAAAACTAGGCACCTTAGTTTTAAAAAATTTTACATTGTATATGTTGCTTTGATTTTGTTATAGTATATTTAAATTATTTTATTAAAACCTTTTGTTTATGTGCCCAAAAGCCTCCGTGTATGTGTGGAGGGTGGTTCAGTTCTCTTCTTCTACACTTTGCGTCCTGGTTTTTGAACTCAAGTTGTTGGGCTTGGTGGCAACTGCCTTCACCTGCTGAACCATCTTCAGCCCAATTATGTTTTCATTTTTGGTCAAAAATATGTATTTTGATTTGTTGGTAGGTAGGTTGTTATTGTAAAGTAGAACAGCCTGCCATCACATTTTTAAATACTTTATTTTTGAGGAACTAAGGTATTCTCGGTTTACAGTATGAGCAGTAAATAAGAAAAAAAATCATATGTTTGACATTCTAACTAAGACAGATGTATTCATAAAAGTTTTAATCAATGTTTTGTACATCTCTTGTAAATGTCTTTCCAATTATGTGGCTTTCAGATTCTAACTATCTTAAGACAACACCTTTACATGATTTCCATCAAGTACCTTCACAGCTCTGATTACAAAGCTCTGTCACAAACAGAACTCCCAAGAATTTAAGAGCCAAATTCATAGACCCTTCCATGCTGTACTGAGCATCTGCTGCTCACAGCAGTCAACATGTGCGTTTTCTCAAATTTCTTATGTTGAAAAGGACACTAGAGAAAACAAGCTGACTCTTTTAAGAGATGGTTATTGGTGTCTCTCTTTCTAATGCATGGTGACTATGTGAGATGAGGCCGTACCTGAAACTCATAGTGGCTTTAGGTAGAGATGATAATGGAGGAATTGAATGGAATGATTTGATGGTGATTACTCAGCTTGCCTGGTTTGTAGACCAGCCTCATTTTTCCTTTGTAATCTTTAATCAGCATTGCAATTGGATTAATCAGAGAAGACAGGAAATTAATTTTGACTTTCATCAGCCAGGAAAATATCAAGTGATGTTGGAATATTTGAATACAATATGCAAGTTTATGAATGAGCAATGCTCTTTGAGAGCATCTAGTAACTCCTTCGATTGTCTGTCTTCATGCGTCTGCTCTATAAGATGTTTGTATCCTTCAGTTAGCTCTGTTCTCAGGAGTTGAGTGTGGTACTCTGAGCCCAGAGAAAGACATGCCCAGTCTAGGTGAGCCTATGATTCATTTAACTGAAAGAAACAGATGAAGAATAACCCACTGCAAATTCCCTATTACTGTGTTTATTAGCGCATTTAGATGTTACTTTTATATTGATTTGACCCTTTGAGTTTCTCCATGTTATCACAAGGCACTGAAGGTGGAAAGAAATCAGATAATTTTAGTGAGTTATTTCTGTTACCTTGAGTGCATTCAGAGGGAAGATACTGGAAACGTGGGAGACATGAAGGTGAAGTTTATGGGGCTGCAGTGGACATGGGTGTGGAGAGCATACACTGTGGACTTGCTCTTGCAGTTCATGTCTTTGCAAAAAAGCTCATGTTCCCCAAGGGAATGGTGTTGTAGGCGAAGACCAAGAGATGGGCTCTAAGCTAAGTGTGGCTGTTGAAGGCCTTTGTGACCATCTGGACAGTGTGGTGGCTAGCCTGGGTCAATGGGGCAGTTCTTAAGTCCTTTTTAGCTGAAGCATTCAGAGTCCTGGGCCATGAGTGTACGTGAAGACCAGTGGTCTAGCAGAGTTGTACTAATCTGTGTTTCTCTTCTTTCTCATACATGGTCACACAGAACTGCTATGATCTTCTGGTCAGGAAGAAAAGACTCATTGTCCTCTTCAGCCACTGGCTGCTGCACGCCTATGGGATAGTCTCCATCTCAAGAGCAGACAGGCTTGAACACGACCTACCACTTTTGGCTTTGGTACCTACACCAGCGCTGTTTTATTTGTTCACTGCAAAATTTACTGAACCATCACGGATACTCTCAGAAGGGGCCAATGGACACTGAAAAAAAAAAAAAAAAAAAAAAAAAAAAACAGAAAAAAACAAACAAAAACCCTAAAAAGTATTCTTAATAAAAGAAAGTAAAGAGGAAATAAAATGTATTAATAGTGTTCTGTCATACATGGGAACAAGATGGTCTGGATATCTCAATGCTTGTTTTTTATCTTTTGCTTTAATAGACCTTGTGGTTAGACTTGGAAATGGCACAGCATCATGGTACTGTGCAATCCATATATTATCTGTCATACTGGCAGTCCGAACAGCCATGTTGCTGTGCTTTTTGTGAATACCTTTTATCATGGTTACTCCTGCTTGCAAGCTGTGCATTTGGCTTTCACCTATAAGGAATTATAGGTGGGGTGTGAGGGCAATTACAGAAACAAAGATGTCTTTGTCAATATCTATTTATTTTCACCAATAACAGTATTTTAGCACTATTACAAAAATAAAGCATAATTTATATAATGAGCTCTTTGTTTATATATAGACAGTTTGGTTGAAGATGTGTCCAGATTACTGCTCCTGTAAAGAGGAAAACAATAAAGAGTTTGACTGTAAAATAACTCAGTGTTCTGACAATTGTCTTTTTTGCCACAGTGAGTAGGAAAGTAATTAAAAATGTAAAGTATTAAGCTTAATATCACTGTTGTCTACTGAATAAATGCACATACTCCCATCCTCTCGTATTTTATTTCTTAAAACAAAATTCACATGCCACATTTTATTGATTCAGAGACTATTGATTCATGGCATTTCTGAGTCAGGATCTTGTAACTAGAAGTATCTGGGATAGAATGAAATACAGGAATATAGAGACTGTTCCCCTGTGGCTGGTTTTGGATAGGTAAGCTGTCCTGTTCAAACTCTGAAGACTTTGACAGACTCTTGTCACAGCCATGGAAACAAATAAAAATGTTGACACTTAGTCTAATAATCTGGCCATGTGTATTCATGTGTAGTGTTTGAAATGTTACTCACTGGTTCTGCTCCATGGCAACTTTGAAGACTTATGTTAATGCTGCAAAATATGACTGTAGGTGTACTTACATTGCCTGTGGTTCTCTAGGTTGTTTCCTTATGTCATTTGCTGTTCCGGATTAAGGCGTTTCTCCTAGCGTTCCTCTTAGCACTGATGGCTGATGGAAAATGGACCTTTTTTTTATTCTTTTTAATATTTTCTGTAAGAAAAAAAAATTTCAACTCTATTTGTATCCTGCATAGGTTTTGTGGTTATTAATGTCCACTAAAATCCTGAGTTGTTCCAAGAATCCTTACGTGGCTAATTACATAATCTGTACCTGAGAAATGATGGGTCGGATTATCAGTGCCACTTCTGGGCCCATTGCATTGAAAACTGTTTTTAGCAGTTACCTTCCTGTGTCCCATTCTAGCAAAAAAAGTATATGTAAAAGGAGGACTCATTAAAAAAGAAATATTACAATTCTCCAAAGGCAGAGATTGTTAGGGATATTTAATATCTGCATTTTACAGTCTGCTCTTGTAGAAACAATGTATCGATATCATAGCCACTTTGCTCATGTTTAGTAAATAGTTTGACTGCTCAATGGAGCCATGTAGAGATTTAAAAAACAATATGCCTGACCTCACCCCTGGATACGCCCGTTGAACTGGGCTGGGATGCAGCCTCAAGGTGAATTTATCCTTCAGACTTCCTTGTGGAAATGTTTGAGAGCTACTGACCAGGCTGGCCTTGAATTCACAGTGATCCGCCTGCTAAGTGCCCGGATTAAAGGCGTGTGCTGCCACCGCCCAACTCGGGATTTGGAAATTTAACTGAACAGATAGTTCTCAAAAGGCATACAAAAGGCCAAGAAGTTTTAAAAAGTGTTCAGTATCCTTTGCCTCTAAGGAAATGTGAAACAAAACTACTTTGAGATGTATCTTACCCAGTCAGAATGGCTGTCACCAATAGACAAGTGAAAATTGCTGGCAAGGCTGTGGGGAAAGGGGAACTCTCACCTACTGTTGGCTGGAGCGGAAAGTGGTACCGCCATAATGAAAACCAGTGTGGCTAAGAGGGGCATATGGGTAGGGAGGTTTGGCCTAAACTTGTCATTTATTGAGATGCCAAACAGGAGACTGCTGATTTAAAAATAGAAATAAATATAAAGAAAGGGATTGTGAGTGTATTTAAATTTGATTGATTTTCATTCTGACTTGTAATTAAAGAAAAATAATGAAAAGTTCTTTAAAAAGTTGTAGTCTGTGTGTGTGTGTGTGTGTGTGCATGCATGCTTGTGTGCAAGGGTGTATTGGTGGGCAGTGGTTATCACTCATGTGTCCCAATGAATGTGGAGTTCAGAGGATGACATGTAGGAGTCTACATAGGTTTGGGGAATCCATCTCAAGAGTGTCAGCCTTGATGGCAAGGACATTTACTACTGAACCATCTCTTTGGCTCAAAACATTTTTAATAAGTTAAAAGTAATCTGTATTGGTTCTGGTGTTTCTCATTACGTTTTTGCTTATAAAACATAAAAGGTAAAAGTTAATTGATCACAGTGTGCAGGTGAATTCTGGCGTCTAGCACTGATATCCGTCTCATTCCTCTTTCCAGTTAGCGAGCCCACTGACCTCCCACAGCCCAGCTACTCGAGGTTATTGACTAGCTCACAACTGCGCCTGTCACTGACATTCCTGTGTGCTCTCGGCATCCAATAAGAGAGCTTTACTTCCGTGAAGACTAGAAGCGATCCATCCGTTAATTCTAACCATCTGTTCTCTTGCCCTAGGAGTACTCCATAGACTAAGGCCTGAAGGATTGTAATGACATATTATGTCCAAGAGTGGGCAGCAGAGGGCTGCTGTCCTGGAAGCAGTCCAGGGGTTCTGGAGATCAGCAGACAATCCAGAAAGTTGGAGACTATGGGTGGCTGTGAGATGGTGGCATAATCCAAGGGCCAAACGGTACTCACTTCCCTGGGACGGTGGGAGATTCTAGAGACTGATGGACACTCAGTCCGTATTTGATATTGTGTAACTCCCATTTGCTGTCGCTCATATTTTATGGTTGGAGAATGTGAGGAAGGGTATGAAGCAGCAGGAGCCCGCCTGGCTTCAAAGCTCACATTCTACTCCATGCCCTGAGAGCAGAGATAGGCAGAGCTATGGCAAGACAGCAATCTGCTCCCAGATCTATCTCAGCTCAACTTCAGAGCCTCTGCTTACGATTCTTCAAGCCAGCTGCCTCTTAGATAAGCCCACACTTCTTATGCCCCACTTTTGGCATACGCAGGAATTAACACGCATTTTCCAAGAATCCGGATTCTCTTCCTACTGCATCAGCAATGGGCAAGTTACAACCTAATGGGTAATTCTACGATAGCAGGCAGAACTGCAACAGAGATTTCAGGGCTGGCGATGCCAAAAACACTACTGACCCCCGTTAGATGAGGAGCTGCCATGCTCTATACGGGGACTGTGACTCTCATTTGAGCAGGAAGTGTTGCATTCACCACAGTTACCCAGGTATCTTAGAGCTTCAGCAGGACAGGCGGTAGTAAATGCTTGCTCACCGCAATGTTTCATTGGCTCTAAAGTAGTATAGCTCACTATTTAGGTTCTTGTTTTAAGGATTTATTTGTTTTTATTTTATGTGTACAAGTGTATGCCCGCATGCGCGTAAGTGCACCACATGCATGTCTGGTGCCAAAGGAAGGCATTGGATCTCCTGGAGCTGCAGTTATAGATGATTGGGGCGCTGTCATGTGCTGGGAACCAAAATGTGGGGCAGCTGCAAGAGCTTTTAACCACTGAGACATTTCTCCAACCCTGAGCACTGAGCTTGAAATCTGTTTTGTCCCTCAGCACTCCACCGACTTTTGAAAACTATCTAGTAAGAATGTTCTTCCCTAGTTTCCTTTTCATTGGTAATGAAAATAAGATTTTCATTTTATTTCATTATACATGTTCACCATTGTGTGGCCTAGAAACAAAGTCTGTCTTCATTTTCCCAGTGTCTCGGCCTGGGTGACCTTGGCTTTACCAAAAGAGCCTCTCATGTTATTAGACAACAGCATGCCAATGTCAGCCTGCTAGTTCTAAGTGTTTTCTCTATAAAGTTAGATAGTCAGTGTGCTAGACTTGGAGGTTCGCATGGCCTGTGTCGCCACCACTCTGTAATTTGTAGCATAAGAGCACAGGTATATGTAATATATGAATGAACTTGGTTGTGCTTCTGTAGGGTCATATAGGCAGGGAAATGGAATTCACATGAGGCAATGGCATGAAATGCTGTTGCTCTTTTGAGTTTTTCCAATTATCTAAAAGTATAGAACACTTAAACAGTGTTTCTGAGTCAGGTGTGGTGGCTCATGCCTATAATCCCCAGCACTCAGGAAGTTGAGGCTGGAGGATCCTGAGTTCACTAAAGCACCAGAATCCTCAGTAAGAACCTGTCTCAAAGATGGATTATCTAGGATTTTCTTTTTATCATGAAGATGATTCAAGATTAGTTCTCTTGAAAATTAGTTCACGTGGAAGGAAGAACTGACAAAAGTGTTCCAACAAACGCAGCCCAAAGTCAGTACCTGTGTTCGGTGGGATGCTCAACATCAACAACCACCATCCTTCCCCTTCCTCTGGTGACCAGTCCCCAGGGAGCCCCTTATTTCGATGTCACTAGCTACTACAAGGCAGCAGGAAGTTCTACATTACCGAGTTGTTCAAGGTACTTTCTATGAAGAATTTCAGATGGAGATTCCTCCAACATAAGGAGATGCAGCCTCTCGATGCCGCCCAGCAGCCAGGCACTAATGGCCTCGATTCTTCCATCCCGGTAATACAGCTTCTCTATTAGAGTCTTGATTTCTTGCAAGGTATCTTCTCCAATGTTCACCAGTTCCTTAAAGGAATTGTATTTGGGGGTGTGTGAATATGATTACAACAAGATAACATTTTGAGCAGATTCGTTCCAAAACAACTCTAAGGACTGTAGGGAGGCTAGATTCAAAGCAGCCTATCTGATTCCTCCCTACCTAGAGGAGGAAGGGAAGGGAAGGGAGGGAAGAAGGTGCTGGGTAGCTGGGGCATAGAGAGAGAGCCTAGAGCTGTCTGCACAGACTTATAAATGTATGTGTTGTCTGTGAACTTGCAAAGAATGAAAGAGAACAGAAGGAAAGGAAAGAAGGAGGGAGAGAGGGAGGGACAGAGAGAGGCAGGGAGGGAAGGACTTCCCATGTTGACTGACTGGTAGTATAAGAAGATAGTTTCTGAAAGGATTAAGATTTCGTAGTGACAATGGCACAATGGGTGTGATGGTGGCACCACCCTGGCATCCTTCTGTAGTCTAATAATTCCGGCCACGCATACATGAGTACATACCAATACATGCACATGTGAGCACACATGAGCACACACAGAGACATGAACTAACACACACACCCTTAATGGTAGGTAAACTCCTTTGGAAACATGATACACAAAACAACGAAAGAAGAACCCTCACCTTAATTGTGATCTGAAATTGTGCTAGGAAATCTCCATAGTGTTCTGAAATATTTAAAATACAGTGGTTACTAAAACGATATTAGCATTTTCATAATTAAAAGTTTAAAGGTTATTTTCATCTAAAAGTTTTTACTTCCATAATGATGGGGGGAGGAGGGAGAGAGAGGTGAGGGAGAAGAAGGAGAAGGAAAAGAAGAAGGAGAAGAAGGAGAAGAAGAAGAAGAAGGAGAAGAAGGAGGAGGAGAAGGAGGAGGAGAAGAAGGAGAAGAAAAAGTAGTAGTAGTAGTAGTCATCTTTACTTGACCTCATGGCAAAAAGTATGAAACCCTAAGTCAAACCTCAGACTGAAAGAAAACTAAATCCCAGAATATATGAAGACTTTAGCTCAATGATAAGAACACTAAAACCCAAGGCAAGGGGTGAAAAGCTTGAGGAGACACGTAGCAGATCACAACTTCCACAATGTACCTGCTTGTGCAAGCCTCTTGCATCTCGGTGCTGAGGTCCTCCCCTTTTCTAGAGTAGTTATCTTTAACCAGAGAGTCATGTGGGACTAATGCTCTGACTTTCAAGGTTAGGCCACGGCCATACCATGAGCTCCCACTCCGTTCTCCGGGATGCTTTTCTTGGAGACCAGCAGTTATGTGCGGAGGCTGTGCCAAGGTGTTCTGGCCAACAGTTTTCCCCAAAGCACATTTGAAAGCCACATCAACTTCAAACATAAGCACCAGTTTTTGGATGGTTCCAGATCCCAGATGCTGAATGTCCACAGCTTAGGAAGGTTGTCTCCGAGCTCTGATCACATCGCCAACTTGTGAGCCAAGTAAATTATTTGCCTTAACATCTTAACTTTGTGATATTTGTTGGGTTTTTATTTGTTTTTTTTTTTAAGGTTTATTTTTACTTATGTGTGTATGTATGTATGTATGTATGAGTGAAAGTCACACGTGTGTTCAGATGTCCAAGGAGGCCAGGAGAGGGCATTAGATCCCTTCAGCTAGAGTTATAGCCAATATGAGTGCTAGCATCCGAACTCCAGTCCTCTGAAAGAGCAGCAAATGCTCTTTGGTATTTGTTATGCCAGAATACTTCATTGGTTCAAGATGGTTCACAAAAGATGATTTCAGATAGCCAAGAACCACATAAACTAATGACCATTTCAGGGAAAGGCAGATCAAAACCACAATGCCACACCATTCTATGCTTACGCAAATGCTAAGTGTTAATGCTTTCGATGTCCTCAAATTTCTAAGTGTTGGTGAGGAGCTAAGAGCCACAGGACCTCTTTCCCATCACTTGTTGGATGAGACCTTTGAACAGCAATGTTGGCAAACTAGCAGTTTCTTAAAAAGAACTCAGACAATAACCATGCAACCCAGCTATTCCACTCCTACTCATCCCCTAAAAATTAATTAAATAAATAAATTCCAGAAATATACTTCTAAACAAATGCCACTAGTCGCTTCACTTATGGTAAACGAGGAACAAGGCAAATGTCCCTCAGCTGGTGCATGTGGTCGTTTGAATGTCACTGACCCCCATAAGCTCACAGGGAGTGGGGTTATTAGGTGTGGCTTTGTTGGAGTGGGTGGGGCTTTGTTGGAGGAAGTGTGTCACTGTGGGGGTGGGTTTTGAGGTTTTGTTTATGTTGAAGCCATGCCCAGTGTCTCAGACCACTTCCTGTTGCCTGCAGATCAAGATGTAAGAACTCTGAGCTCCTTCTCCAGCACCATGTCTGCCTGCACGCTGCCATGCTCCCTCATGAAGGTAATGGACTGAACCTCTGAACTGTGAGTGAGCCACTCCAATGAAATGCTTTCCTTTATAAGAGTTGCCGTGGCCACGCTGTCTCTTCACAGCAGGCGAAGCATATATAGCTGCGTACCAGTGGGAGGTAGCTTGTGGCTCACGAGAGAACAGAGACATGAGTCTTTTGTATTTGGTGATTGTTTTGAAACAGGTTAAGACTCTAGGCCAGGTCGACATGGAACTTACTATGTAGCCCAGGCTGGTCTTTAACCTACATCAGTTCCTCTGTGTCAGTCTTCTAAGTGTTGGGATAATAGGTGTGAGCCCACCCCGCCACACACACACACACACACACACACACACACACACACACACCTGGCGTCATGAACAAATATTAAAAATCCGTTTCGCAGAGGCCAAGAAGCCAGGATACGGAAGTGTTCACACTGTGCCATTTCTTTTTGTTAACTGTTGGGTTAGAAGGCAGGTTGGTGGCATCCAGAGACTGGAGGTGGGGTGAAAGATCAGCTGGAAGGGACAGGTGGTAGCAGTCACTTTTGTAACCAAAATAAATGCCTGACAGAAACAACTCAAGGAAAGAGGCTACTTAGGCCTATCTATAGTTTCACTGTGTCACAACACAACGGCTGTCTGTGCTGATAGGACTGCGTGGTGGAGATTCCATGTTTCTCTCGGTAGCTCGGGAAAAAGAAAATACAGGCTGGACTCAGGAAACAGTATAGCCTTTAAGAGCCTGTTCCTAAAGACCTACACCCATCAGCCAGGCCTCGCCCTGCAAAGAGCTCACAACCTTCCTGCTCGCTCCACAACTCAAAGCAGCAGCTGGGAAGGACACTGCATATTTGCACTATGACAAGATAAACAAAGATGAACCTGTCCTACACTGCTGTGGTGGCAGTGGCAGCTGGGGTGCACATATCCCTCAGAATCCATCGAGGTTTAAAATAGATGCATTTCATTATATACCAATGAATCAAAACTGATGTAAACAAGAACAAAACTGTAGGGGAGGAGCGATGCGCTACTTACTGTGCTGAACTATCAGTTGCCAGGACAGGTCACCTGAGTCCTGCACGGTTATCTGTTGCTTTTCTCTGTACATTTGGGTTTGTTTCTTCAGGTAGTCAAGATGCTGAGAATGAAAGCAACATGACAGCTATCAGCACCTGCTCCCTGTACATCACGTGCGTTAGTGAAATGGCCACGCGGTCATTCATCAAACATGTCAGTGCTTCACGACGCCACCAGCTGCTCTACTCTGTCTCCCTCCGTTCAAGGGAGAAGACAGGGTCCTGCTCTCTTACTACTTCAGCAGCCAAAGACATAAACATGGTGCTCCGGATAAGGCTGGACATGGTAAGAAGTTAAAAGACCAAATGCTTCATATCCACAAGAACAAAAGTTCCTTTTGTAAAATACAGCAATAAAAATCCCCATCCTTTTAGTAAATGTTAAATGTTTCTATAGGAGGAGAGGCTGGTGGTGCACTTCCACAGGCAGATAAAATTCCTCCCTAGTCCATATCACAGGCTGGCTGCAGGATGTTGTGTTGAGTATATGAGAGTTACTGAGGAACAAAAGTTTCCCACAGTACATGCATCCTTCTGAAAAACATCAGTCCTTAAGCTGCTTTTGTTCTACTAGACAAAGCATGTGAAATTGGCGGGATAACTCTTGACATTTAACAGACAGAAATAAGGAAATCCCTTAATGCCATCGGGCTAGTCAGTGCCCAGGCTACTTTCCTCATCAGGCTCCCACGGAAGGAATGTTTTTTATTTTTCTCTAGCTATTATCAGTTCTTGAAACAAACAAAACCAGAGTCTTTTCTTGTCTAAAAGGTACATACTTTACTGCCTGACTTTTGAAGTTATCATGAGCACTGAATGGAACCAAGCCCCACAACTCTTGGACAGTAACGCAGACCCTAACTTCAAGGTTGTCACAGGTTAGTGAGAGAGAAATGTTTACAAAGAAGCAACATTCACCCTGTGAGACACTAAGGACAGTGTCTCCAATGAGTGACAGACTCTATCTCATGACTTCAAACAAAGGAATATTGTACAAATCTCTGTGATTACTGTCTTGTAACACTTACAAAGTATAGAAAGTATATATTATTCATGTATTATTAATAAACTGTTAGATTCAACAGTTCTGAGCATTAAAATCAGAATTTAATAGGTTTAATTATTGAACATACCATTCTAAAATTAAAATGAGTGAATCTTAAGCATAAACAGGCAAGTCTTACTCTTTTGAGTCACAAGCCTGAAAATTAATGTTCATAAATTAAGATTGTAATTTTTGGGGTTATATGAACAGGCTTGTTTGCTGTATAATAATCAGTTAATATGGTACAACTAAGTTTTTAGCTAGGCAAAGGAAACTCAAACATGAATCTTACAAATGAAGATATCTGAGTGCCCTACAATACACCAGCAGGTGTTTCTTTACTTGTCAAAGGGGCTCCGATCTGTGCATATAAAAGAACAATGTAACCAACTTCACCATGCCTTGGACTTGCCAGCAATGAACTTTTGAAACTCAAGGTAAATCATGGCTTTGATCTTAAAGTTATGAACTCTTCCATTCTCTTAACCTAGAACAATATATGTGTGTGTTGTGGTAATTGTTTTCTGAAAGCAGATAACAGGTTAAAAGCCACCTTAAACTAAACAAATATCTTTTAAATGTTGGAAGCAACATGGATTTGGCTGTGATATCTGTTTGAGATATGTACTGCTATTCTGGTTCAGTTGGGGGTCAGTAAAGCAACTTGTAACATTTTGTTAAAGGTTTCTGTAAAGGATTCCTTCAGCTTCTTTCCATACTATGTTCTCTGTGCTATTCAATAAATATAGAGCCAGCTTTTTGTTAAGGATGGACACAACCACAGACCAGATAGAAACACAGCAGACAGGCCAAGGGGACATACGAAGCACACACACACTAGATCAGCTAGAGTCAGCCTCCAGACAGTTGGAAGATAAGACATGGGCAGAAAAGTGGAAAATCCAAAATTGGGCTTGCTCTTGATCAAACTAATTCAAGAGGAGATCTGTGTTTTTATTCCTTAATGCAACATCGACACAGGTTAAGTTGTGAGTTTCCGGGCTCTCACACTTTGCTGGTGGGAGGGGTGTTATAATTTAAAAACATAGTGTGTGAGAGAAAGATGCCATCTGACAGAACTTGGGTGGAGGGGCTTTTTATTGGGAGAAAGTGAATGGGAAAAGGGGAGGGGAGAGGGGAGATGGACCTCTGGGGATAGGAGCAGCAGCAGAAGAGAGAGAGGTAGGGGGTGAGGGGAGGGGAAGAGCGAGGCAGAGAAGCAGAGAGAGATGAGAAAGATGTGGGAGGTGGGCAGGGCCCTTTAGAAAAGGAACAGTGAATATGCACAGGAGATGCTCTTAGTGGCTGCATTTGAGGGCATATCCTGTCAGAACCCCAAGGACAGGCCAGTACAGATGCCTGAATACTAACAAGGGGCATTCAGTGCAATGCCTTTGGGAGCCTGGCATTCTGCAGGAGATGCACTTACTGATGACTTTGCAGTTTTAGTTGGGATCTATACCCAACAGAAATATGTCCATCAGAACAGTTATCCTTAAATGGGCTTAGGAGCAGGGCTGGTAACAGCCAAAAGAAATTCTTCCAAACAATAAATAGTACTGTCTAAATAAATACTAGTCATATGATGGAATATACAGAATTCACTATTCAGAATGAAGAATAATGAATTACACTCAATTAGAATGAACCTCAGAGACAGAAGGCTGAACAAACTTGTGGATGCAGCCTTCACATGTAATATTTGAATCCTGGCAAAACCAGTCTTTGGCATTAGAAGTTAATGGTATTCTTGCGGGGAGAGGTGTGGGTAACTGGAGAGATTTGGAAGACTGGAACCTTCTTCTAAAGCTTGTTGCTGGTCCAGGCAATCAGTCAAAACCATTAGGAAAAGTGAAGTGATCTTGAACTTACTTCTTTTAATTTTTTGTTTTCCAGGATGAGAAGGGTTGCCTTTTGGTCATTTACATAGATTTCGTTTTCCAAGTTCTTTATAAATTCAAAATGCTCTTTGGTTTTTTTACTTTCAACTTCTCGTAAATGTTTTAATTCTTTCTTCACACTTTCCTGCCCAAACATAAAAGATACAGTTATCTCCTAAGGATCAAAGGGCAAGGCACCAGCATTAGGCTGCCTAGTCACCTGTTCTGCATTCATCCCTGAGCTGTGCAGCAGAAAACCCCAAAAGCTGCATAGTAAAAACTCATTTGTGCACTCTGGTAATGTCATGTATGAACCTTAAGTGAAGTATCCTAGACACTAACCAAACTTCACAAATTAGGACTTGCTTTCATACTTGGATAATTGCCTGTCCAAAATGGGGAGTGGGAGCCAGAGGTGGGGGTGGGGTTCACTGAGATTTTGAAGGAAGGTGTTTCTGATGGATATTTATTTGCCTGTTTATTCACCTACTGTTTGTTTGCTTTGGAGATAAGGTGTCAGGTATCCCAGGCTGACTTCAGGACTCTGTAGCTGAAGATGACCCTAGGCCTCTAACATTCCTGTTTCCACCTCCCAAGTGCCAGCATTACGACTGTGGTCCACCAAGATCAGTCAATGCAGGGTAGAGGACTGAACTCTACCAGGGCCTCACACATCTCAGCCAAGCACTATTCCAATGGATCTATACCATCAATCCTAATCCTGAGTCCTTTCTTAAAACAAATTATTTATCAAAAAAAATTTCTTATAGAATTCTCTATTCAGTTCTCAATTATTATAGCATTATAAGCCTCATTAGAAAAAAAGTGTGTGTGTGTGTGTGTGTGTGTGTGTGTGTGTGTGTGTGTGTGTACATGTGCATTACCTTTCCCTGTAATGTCCTCATCCATATTTCTTCTTGCCCACAGCATATCAAAAATCACATTTGAGGAGGTGGTGATGGCACACACCTTTAATCCCAACACTTGGGAGGCAGAGGCAGGAGGATCTCTGTGAGTTCGAGGCCACTCTGGTCTATAGAGTGAGTTCCAGGACAAGGTTACACAGAGAAACCTTGTTTTGAAAACATAAATACATAATACATACATACATAATCACATTTGATATCCAAATATATCAAAGAATAGGATAATTCCATGTTCAATTAACCAGCTCCACATAAATCATTTATAATGAAGTCATAGGCTGTGTATTTTGAAAGATAGTAAACACTTCTTTGATTGCTTCTGTTCTATCTGCCACAATCACTGCCTACTCAGCCTCAAAGAGCGCGGGCAGTACAATCCCCACCCTCTTAGAGAGAACTTAGGGTCAACGATGTTTATTTCTACCATTAAACTTGAGCGGCTTCCAGAGATCCTCCCTATTCTTAATCACGTATTAATCCGAGGGAACTGAGAGCTATCAAACCTAGAAGAAGCTCACTTCCCAGTGTTTCTCTGAAGGAGTCTCAGAGATGATTAGATCACAAGGGCGCTCACATAACAGATTTAGTTCACTGGCAGACCCCAGTTTTGTACAGAGTATTTGGAGGTGACAGGACTGGGGACCATGAGGCCAGTGGAGGAAATGTGCGTGTGTATTTTAATGAGGTAGGGAAGTCCCAGCGCCTTCTTCCTATTATTCCTCTCTGCCCCCTGCTGACCGTGAGGTGAAAGGCTTTCCTTAGCCACGTCTTTCCTGCTGGCAGCTCAGAAACAAGAAGGGCCAGCCAATCAGGGACCTCTGAGATCAAATAACCCCTCCCGCCATTAATTTGGTTTTCTCGGGTGCATATGTCTCACAGTAGTGCAAAACTTCCCCGTTATGTATATATTCACTACAATTTTAATAAGTTTAATAAGTAAGTTTAATAAGTCAATTTCATGAAAACTGAATAAATAGTATTGCTTGCACACACTAGTATTTTAAAGTAAAGAAGGAGAGGGCGGGGTCTCTGAGTGGTAGCATTCTTTTATCCCAGCATGCTGGATGGAGGCTAGGGTGGGCGATTTAAGTCTAAGGAGTTTAAGTCTAAGACTGGCAACACAGAAAACAAAACAAAACAAAAAACCAACCAACCAAACAAACAAACAAAAAACCTTGTTTAAGAAAACCAAGCCCCAGGGACATAGCCCTGGCAACACAGCACTTGCCTAGCATATAAAAGCCTGGCCTTCAAACCCCAACACCGCAAATAGCACAAAATAGAATTCCAAGACAAATGAACCACAGCGATTATTTACCGTGTTGTCCAAATATCTGATGATATCCTTTCTAAAGCGGAAAATGTAGTTGCTCAATAGATTCTCCTCTTGCTTCTTTGCTATTTAAAAAGACAGAAAATAACTGTCCACAAAGTTATTTGGCTTAAAAAACATTAACCAATATAAGGCATGCATAGTTTTAACAGTCGCATTATGATAAACTATTACCACAATAAAAAGGCAGCTAATAGCCAGGTGGTGATGGCACACGCCTTTAATCCTAGCTCTTGGGAGGCAGAGGCAGAGGCAGATGAATCTCTGTGAGTGCAAGACCAGCCTGGTTTACAAGAGTTAGTTTCAAGATAGGCTCCAAAGGCACACAGAGAAAGCCTGTCTCAAACCTCCCCCCCCAACCCAAAAAAAAAAAAAAAAAAAAAAATGCTCCCTAGTGCATTACCTTTGTGTCTGGTTCCTCAGAATCAACCCTATTATCCGTTTGTTTCTTTTAGATTTGTTTTTGTGAGAGCAGAGGGTGTGCACTCAAAGGTATGTGGCGGTCAGAAGATGGCATCAGAGTTGAGTTTCTGGAGTTTGAGGGTTGCTTGGTTATTATATAGGCACCATGATCTGAACTCTGGTCCTCATGGCTGTGGATTAAGTGCCCTTAGCCACCGGGCCATCTCTCCAGACCCCTCAGACACATTTGAAGAAGAATGCCTTTAGTTGTGTTTTCCACTTAGCTCAATTTTCTTAAATTATGTGCTTGTGAGGCTGTGGTTATTTTAAGACATTTTCTACTCATTTCTACTTTGTACTAAGAGGAGAAACGGGAAGGCTGGGGAGAATAAGGTATCTACGAACCCAGATAAAAGCATCAAGTGAAAGCCTCCCTGTGATGGGAGATGCCATTATGTATATATGTTTCTCATACTGGTTAATGAATAAAGCACTGTTGGCCAATAGGAAAGGAAGATAGGAGGGGAGGAGACAAGATGGAGAGTGCAGAGAATTGAACCGCCAGCCGCCTCTCGCTGGTAAGACCACGTGGAAATACATAGAAATGGGTTAAGACAGAGCTAGCCTATAAGAAACAAGTTACTGGCCAACAGCATTATATCAAATACAGAGTCTCTATAAGAAACAAGTAACTGGCCAACAGCATAATATCAAATACAGAGTCTCTGTGCATTATTTGGGGCTGGCGCCGCGGCCGGAGGAGACCAGGCAGCGGGAGGAAAAACCCAACTCCTTACATCCCTGACTTCCTGAAAATCTGCCAAGAAATAGAAAACCAACTCAGAAATGGCAGGCAGACTGGCTGCCCAGGCTCTTAGTATCCCATTTATATATTCTAGCGAGTTTTAACTCCTTGGAAATAATCAATATTTATTTGCTTTACAGTTTATCTAATTGATACAGGCTGTGTTAATCCATATCTTTATGATTATCTGCTCGATGCTCACTCCCACTCCTACCCCAGAAGGCTGTTCTTTCATTGTCCCCATCCCAGTCCTTTCTTTTACTCTGAGCCCTGGCCTTCTGATTCCCACAGTTCCTCCATCATCTAGAAGACATGTCATCTGGAAGTGGTAGCTGCAGAGGTCCTAGATAATGGCTGGCCCTCCACTTCTGGAATGAAGGCAAAGGTCAAACATTCTGGACCTTAGGTGCAGGGTTAAGTGAACACATCTAATATTTGTGGCAGAAACAATTGTTTTTTATTTGAACACACATGGTTATATGCACACATTGTGTAATATGTTGTGCTGTGTGACAGAATGCAAAAGACATACATACACTTTCCAGACATGGTCCATATCTCTGGAAGTGCCATCTATGATAATTCTTATTAATCTTTGCCTTAGGGATAGGTGAGTGGGGGCAGGTATCTACTTGGAGGAAGGAGGGAGAGGAGAAGGGAGGAGAGCGGGGAAGAGAGCAGGGAAGAGAGGGGGAAGAGAGGAGGGAGGGGGAACTGAGTAGGAGAAAGAACTTGGAGAGGAGAGGAGGGAATGGTAGATAAACAAGCTGGAAAGCAGAGTGCTTCTCCTTGGGTGTGGGATGGATTTCCACCCCCTTTGTGCTGGCAGGCAGAGGGGATGGGACGTAGTTACCAGCACTTCATGCACACCTGAAATATCACTGTGGAGGGACTTGAGACTCCTGTTCTTTTCTTTGTATGCCTCTTCTGCTATCTGAAGCTGTGGGAGGCTGTCCACTAGTTCCTCTTCTCTCTCTTTGTTCGTCTGTGCTTCCTTCGTAATCAAATCCTGTAAGAAAGTAAGGCTGATTGATCAAAGAGGTTTGGACCCGTCACACAGCTTAGAGTTAAAGCGGTCTTCTCCAAGGGAGAGCTTCCATGGGTGTGGGGGGGGGGGTCCAGAGAGAGGTACCTGGCACACACTCTGTGTTTGAGAAATAGGTGCTGCCTATTCATTCACCCTGGTGCACTACATTCAATCTACAAAGATGCTGTCAATTAGGAGTCTCTGGCTGTTTCCATTCCTACTATCTGTGCAACCAAAACATGCTTGAGGAAAATTGCCTTTGGTGTATCACGTTCTATGCAAAGGAGCAGCGAAATATAAACATGCATGCTCCAAGAAATATGAACAATGTAGAAACAATGGGGTATAAAGGGACAAATGGAAAAGGTACTCTGAGGAAAAGCATGAAGATTATCTGTTTACTTAATTGTCCTGGTTGGTTTTTGTCAACTTGACGCTGGCTGGGATCACTTGGGAAGAAAGAGCCTCAGTTGGAAACATGAGCCCACCTGACTGTCCGGAGGGGTATTTTCTCGAAAGGTAACTAACGTGGGAGGACTCAGCCTGCTAATTGTACATGTGCCATGGCAGTGTTATCCCTGAGCAGGTGACTTGTATAAGAAAGCAGGCTGAGCTTTCTTATACTGGAGAGCAAGCCAGTAAGCAATGTCTCCTCAGGTTCTGCTCCAGTTCCTGCCTCCAGGTTCCTGCATCAAGTTCTTGCCTTGCTTTCCTTCAGTGCACTGTATATGACCTGAGATATGCAAGCCAAGTAAAACTTTCCTGGACAGGTTGTTTTTGGTCAGTGTTTTATCGAAGTAATAGATTCCTTCAATGACAGGAATTCTGAGTTGTAACCGGGGACTTGGCTCCCATCTGGAGCATGCCTTTCCTCACATGTATGTATGTATGTCTATAAACAGAAGCTGTGGGTGCCAATTTTAGACCCAGGCCCTCAACCAAAAATGACCCTTTCACCCTTTTCCTGGCTGACTGGAGATAAGTGTGGAAGCCATCACTTGTACCTTCATGTCAGCCTCACGCTGAAGTGGCAAAGATGTCTACAAGTCCTGTGCTTACCATGGCCTGAGCTAGGAATGAGAAATGAAAGTCTGTCTTGCTTCCAGTGAAAGGACACATAAACGGTCTTAGTTCCTGTTCTATTGCTGTGAAGAGACACCATGACCACAGCAACTCTTACAAAGGAAAACATTTAATTGTGGCTGTCTTATGGGTTCATAATTTTAGTCCATTATCATCATAGTGGGAAGGGCATACAGGCAGACATGGTGCTGGAGAAGGAGTTGAGAGTCCTACATCTGGATTGGCAGGCAGCAGGAAGACAGAACACTGGCCCTGGCTTGAGCATCCGAATCCTCAAAGACTACCTCCAGTGACACAATTCCTCCAAGAAGGCCATACCTGCCCTAACAAGGCCACACACCAAGCAGAATCACTCCCTGGCGATCACACATTCAGTTTATGAGCCCATGGTGCCACCACAGAAACCACCCCCACATCAAGACCAAGTCACATAACTTTCCCCTTGCCCTTGAAGAGACAAGACCTTCACCCAGCCCTCTGCTTTAGCAGCCATGACAGGCTATAGAAAAGGCATGTAGGCCTCTAACTCAGCACATGACACAAAGAAACTCCAGATGCCCTGGCCTCCTAGAGCCTAGGGCCAAAACTGAACACAAAGAAACTCCAGACAACGCCCCCCTCCCACCCAGCCTCCTAGATATTTGGTTCCTGGGAACTGTTTGGCCACAAAAGAAACTCTAGGGAAGACCAAAACCTCCCCTGTAGTCTCCAGGATACAGTTCTGAAAACTATTAGTGTCTGTGAACAACTGGCCACCTGCAAGTAATAAGAGACAAAGCCATAAAAACCACAGAATATTTCCTCTCAGCACTGACCAATGAGAAAATTGGTACATAGGTATTTCATGCCAAAATATGACTTTGAGAAATTCCCCTAATTGTTCTCCAAATGTCAACTAATCAGAAACCAACTGTACCTACTGATGTAATCCTGTGATTCCCCCCTTTAAAACCTAGCAGTAGACAGGGAACTCCATTTCCTCTGGTGGCTGCTGCATCAGCCAGCTAGATGAGGCCCCTGTCATGGTTGGATGAAATAATAAAACCTTGCTGTTGCAGTTCGGTGGGTCTGTCTCCCTGGTGGTCTTTTTGGGGATCTTCGAAACTTGGGTAAAAAACTGATATTTCTTAAGGATTAGCTTCCCACGGAAATCTATATTTTCGCTTGTTTGCTTGTTGAGGCTTTTTAGGAGGCATGATCTTGTGTAGTGATCCTTCTTCCTCAAGTCTACTTTTTATTGATTAAGTACACAGTAAAATTACTCTGGAATGCACCAACACTCTCTTAAGCACTTCTAAATCCTGAGTTGCAGGAGGTCACACCTGCAAGGGTGCTTGCCAAAAACACATAAAATCTAGACACAGCGCCTTTCATCAATGCAGAGATGGCCATTCATGTCTTCTTTGGACACACTGGCCTGTAGTTCTTACTGAGTTATGTTATAGAGATATATGCATACAACTCATACTCTAAAAAAGGGGGGAGCTATTTTTTTTCCTTTGTATAGACAACTGAGATGTCTGGGGCTGTGGTAATATTTTGTTAATGCTTTAACAAAAAAAAAAAAAAAAAAAAAAAAAAAAAAAAGCTTGCTTGCCTGAAGCTCAGAGTGCAGAGCTAGCAACTAGTTAGCCATAGAGGTCGGACAGTAGTGGTACACACCTTTAATCCCACAACTGGGGAGGCAGACGCAGGCAGATCTCTGTGAGTTCAAGGCTACCCTGGGCTACATGAGATGAATCTAGTTTAAAAGAGAAATAGAGCCAGTCTGTGGTGGCTCACAGTACTTGGGAGTCACAAGCCTTTAATCCCAGCACTAGGGAGATGGAGTGAGGAGTGACATGGCTGGGTGAAGAGAGGACTATTAGACAGGAGGAGACAGGAGCTCGTTGCATTCAGTCAGAGGATTCGCAGGGACAGGATTGCCCCTTTGGTCTGAGGATTCAGTAGAGGTAAGAACTAGTGTTTGGCTGTTCTGCTCTGATCTTTCAGCATCAACCCCTATATCTGACTCTGGGTTTTTATTATTAAAACCAATTAGAATCTGTGATACATGGGACTCATATTGTTCTGTGAAAAAGCATGTAGAAGAGTTTCCCTTGGGAAGATGGTCATCAAAAGACAAGAGCCTCTGTCTTCCAAAGTGCTCTCTTCTTACTAAAGCTCTTCCTTCATCATTACTCTGGTTCTGGAGTGATGGAATCCATCAGGAGGCTGAAGACTGAACCTTGTGTGGTTACACAATGACTACTTTAGGATATCTTCTTGCTAGACAGTCAGATGCACACAAGTCCCCTAGGCCAACTTTAGAGTTTGCTATCTAAAAACCTTTACTTTTCGTTTAAATTTTATTCAAGTTGTGTACTTGTTGAAGGAAGGGTTGTGGCCCAGTAGAGCAAACAAAGCCAGAGTTGTTTCTTTAGTGGGGGACAGTTCTTATAACCCAGTAGACTCAAGGCACTTTAGTGATCTTGGACTCACCATGGTGACAAGTCAGATGTGAAAGGTGGATACCCACATTGGTGGACATCATAGTCCTCCTTCCCTCTTGACCTCCGTGTTCAAATATAGACCGATCTCACCTGTACACACCTTGCAGGTCATTGAAAGGGCCACATCCTGTTCTCTGGTTTCCCACTGATAATTCCCACAGTACAGTTAGCATGATAATACTATGGTTATCTCACCCCACCTTTTCAGGCTAAGATTGATTTTCAATATAGAGGAGAGAGGATTGTTAGCTCTTTAGTGTACATCCTGTTTCTCCATCTCTTTGACATGGCATCTTGCTCACAGCTTATGTGTTTTCCCCTGAATTATCATTAGATTGCTTTTGAAAAAAGTCAGGAAGATAAATATGCATATGTTTTAACTACAGTTTAAAGATATCATGATGAGGAAGCAGAAATAAATATCTCCAGGCTTTAACATTGTGTAGGTTGCCCCTAAGTAGCACTAGTTATCATTCCATGAGTAGTTATTAGCTTTGAATCAGTTTGTCACTCACAAACTTTGTATCCAAGGCTTAGCTCCCCAGTGGGCAATGCTTGTAACATGATAAATAAATGAACCCAGAGACAGTTATTAGGGTTCAAGCTAAAGATTAGGGAAGCAAAGCAGCCAAGCTACCTCTAACAGGGTTGGGGTGTTCCTATTCTCAATGTGACTGGAGAATGAATGCCTGATACTGAGACCTTGCTCCTGTCTCATATACCTCCCTACTTCTGGGAATGTGACCCCGGGTGCTGAGGACATCTTTGTGTGAGCTGGATCAATCTTGTGTGGATATGAGTGGCCTTGGACTCCCAGAGATCTGACTTACTCTCAATGCTGAGTCCTAGGATTAAAGGTGTGTACCATCACTCCCTAGCTAGCTTCTACCTGCTGGGCTTAAAGGTGTGTGCCTGGCTTCTATGGCTTGTGGCTGACTTTGCTTTCTGAGTCCTCTGGCAAGCTTTAATAAATCATAAATAATATTTCATCACAGGTGCTACTTGGGGGGCAGGATTGGAAACAAGTAGGTGGGATCTAGCTGGAGGCAGCAGGTGATGGGGCATATGCCCTTCACTGGTGTTTTGCTTCCTGCTTCTCTTTCTTTTTGCTTTCTGGACATGAGAAAATAGCAACTTTGTTCTACACAGGCTTTTGCCGTGATGTTCTGTCCCATCACAAGTTCGTAACAGTGGAGCAAATCATGGACTTGAGCCTCTGAAAACATGAATTTAAAAAAAAAAGTTTTTCTTTGTTTTCAGTTGTTCTTCTATGCATTCATCACAGCAATGGAAAGCAGATTAACATCACTGTGGTGGGTGGCTTGAATGACAAATGTTCCCCATAATCTTGGGCATCTGAATCCTTGGCTCCCAGCCTGTGGAAGTATATCACTGGGGCAGGCTTTGAGATCTTAACACCTTATCCCACTTTCAGCTTGTTCCCAGCTCCTTGCTTTGGTTACCATGATGTCACCGGAACGGACTCTTATCCCTCAGGAACCGTAAGCTATATTAATCTTTCTCCTATAAGTTAACATGGTCATGGTATTCTATCACAGCCATAGAAAAATAAATACTACAATATCTAACACACTGTAAATTCAAAGCATCAGTGAGGTGCGTAGAGCTTCAATAACAATTAGAAACAAGTACATTTCAGCTTGGATGCAAGTTGCATGTGTCTTGGCAATCATAAACACACACCCCTCCTTCTGACCCAAATTGTGAAAACCCACTGATTTTGCTTCTACCCAGAACTTCAGTCTCTTCAGCTGTTCTCACAGTGGCTGCCTCCAAGACACATGCCCTTATTTAATAGTATCACCTTGAAAAGGTGCATTTGTGTGGGTGTGTGCATGGGGACAGTGCTTGCAGTCTACAACATCTGGAAGCCTGGATGTGTTTGATGTCTGTCATCTCCACTTTCTCTAGTGTCCATTTTTTTTTTATTTACCCCTGATTGGCTTTTGGAACTTTTTAAAGGTATTCTGAGCTCTACTCCTCACTCAGTATTCTCTCCATCTTTACCATCTCAGCTCCTACTGGCTTTCCTACACAACTTCACCCTCCCTCGCAATGCTCATTGCATGTCACGTGGAAAAATTTTGAGTATATGGGTGGTTTTTGTTTTGTTTTAATGAAAAAAAAAGACCCTATTTCTGTTTCTTTTTCAGAAAAAGAGGAAAGATGCAGACTAGACTTGTGACCTTGCCTTTGTCCATACTGGAAGATTTATTTTACATTTACACAATCATGATTGCATGTAATATCATTTCCATTTCTCTCACATAATACTTCAAAGTTATTCTGAGATACAAAATAAAAATTACCTCATACTTGCTTAATTCTTGCATTAACCTTTTTTCTTTTTTGACAAATTCCTTTTCTTCTACTACTAATTCTGATTTAAGTTGATCAATTTCCTTCACAAATTCATCGATTTCCTGTTCTCTACGTTTTGTCTAAGTAGAGGAAAATGAGATTTGTTATTTCTCTTGTCATGGATAGTTTTACATTTCAAAACAGCTTGATAAACTGTGGGGTTTCTCAGAAAACTCTGAGGAGGGTGACACTTGGCCTTTCTCCTTTAGAAGTTTAGTCTTTCACCAGATGATAACTAGACAACACGAATAATGAGAGAGTTGTATAAGGAGTAAATATAGGAGTGATAAAGGATGCTTGGTAAGCTAGGATCTGCTTCTATGCGGCAGAGACACACCCTAGAAAGTGCGGCTAGGTAATGTGCTGGATCTCCCTTGGTGGCTTTCCTCCAAGCTGCTACATTTGCTACCAAGCCTGATGATTTGAGTTTCATTTCTGGGACTCCTATGGTAGAAGGAGGAAACCAATTCCTTGAACTTGTATCCTGACCTCCATTTGAGCATATGCACATACATGAATATAATAAAAAAGATTAAAACATCTAGTTAGCATATACCAAATAGACAGATTTGATTTCTAAAGAAATATCTATAGTAAGTACACTAACCATAAAATCCAGATAAAGGAAAACACCTTTTAGTAGAATAAAGTTTGTTTAAATATTGAGGGGGTGTTACTGACTTCTCTGTTGGTGACTACCATAATTCTAAACACTTTGGGTTTTCTTACCTCTTCAAGTAATGCAGTTCGCCTCTCTTCTGCAAGCTCAATTTGACTTATAATCTTCTTCATGTTTGCCTTTATTTTAAATAGCCAACGTGCATGCCTTTTTCTCACACAGCTTATTCTCCACTGAGTAACGACACTAGATAGCAGAACAAAACAGATTTAACATTATATCAGCACAGCAGCTTATGCCGACTATGAAGCAAAACAAGTCTGACTACCATTTTACCATGTTGCCTGGGCCTTCAGTGAAGTACACTCTGGCTACTAACTAAGGGAAGGCAGAGTGCTGCTGGCTGCCTCAGCACCAGCGCGGCCTGTGCCTCTAGTTTCCCGGGGAGGAGAGGTCCTTGCCCATCACAGCAGTGTGGAGACCATGCTGGGCTCTCCTCTTTCAGGTCGAGGATGGACATGAGGGAGGCGACAAGGAAAGTGAAGAAAGGAGAGGCGTGGGCAGAAATAGTAATGGAGTCACCCAAAGTACTAATAAGAAACTTCAAGTTTTAGGCTCTCAAACTTAAGGAAAAAAGCCCCCCCCCAAACCCCCCCCCAAAAAAAAAAACCAGGAAAAGCAAAAACAAACAAATACAAACAAAAACAGCTGTTTCTTTGGAGAATGGTAAAACGTACGATTTCAGCTTTATAAGTTATAGTATCAACAACAACAATGCTAATAAAATATACTTAAGTGCAAGTGAGTGCTACCTGTGTACATTTGACCTCCATACTTTTGATGGATCATCTCTTTGGCATTCACCCTATAGGACTAGGGCGATGAGAATAGATTAACTGAGCAATGCTTAAAACTAATAAGGCAGGGGCTGGAGAGATGGCTAGGCTCACAACCAAAAATATAAAACTAATAAGACAGACTGGTGCATGTGAAAGTCTGTGATCTTAATTACTGTCCTCTATATCAACCTTATTGTAAATTGACCCAGAAGTCTGGGTGGGCAACAGACATTCACAGATACTGGCAATCTCACTCTTTGGTGATTTCCCTGAGCTGAGATGAGAAACAAAGAACAATTTAACAAACATATCTAGATCTGAATGGATGTATGTGCAATTTAATTTAGGACAGTAATTTTATTAGACTCTATATAACATATACTACTGATCTCTCAGACCCATCATATTACTTTCTTTGAAGTTCTCTTTCCAGATTCTCACTCATGAGTTTTATTTGTTTTCGATACACTTCCTTTGTTGCTCTAAAAAAAAAAAACAATAAACATACATATTGGATTTTGTACTTATAGTTCGTCAAATACATATGAAAGTCTTAACACATTTATTAGAATGGGTACAGGCAATTGTAAAATTTTAGCGGCTGTATTACACAAGGGCATATGAACTGCTCCTGCACACCTATGCGAGAATGCAGAGGAGAGTCTAGGAAAGCATTGGAGGCAGGTCTCTGGAGGCTTCGGTTAATAGGGAGGGATGTGGATGGCCAGAATGGAGGTGTGATCTTACCAAAGAACCGGTGCGATCATTTGTGAAGATACAGAAGAAGGCACAGAAACGTCAGAGCCCAGCCACAACACAGGCTGGGAGGCTTGCTGCCCAGGGACTGTGAAAGGTGCACCAAACTGTTGAGGAACTCTGTGTTCTAGACAGTTCTAATTTTGTACAATACAGAACACAGGAAGGCTAGACAAGTTCTTGAACTAAGGGAAGGTCTTAAGTGTGTGAAATTTTCTTGAGGGAGGCTGGAAGGAAATGCAAAGACTCCAACACAGGTAACACAAGCCTCTGGTTCCATTCTCTTTCCTCTCACCACAGCTTCATACATACAAGCAAATCAAATGCCACTTAGGTAACATGACACTTTGTGTCCTTTCAAAGACAGAAATATTCATGAATGAAACATACAGTTGAACTATTGTTCCATAAGGTTTTGAAGGCCAGAAATACAAATTAAAGGATTCGGAATGCAACTGAATCAACCAGAACTAACCACAAGGCCTATGTTTCATAGTCTATTTGAAATAATAACCTATTTTAGATATCTAAGGTTCTTCATAACTCTATATCTCCTTAACGAGTTTGTTGCAATACACATACACACATACATACATATTTCCACAAATGATCTGAGCCAGTTTAAAAATAACATGGAATACAAAAGTTCATAACAACATTGAGCTACATATTTCATTCTGATCTTCTTGGTGACCAGAGCCAGAACCACTCAGTTACTCATCAAAAGGGCTGGGTATGTAGTGGTACACTCCTTTAATCCCAGCACTCAATAGGCAGAGACAGAAGGATCTCTGTGAGTTTGAGGTCAGCCTGGTCTACATAATAAGTTCAGGATAGCTAGGGCTACATAGTGAGATCCTATCTCAAAAAAATCTATAATTAATACATTTACATTATTAGTTAGAAAAATAAAATCTGATTGAACACAATTCAGTTTTCTTGCTCCTTCATAGGAGAAGTTCATAGTTTTCCTTCTGAAGCTGGCCCGATGAAAACTAGACATTTAAGTGATTGCTTATCTATACAGAGACAATAATGCAAAGAGCCTATACTTCATGTCTATGCTGGGTAGTTTTGTGTCAACAAGCTAGAGCCATCTGAAAGGAGGAAACCAAAGTAGAGAAAATGCCTCCATAAGATGAGGTTGTAGGAAAGCCTGTGAGACAGGCTTTTAATTGGTGATCAGTGTGGGAGAGCCCAGCCCACGTTGAGTGTGGACACCACTGGGCCAGTAGTCGTGGGTTCTACGACAAAGCAGGCAATAGAGAACAAGTCAGTGAGCAGAACCCCTCCACGGCCTCTGCATCAGTTCCTGCCTGCCTCTAGGTCCCTGCCCTGCTTGAGTTCTTACCCTGACTTCTTTAGCTGAGGAACAGGATGTGGAATTGCAAGCTGTATAAATACTTTCCTTCCCAAGTTGCTTTGGTGATGGCATTTCGTCACAGGGGTAGTGGCCCTATCTAACACAATATCACACCCAGCGTTCTAATGCTGTGTGCACTTTTCACCGCCACCTGCCCTGGTTGTGTAAGCTGGCCTTGTCACTGCCCTACATACAAATAATGTGCTCCTCTGTTTCTTGTTTGCATTCATTCTATTTTTTATTTCTCCTGTCTTAGTCCTGTGGCTGAGCTCTATATTAAGTAAGTGTGTAAGGAATGAATGCTTTTGATTCTTACTCCACTCTAGAGAATGCTTAGTTTTCCCCCTGTTGGGTTTAGGTTCGCCATGGCCTCCCCGCCCCATTTGTCAAAAGACTTTTCTGTGTCTATTAGGATGATCCCATGATTTCTGTTCCTGATTCTATTTATACATCCTTGGAATGAAAGAACTTAGCCAACAAGTATAATCTTTTATATGTTCTGGTGAACTTGGTTTGCAAGTATTTTTGTTGAGAATTTTTATATCAGCCCATAAGGAAAATTATTCTACAGCTCCTTCCTTCTATTGGTGCTGTCCTCTTATCTGGTTTGGGTATTAAGGTGATACTGGGTTTAAAGAATGAGATTGGCAGCATTTCTCCCCTTTCTGATTCAGTGAGTCATTTGAAGAGTTCAGTTCTTCTTTGGATGTCTGGATGGATTCCCGCCAGGGTTTTCCTTTTGGGGAGACACTTTGCTACTGTTTCAATCATGTTGTTCAATACAGATCTGTTTCAGTTGTTTGTATCCTCTTAATGTTGGTAGGTCATATGTAGTATGGTAGGTCATTAGTAACTTATCAGTTTATTCATTTTCTAACTTGTTGGATGATACACAAGTGGCATAAGATTGTGATGTCTCCCTCTCCTACTCCCAGTTTTGATTCTCGTTTGCTGAGTTTTGCTGAGTGCTCGGTGCTTTAAACCTTTCCAGAGAATCAACTGGTCCTTCTTGTTCTCTCAATCTCTATTTCATTGATCTATACCATGCTCTTCACATGTTCTTCACTGTTTCTTTCCATCTACTCATATTAGGCTTGGGTCAGACCTGTTCTTTAAAACTTTGTTGTGCCTCACTAAACGAACAGAATGGTTCTGGAAGAATCACAATATCTGGTCTCAAATTTTGCTAAAGAGCCATAGTAACAAAACCAGTATGGTACTGGCAAAACAAAACACACACACACACACACACACAGAGAGAGAGAGAGAGAGAGAGAGAGAGAGAGAGAGAGAGAGAGAGAGAGAGAGAGACAGAGGTCAAGGGAAGAACTGAGATTTGTCAAGGGCACCAAAAATATATGTTAGAGAAGAGACCACCTTTGCAACATTTGGTGTTTAGAACTTTTAACGTACCTTTTCCCATTTATGCAGCTATTTCTTAATACGAAAGTCCTACTTAGGCTAGCCAGTTAACAGAGGAGGCATTTAAAAATCAAAATTATTGCACAAGTGTCTTGCATAGATATTTTCAGTCTTCCACTGATACCAGACCTCCTTGAGCTTGTTCTTTGGCAGCTTACACTGCTTTGTTCACAAGCACACATGGCTCATTAGTTATTTTATGTGCATTTGTCTTGCTTGTCTCCTCACCAACAGTGCATAAATGTTCCTTTCTCTACACATCGTCCCTGCAGTTTATCATGGCTTTCTCGGGGGTAGCCAGTCTTATGGAGGTGAAGCGGAATCCTTGGAGTCCTATTCACCTTTCCTTGTGGGTGAGGTGAACAGTTTATCGTGTATTAATTGACCACTTGTGTCTCTTCTTTGGAGAAATTTGTTTAATTCATTTGCACATTCATTAGATGGACTATTTGTTCTTTGAGTATATCATTTTTTTTTTGAGTTCTTTATATATTTTGGATAGTGATCCTTTGTCAGATGAGTAGCTGGCAGAGTTTTTCTCCTGTTTTGTGGACTTTCCCTTCACTGTGGTCACTGTATCTTTTGCTGCCCAGGAGCTTTATAACTTGATGCTTTATGATGTTATAACCTGTTTGACAATTTTAGTTGTCATGCCTGGGCTATTGGAGGCCTATTCAGAAAGTTGTTATTTATGCCTGTATCTTAAAATGTTTTCTCAAAGTCTTGGGTCTTACTCAGTCTTTTATTTCTGCTTTGTTGGCTCCAGTGATGCTGGGAATTGAACCTAGAGCTTGAGTGTGCGTGCAATTGTGTTGAGTCATAGTCCTATCTTTGCACAGATACACTTTTAAGTGGAAGATAATGTTGTAGAGTAATAAAATCCAATTTTAAATATGCTCCATACATACACATCTCCTTATATTAATATGTGTGTAAAGTATGTGTGGCAAACTATTAATAGTGATCATTTATGTGTAGATATGGAGAGATTAGGGTAACTCTTTTCCATAAACAACATATTTTCACCTTTAAAAATTAAGTTTGGGCATAGGCTCTACTTTGTTAGGAAAAATGTAAATAACTTAGAGTGGCAGAAATGAAGGTTATTGGGGAAGAGGACTGACATAATGGTCAGGCCCATGCTTGCCACAGGCCTAGATCTGGTGCATCCCTTTGTCACCCAGCTTCTGGAGCACCTGTCTATCCCTTCAGTAAACTACGCATTGACCATGACCTCTCTGAACTGTGGGACAGAGAAAGCTGGTTATAAACTTACTTCCCTGTAAGACATATGTCCATATAGACTCGTGGTTCCAGGTTAAAGAAACAAACACAAGGAGAGTAAATGTTTATGACAGCAAGGGCACAGCACTTACTGATGGAGATCCTGAAGGGCTCCGTATCCTTCTTCCATGTTTTTGATGTCCAGCTTTCTCTGTGCTAGGAAGTTTTCTTTCTGGTTAATGAGTGCAATCTGTTTCTGATTTCTATCATGAAAAAAGAAGTGACAGTCATTGTACCGAATGCTGGGATGATCATCCTGAGGAGCTGGAGGCTTGAATGCAGAGGCTTAGACACTATAGGCAAAAAGGTATAAATCATTTAAAGGGAATTAAGGGCTGAGAGATGGTTCAGTGGTTAAAAACACTTGCTATTATAGAGCGCCAGATGGCAGCTCACAACCATCCAGTTCCCAGGAATCCAACACCCTCTTCTGACCTCCTTGGGTACCAGGTGCATATGTAGTGCACAAGTATACATGGAACTTGCACAAAATTCACAATTCTCAAGCCACTGAAAGAACACACTCTGCAATATAAACACAAGACAGCATGGGGAGTTGTCTAGCATTTCATCTGCCTCCAGTGACAGTGCCTCTATCAATACAGTTATAACTTCCATCAGATTTTCCTGAGCAAGGAGAGCAACACAGTCAGACCATCTCTGAGGATGGGCTGAACATCTGAATTGCACTGGGACCTTGGACAAGAAACCTTACCTGTGGGTAAGTCTGCATTTCAGCACCTCAAAAATGAGGGCTGCAGAACCTGTCTCACTGGTAGAATGGATTAGCTCACTACTGACTGGCTCTGCAGACCAATGAGACTTCTTATGGCTGTTGTTTGCTGTCCTGATATACAGCAGAGAAAATGAAGCTCAAAGAAGTTCATGGTTTTGTTTAAATGGCCCAACTGTGACAAGAACTTCTCTGGTAGAGAAAGCATCCTGTGTGACTCACCTTCAAAACCATCCTAATGTGATGCAGAAAGCAAAGTAACTTAAGCTCTCAAAGTTACATATTTCTATGTTTAAGAATCATGCATAGACATAGGATTTGATATTGCTTTGGTTCCATATTGTCATGGGACCTTTGGGAAGTGATTTAGTGTGGATGAGGTCTTGAGGGCAGGGTCTTCATGATTAGATTAAGTCCTTCTAAGAAGAGAAAGAAAAATCACTCTTTCTCTATGTAAGGAGAGAGAAAGAAGGAGGAGGAAAAGAAGAGAGAGAGAGGGAGGAAGGAAGGGAGGTGGAGGGAGGGAGGGATAAAGAGAGAGAGCACTATTTGTATGTCAGAAAGAGGGTCTTCACTAGAACCCAAACATGTTCATGCTGGCACTACCATGCCAGGTTCCCAGCATTTACAGTTGAGAGAAAATAAGTTTCTGTTAAGGCCAGCCAGTTGATGGCATTTTGTTATGGAGAATGAGATGAAGACAAAAGACCACAATGACAGTGAGTTTTTAGTGTTTGGTCTTTTGCCATCAGCACAATTTACTATTCTAGATGATAACTCCAGTATTTATCTGGGGACGGTTTGCACTTGAGGAACTGCAGTAAGATGAGACACGATGATTGCAACAACTCTATAGCTTAAATGCTACAAGAATGAACATGAACTCAGCTTCACGTAAGTGGGCCTGTAACTTTGGGTTACTAGTGGGCTTTTTTCCCTATATAATTTTGTTTTTTTTTCAAGATTTCATTCTGTTAATATTCATAAAAAAGGCATTGTGAATACTGACTACCTACATAACCATGGATGAAGTCCTAGGCATACAGGATAGCATAAGCCTTTTCTGGTCTCTCTGGAGCCCAATAAGCCAGAGGTTTGATATCCAGTTGCTATAGGATGGATGGTGTGGGGTTAAAGTTGGGGGCAGAAAAGCAGAAGAAGAAAAGATGTTTTGGGAGGCAGGCCAGAAAGGAAGGGATATAGTGGAGATATATGTGGGAGGTAGAATTATCAAGCTTTGGTGACCAAATGGAGTCCAGTTGGTAGTGAGAAAGAAATGATTTCCTTGAGTACTTTCTGAAGTCACTGTAGGTGACCAAACTCGCTGAGTCAGTGTTTAATAAAGGTAGATATTATAACTCACTGGAGAGTCTCACACGGTAATTATTGTTTCCAGGGTCTGATTTAAAAGTGTTAATAATGCATTTAATTTTTATGGATTTGAGATGATCTAGATGAAAAAAGCATTTCTTAGCACTGTAGAGGCAGACAAGAAGTGTGCCTATTGATTACTGAATAAAGAGCATCTTGTCAGCAGAGTTGAAAAGTAAGATGAGCTTAGATGGGCAGTCGTCATTTAGACAGCAAGGCAGGCCTCCGTAGCTGAGGCAAGCTGAGTGAACACATACTCATCATAGATCTTCTGTTTTTGCAGGAACACTTTATCTTCCTCCTTCGATACCAACTTATATTGTCTCATGAGTGAGTGTAGTCTCTCTTGGATATCTTTGTTCTCTGATTGGGCTTGCTGTAGTTTTTCCCCCATCTAGGGAAAAAAAAAAAGAGGAAAAGAGAAAGAGAGGGAATTAAGGAATTGATTTGTGCTTCCTTTGGAGATAGTGGCCTTGGGGTGAGCAGTATCAATCAACAGTCCCTTGTACACTGCTCATAACACAGATCTCACACAAAGCACAGCCAACTTAATTCTACAGCAAATACGCAAATGTTTGCTTTGCAGCTTTTTCTGGGAATTATGACAAATTTGCAGAAAGGTTGTAAACATGGATATGAAACCATAAAATGAGAATTCATGCTGAAAGGGAGTATTATAAACACTCTTTGATTATGAAGTGATGATTTTGTGTCCCTTTCCAAGAATTTAAGGTGCAATAGGGCAAAGAAAACAGCATCTCATAGAAACCCTCACTCGATTCTCTGACCATGCTTGCCCCGGGGTTCAGAATAACTGGACCTTCAGCATCCTCCAATTCCCCAGAAAAGTGTGTGCCCGATGAAGCTGTTCCTTCAACCCAACACAGATGGGAAATATTGGAAATCCCAGAAAGTTCTAAAAAGCAAACTTTGAGTTTTCTGTGTACCAATGGAATTTACATGGATGAAATGAAGTGATTTATCTGTAAGGTATTGTAAATACTGTAGAGATACAGAATGTGGGAGGATACATATTAGTTATGTGCACATTTATTTGCTGTGTGTATGGTATTTTATAATAAGCAGGCTAGGTTAGCAATGGATTACCAGGTCAAAGAAATGTTTGCCACAAAAACTGCTCACAATAGCCAAGGTGATGCAGCCAAGCCTAAGTAAGGGTCTCTCAGTGGAAAGATAATGACATGCAAACACGATAAAACACTCTTCAGTTTTTAAGCAGAAGGAAATCCAGTTGTTTGTAAAAGCATGAACTGGGACAATGTGTTAAGTAAAATAATCTAAGCAAAGACAGATAAATATTACACAACCACATTTATATATGGAACATAAAAATTGTTGATTTTATAGACGCAGAAAGTAAATTTGTTGTACCAGGGGCCAATGGAGATGGTGTAAGACTTGGGGGATATTGAAGTAGGAAATCTACCCCACATCCACTAAAAATTTTGCATAGCTCATGGAGTAATCAGTGTTGTTAAATTTGCTTCTAAAACGCATTGAAAGGATAAATTTTATACTTTTGCTGATTTGGAGCAAGACAAAAATAGAAGCTACAAGAAGAGGTTACTGATGCTAAGGGTGGACTGTGGGACTCAATGTTAGTATATGGGAGCAGGGAAGAGGGACCAAAGACATTTCTCCTTCAATGCCAGTAATAAGAAACATCTCAGGTATTGGTGTATATACATAAATGAATCGATCCTATTACATATACTGTTCTACAGTATAGGGCTTGACATTCAATAATATATTGTGAGCAATACTAGTACTCAGTTAATACTAAGTAATACTAATACCCACTCCCTAATTTTTACTACCCCAATGAATGTTTCATTGAGTACTTCATGGCTAAATCCTTGTTTATATTCATGGTTACTTATTTATGCAATTCCTTTTGACTTAAGTTTAGAAAAAATGTCTAGATTGAATTTCCAGAAGGGTGAATTTGGGTATAAACTTTTAAAAACCAAACTAAGAGCAAAACTTTAGAAAAATTTAAAACACAAAGAAAACTAGATTTTAAAAAAGGAAGCAAAGTAAAATATTTAGAGCATTCTGGTGATGAATCCAACTCAAATACTTATAGAACATTGTTATTAAATGTAGAATGATTGTCATGCTTTGTAGACACCACACCATGGCATGATAGTTATATTTTCCTAAGTAATTCACATGCCCATTGAACATAATTATTCCTGATATAAAGCCATCAACCCTCAGGATAAGTAGCCCAAACTGGATCACATTCATTCCTCACAGACAATCTTTGCTGCTTCATACCCTTAGAACTCAAATGTAGGAGCTCAAATGTTGGGATTAGTTTCTGTGAATTATCATAGTTGTCTATGAAAAGCCTGCTTTGGAAATATTCAACATTCATTGTATATTTACTATATTAACTAAAAAATAAGAAGTAATTATCAGGTAAGTCACTTCTGTTACCCTACCTGTTGTATCTTATTCAACATCCCATTCTTCTTGAAAGTAGATACATTATCCATGTGTTCCTTGTGATTCTGAAAAAACAACCTTATGAACACAGGGGGAAAAAAAACATGAATGTTAGAACACGTTTTTCTACAAAGCCACACTTATTTAAGACATCTTAATTTTTTTGGTCCCATCTCTGTACAACCTATTTTTTATACTTATTACTCTATTGATTAATGAATAAATGTGTCATTTATTTATTCATGTATTTGATAAGAAATTATTGAACACTTGTACTGTGCAAGATTTGTTTGAGGTACTGTTGTGCCCAAGTCTCAAAGACTCCCAGAGACTACAAAGGAGACAGACTCATCAAACTGCAAATGCAAGGCTTTATTGTTTAATTCTACCGGGAGGAACTCCGTCTAGCATGCTGAGGCAGCAGCCTCCAGAGGGAGCCAAGTCCCTTGTCTATTGCCAGAATTTAAAGGAAAAAAAAAAAAAAAATAGAATTACATCAGTAGGTATGGGTCAGCTTCTGATTGGTTGACACATGGGGAACAATTAGGGGAACTTCCCAGAGTCAGGGCAACTGGATTTTTAGTATTTTTGATTGGTTGGCTACAGATGGGAGCATTAGTGGTTCCTATGGCTTTGTCTGTTACTTGTAGGTAGCCCATTGTCATTGGTTGGTGCTGGGAAGGAGCATTCTGTGGTTTCTCTGTCTCTTGGATGTGGTTTGTTATCAAACACAGTACCAGGTACTTACTAAGTCTAAGAGGAAGGTTGTCTTGGGAGTTTTGTTCACTACACAAGAACTAGAGGCTAGGGGACTGGATTTGTTTTGAAGGCTTTTCTATAACCTTTACGTTTGTGTAGTTTTTCTGTAGTATGAATATTAAGAGTTGAACGGAAATCTAAAGCTTTGCTACATTTATATAATTTCTCCCCAGTATGAATTATTAGAGGTGAAGCCTTTTAGTTTAGTTTACCTCTTTCAGGTACGAGGGACACAAAATACGTCAAATCCCTATTCTTATGGAAATTAAATCTAGTGAATAATCAGAATAGAAATGGTATACAAAAATGACACTGTATTTCAGATAGTGTTATATGGTCCAAAGAATGTAAACTGGGGTGAGGATATTAAGACCCTAAGAAAAAGAAGGCTGTGACAAGTGGTTTAGGATGATCTCTATGGTGCTGCCCCATGAAAGACCCTGGTGCTGAGAAGGAGCCAGCCACATACAGATCTGAAAGACTTCAGGAAGGGTAAGACCTAGAAACCAGAGGTAGACTGGTATTGTTAAGGGGAAAAAGATGCCCTAACTGCAGGGCAGGGGTCATGATGGTGTTAAAGGGGCAGGCGGGGTTTCATATTTGATTCTGAAGGGAACTGGGAAGGAAGCTTTCAAACAGAGGAGCAACATGAATTAATCCACGCTTTGGAAAGAGGATTGAGATGTCTTTGTGGGAAATGACAAAAGTGGAGGAAGAACCCCACTTCAAGTGATGGTTGCAGTCGAATGAGGCGGGGCGAGAGTCGTGAGTGGGCATACATAGGTGCATTCAGGTGTGATGACTTGAAAAGGAATGGCCCCGTAGATTTGTGCATTTGAATGCTTGGTTGTTAGGGAGTGGCACTACTTGACAGGGATTAGGAGAAAGAACTTAAAGAGAACAAATGCCTGAGTGATGCCCAAGAAAATACAAACTCAAGGCCGATGGAAATGACAAAGACAACCCAAAATCTGAGAGCAGAATTCAATCAGAGACACTGAAGCAGACTCAAGCTGAAGTGCAGAAGGAATTGAAAAACCCAATAGTGTAACTAGAAAACTCAAAGGAAGGTCTTGAAGTGGAATAAATCAAGCAGAAGACAGCAATCATATCTTGAAGGTAAAGGGGAGGATCGAGACCAAATAAACAAGAAGTAAGAAAATCAAAAGCAAACAACAACAACAAAAACAAAGAGAAGGAACATACAGGAAATGTGGAGCACAATTAAGAAATCCAAATGTTCAAATGATAGGCAGAGATGAGGAAGAATCCCAAGTCAAAGGAATAGAACAGATCTTCAACAAGATCATAGAAGAAAACTTTACCAAATTAAGGAAAGTTACACCTATCCCAACACAAGAAGTACACAGAATACCAAAATCAATAGCAACAGACAAAACAAAACAATAGCAACAGCAGCAACACAAAACCAGAAAAGAAAATTGCCATGGCATGTCATAGTTAAAATGCTAAGTATCTATAACAAAAAAAAAAAAAAAAAAAAAAAAAAAAAAAGTGTATTGAAAGCTACCAGAGAGAAAATGCAAGTTACATATAAAGGAAAACTATCAGAATAACAGGTGATTTCTCAATGGAAAATTTGAAAGCCAGAAGAGCCTAGAAAAATGCAGTCTGAGTTCTAAAAGACCACAACCTAAAGTAATACACCCAGCAAAACTACCCCTGACATGATTAAAGAGAAAAAGAAAACCTTTCCACAACCTAAACAGCAAAAAAAAAAAAAAAAAAAAAAAGGAAAAAAATCTGTATCCAACAAAATAAACAGAAAAAGAAAATATTAGAAAACACTATATTGGACTAGAGTGAAGAATGAGCAAAATAGAGAAACTGTGGGAAAAAATATAGAGCCATAATTACTAAAACACAAAATACCTCTGTAAACACAAGCAACGTCACTAAAAAAAGAAAAAGAAAAAGAAATCAACAACACAACGACACAATTATCACACACAATTCAACAGTAACTTTAAATATCAATGGCTTCAATTCTCTAATCAAAAGAAAGAGGCTGAATGGATCAGGAAACAAAACCCATCTGTCTGATACCTACAAAAAACACATCTTAGTTTTAAAGACAGGCACCACCTTAGAGTGAAAGGATAGAACAAAGTACTCAAATCAAATGGGATCAGGAAGAAGACAGATGTCACTACCCTAACTAACATCTGCTAAAATAGATTACAAACTAAAACTAATCAGAAGAGATCAAGGACACTTCATTCTAACCTAGAGAACAGTTAACCAACTATCCTAAACATAAATGCAGGTCATCTAGCAAAAAAGGAACAACAATAGCAAAAACTTCAGAATTAATTGCCATCATACATAGAATGAATTCTGCAGAATGGTCTGTCCAGACTCGAAAGAATACACATCCTATTCAGCAGCACATAGAAACTTTTCTAAATAGACACATCTATAAAGATTGAAATCACTTCTTGTATCATATCTGAGCACAATGCCATAGAACTTAGAACTGACAGAAAAAAAAAAAAAAAGATTTAAAAAAAGCCTTCTAGTAAAGTACAAACTCATGGAGATTAAACAACATATTAGAGATTGCCAAATGGGTCAAAGGAGAGATCAAGGAAGAAAAATCTTCCTGGAATTAAATGAAAATGAAGACACAATACAACCAAACTTCTGGGACACATTGAGAGCGCTCCTACAAGGAAAATAAATAGCTTTAAATACCTGCATTAAAAAGTCAGAAAGAGCATAAATAAATGTCTTAAAGATGCAGCTCAACAAGGTGGAAAAACAAGAACAAAAAGTAATAAAGATCAGAGTAGAAATCCATGAAATAGAAATGAAGAAAATAATACAAAGAATCAAAAAGCCTAAGAGCTGATTCTTTGGGAAGATAAACAAAATTGACAAAACTTTGACCCAATCAACCAAAAGAAGGAAAGGGAGAAATCAAATTAACAGAATCAAAAATGAACAGGGAAATATTACAACAGACACCAAAACAATACATGATATTGTACAGGGATATTTTAAAAGTCTGTACTCTAGTAAGCTAGAGAAACCAAAGAAGATGTATTTCTACATTCAACCAAACCCCCTAAACCAAGAGGAAGTCAACAACCTAAACAGACCCACAACAAAGGAGGAGACTGAAATAATAATAAAAGACCTCCCAGATAAAATAAACAAAAATGGCAAGCATCAGATGGATTCACAGCACAATCCTATCAAACATTCTGAGAAGTTCTAAAGCCAATCTGTCTTAACTATTAAAGAAAAAGGAAACAAACAAAAGAATCACTCCCAAACTCCACAAAACCAGTATCATTCTAATACCCCAAAGCAGGTAAAGAGACAACAACAACAAAAATAAACAAACAAACATACAAAAAAACCTACAGGCCAATATCCTTGCTGAACAATAGGTTAAAAAACACTCAATAAAATACTTAAAACCAGAATGCAGACATACACTAAAAAGATTATACATTGTAATCAAGTTGGCTTTATCCCTGAAATGCAGGGATGGTTCAACATATGAAAGTCAATGCATTTATTAAACTACAGGACTTAAAATAATCACATGATCACGTCAATAGCTGCAGAAAAGGTCTTTGACAAAATCCAACATGCCTTCTCGATAAAAATCCTAGAGAGTGTAGGGTTAGAGGGAATATCCCTAAGCATAATAAAGGCTAATACATGAGAAAGCCACATCCAACACCATCCTAAATTGAGACAGGCTTGAAACAATGTCACTGAAATCAGGAACAGGATAAGGATGTCCCCTGTCCCCACTCCTTTTCAACACTGTAATAGAAGTACTAGCAGCAGCAATAAGGCAAGAGAAGGAAATTAAAGGGTTACAAATAGGGAAAGAAGTCAAACTATCCCTATTTGCAGATGACATGATATTATATATTAAAGATCACAAAAATTCTATCAGAAACTTCTGTAAATGGTAAACAAATTTAGCAATGTGGCAGGATACAGAATCAACTCGTACACTTCAATAGTTTCTCTATATAACGACAACAAACATACAGAGAACTGGGTACAGGTAAAGACAGGCAGATGAACACTTTCTTCCAAGGAAGCAGTCCATCATCTTTTAGTTAAATGGAAGACTTGCTTCAGGCTCTGGGAGTGGTAAGAATGATTTTTGCCCAAGACTTCCCCATGTGTTTCTCAATAAACAATGCAAGATCCCTTGACTAAGTATAAGGCATGAATTAACATTGTTGCCTGGTTTGTTACAGACTCATGGTGTGCTCTCCCAATGTCCTTCCCCATAGGAAATGTTTTGTTTGTTTGTTTGTTTGTTTGTTTTGTTTTTGGTTTGGAGTGAGGAACTGAAGTAAAGATAATGCATTCCAAAGAGTTCCTTTATTTGCCAAGTGTCTACATCATCCTCAATCCCCATCATCACCTAAATCCCCACCATTGATTACCTGAAATCTGACTAAGTGAGGCAATGATTCTACAAAGCAATCTCATGGATTCGAATACACTAAATACACTTTCCGTTTAATATTAGTGATGTGGTTTCGAGAATGAAAGTAGCATATTAGTGTTACACTTTGAACCTTGTCTGGTCTTCCAAAGGCACATGAGTTAAAGACTCTGTCTCCAGAGTGCTCTTTTTTTTTTTCCTTCGAAATTTTAAAAAATTTCATTTCACATTCCAACCACAGTTCTGCTTCCTCCCACACCTCCCTCCCAGCCTAACCCCATCCACTCCTTTCATAGGGTAAGGCCTCCCATGGGGAGTCAACAAAGCCTGGTACATTAAGGCAGGATCAAGACCCTCTCCCATGCATCCCACCACAGGGAATGGGCTCCAAAAGGCTAGCTCATGGAGGGTATTTAAGGGACAGGGCCCAGTACAGGTGTAAGGTCATTGGACACACCCCCGATTGGGACTGGGGGTCACAGTCTCTTGTTTTCCTCTTTTTTGTGCTTCCTATGTGTGGGTTCTCACAATGTCTATGTGTGGCACAGGAGTAGTGTGACCCCGATCTGTAGCCTCTACAACTGTAGCAAAAAAAAAAAAAAAAAAAAAAAAAAAAAACAAAAGCTGACAAATTGGAAGAGCTCCAGATAAAACAAAGTGCTACACTTACAGTTTTTCCTCCAGGCTTACACAAACTCTCCTCATGTCTTCTACCTTTCTCTCCCAAATGCTTAATGATTCCTGCAGCCGCGACATCTCCAAACTGTGATCACTAAGCATCTATTGAAAAGTCAACAGAGATGTGACGTCCAGTCATTAGCAAATGATTCACAACAGCAATTCAGGTTTCCTAAGGATTTTATGCATCATTTTGTCAGTATCCAGGCATCTGTGCTGGCCTGCACTCAGGGTCCAGACAGGGTACACCCTCAGCTGCAGCTGCTAAGAGCATCCCCTGTGCAGTCCCTTATAAAAGGCAGGCCTTGCCCACCTCCCGTCTCTCTTCCTCGTCCACCACTCTTGTCCCCAGGGACAGGTCCCTGCTTCCCCACCCTCCTCTCTGCCCCTCTTTCTGTCCTCCTCTCTGTCCCCTTTTCTGCCCCTTCTCTTGCCTCTTCCAATACACCTCCCATGTGAGTGCCGCTGCCTGGCTGGACTTCCCTTCTTGACATTTTTAAAAATTTAACACATTCATTCAACTTTTATGGTGGGACCACCCTTTATGAGTTTTTTTAAAAAATAAATTCAACTTGACAAAAACTAATTCTGAAACAATGAGAAAACACAAGATTTGGTTGGGTAGATGACTAAATACAGTTGTGTGTGTGTGTGTGTGTGTGTGTGTGTGTCTCCTCTAATAAACTCATTTATCTTCATTAAAATGAAACTGAACAAGTCATTCTTTAGGTGGCTGGTGTGTTATCACTTTGGGGACAGATGTTAATTTAATAACTCCCTAGAAAGTCACCCAACAGAGTAAAAGCTGCTCAAAGTGGTTTCTCTCTCTAGAGTACCACATGATTGACTATAGGAACACAGCTCCAGACTTAACTGAAATTCTAGAACAGCCCTCAGAATCGGCAGAATGTGTCGAGGACTCTGATCGTCATCAGGATTAGGCCTAATATTCATTGCCCAAGTTTGTATTTTCTCGTTGGGTTTTATAAGTCTTACATGCCAGTAAAACTGATGGGCCTAATAATCATTGTCTCGAGGCCTCAACCACCCTTGCTTGAAGAATCCCGTTCAATTCTGTTGCTGCCAACATTCCACCAGGTCAGCCAGCCAAAGATGTGTCTAAACTGGAGATTCTATGTGCTTGTTAGTCTGTGCTTCCCCATGGCCTCAGTCTATACTTTGGGAATCTCCACAAAAATCCACTGTACTCGGCACTATCATGTCATAATTAAGGTTAGCAAAGTCCACCTCATTTAACATATGATGGGATGAGTGATGCATTCTGGCAGAAAAGTGTGCTATTTCCCCAGGTTTCACATGCAATTTCTGATATACTACAGGCCCATTCCTGGTAAAAGATTAGCAGGCATTAATACATATATTTAGTTAGTCCTACATGCAGCTTTATGATCACTTTCAAAATATTTTAGTCCATCGAATATAATCAGAACATGCTATAACACTTCAAAGGATGTGCCAGGAAATGTTAACATGCCACCAGCATACTTTCAAAATAGCTGAAAGATCAATTAAATAAACTTAAAAAAAAGAAAAAACCAGGTAAGCTAAAGGAAGATGTTCATTTTTTCTTACCACTGTGCTGGTAGTAACTGTTTGCTTCATTTTTATTATTTTATTTTGTAATCTGGTCAATTCTTTCTTCTTACTGTATGCCTCTTTCCTCCTTGTTTCACAGACTTGTTTAATCTCTTTCATCTACAGTGACAGCAATAAGCCAGTTAAAAAGCCTATTAGCACAGCAGAGTCCAAAAAGATCCTCCAGCTTGCTAACCTAATTAATATTTAATTTTAAAGCACCATTTTCCATTTAAGTAAACTAACAATTTAAAAGAAAATAAGACAAAGCCAGGGTTTGCTTATTTCCTAGTGTTAAAGAAAAACCCATGAATCCTATGGGTCAAACTTCAGTTACATGTTGTTGACATGGTATACTTATAGGAACAACATGGCCATGGCCACTGCTAAGGAAGGATAAAAGCATCTTGCCACTGTAAGGACTTGCTGCAACATCACAGCAATGGGTACCACACTACTGTGCATTAAGTAGATAAGGGAAGTGAAGGAAGTAATCACTTGTCTTAGAAACCCCAATTCACATTGCCTAATGGAAAATAATACCCAACTAAAGAGAGAGAATACAAAGTCACTGGAGACAGGGCAGCTTATACTCTTGAACAAGTTTTCCTGATTTTACCCAAATCAAACATCTGGCCACATGTCAGACTCTAGGAAAATTAGTGATGCTTATTAGACTCAAACCTGTTTGTCAGCAACCTGAATGATCAAGAACAAGGCAACAATGATCAGAAAGGTATACGAAAGCATATTGGATGAAAAACCTGTCAAAGCTTTTGTCTGTCTTTCCATTGAAGCCACCTGCCACTTTTTTTCAGTGTTACCTGTTTTGAATGAGTGTGACAATAATCAGTATCTATGCATCAAAGTATAGACACACACGAGTGAAACTTGGTGATAAAAACATTTTCTTGAAAATTAGGGGGAAAACCCATAAAATTAAAAAAAATCAGTGTAATAAATTGACCTTTCTTCCCTTTCCATTTAGTGTTGCATTTAAGTTCAAGTTTGACTTCCTGCGCCTGAAGGTGGAAACTAGCTGAGGGTGAAAATGTCGGAAGTCTCTGAGCTTATGCCCATTCCTGCTCTGGGAAGGACACAGCAAAAGCTCTGCAGCAGTTTCCACCTTAGGCGCAGCTCTTTTCTGTAGAGGAGGAATGGAGATGGCTCTATCATTCCCAGAGCAACCAAGGCACAGTGAGAAATAAAAGAATCCAAAGCAGCAGGACAGTTACCTCGATTAACACAGCACAGCCAATGGTGCAGCCTCCACCAGGGCGGAAGAGGTGGTAGTCACCTCTGCTTCTGACCTCTGAAAGTTGCTGGCCTCATAATACAGTTTGCTTTGTGTGCAGCGGGATCTGGCAGCCCCTCTGAAGGCCATTTCTGACTCAGGTTGCTGCAGCTGGAATAGCAGGCACTGCGGGTGTTCTGCAGACATTGCAGGTGTTATGCCTGACACTGCAGGTGTTCTGTAGACATTGCAGGTGTTCTGCAGACATTGCAGGTATTATGCCTGACACTGCAGGTGTACTGCAGGTGTTCTGCAGGCATTGCAAGTGATCTGCCTGGCATTGCAGGTATTCAGCAGGCATTGCAGGGGTTCAGCAGACATTGCAGGTGATCTGCCTGGCATTGCAGGTGTTCTGCAGACACTGCAGGTGCTCTGCATTATCCTAGATTCTGTGTATACAGAAGTAGCACTAGCTAGGATGGTGGCAAATTCCTCCTCTCTATGTTGGCATGAGGCCACTACAGAGACATGGATGCTGCCCACCCATATTCTGTCTTATGAACTGAATGCACACAATTGAGTATCTTTTCCTGGAGGCTCCAAAACAAGCAAGCAAACAAAGAATACAACCATGAGCTCACTCCACTACTGTTCAGAAGTTTCTGGAAGACAATCACAAAGCACACTTACCAGCTAGCCTCCAGGTCAAATGAAAAATCCAACCACTTACCTGGGTAGCCAACTGGTCTTTCTTTTCCAAATACTCTATTTTATGTTGTTCCATTAACTCATGTGTCTGTTGCAGACATTGTTTTTGGACTGCTATTTCTTTTCTCTCAAAGTTTATTTTGGTATAGGTGTCATTTATATAAATAGTAGCTGTGGCTTTCTCTTCCAGGGTTTGGTTCAGCGACAGGACAAACTTTGCATGCTGCTTTGCCAGCTCTGCTTGCTCTACACTGGAGGAAGAAGAATGACTCTCGGTATAAGAGGACGGCATTTAGGAAAGGAGGGAACGTAAAGGCTCTGGTGACACAAGTCCTCACAGAGAGGGACATTGTGAGGCATCCTTATTTTCTAATCATCTGTGTGGTTTAAATTTAAACTTGGTAAGCATATAGGAACCAGAATAAGTGTCCACTTTGCAACTTTTTTAGCTGCTACTAAACAGTCAGTCACCTGGTGCCACCTGGCCCAACCTAGCCCCATGTGCCAGGATATGAGAGGATATTGTGGCTTAAAGAATAAGATGATTCTCTAGAGAACTACAAGACTGCCACCAACTAACAATTTGAGCTTCCATGGAAAGGCTATCATAAATGCCCTTCCCGGATAGTGAGATCAACAACTAACTTATCCATGGAGCCCTCATCTAATACCTGTTGGAAATAGGAGCAAACACCCATATATAATCACTGAGTCGAACTAGAACCTAGATGCAGATGGAGAGGACAAGACCAGGTTGCAGAGAGACAGCTGACCTGAACAAGGAGGAGCTAACGGGCCCCCAGACTGATAGCTGGGAAGCCAGCATGGGACTGACTCAGGCCCCCCTGAATATGGGTCTCAGCCAGAAGGACTGAGAAGTCTAAGGGACCTCAGACAGTGGAGCCAGGATGTATTCCTGGTGCACAAAAGGACCTTGCGAACGCATCCCCCATGGAGGGATAACTGCCTTAACCTAAAGACAGGAGAGAAGCCCTAGTCCCTACTTCACATGACCAGTCAGATTTACATGACCCCAACTGGATGGCATTCCCCTACATATGGAATTGGGGTGGGGGGATGGGAGGGGAGGGTGTTAGGGTGCATGTGAGAGGGCAGAGAGGGTAAAAGTGAGGGAGGGAGGGAGAGAGGGAGGGAGGGAGAGGGAACTGGGATCGACATGTAAAAAAAAAAGAATAAAAAAAAGAATAAGATGATTCAAAAGTTATTTTGAATGAGTGAATGAAATCTGATCAGATGAGTTTTTTGAGGCAGACTATTGAGTCAAAGAAAGCCAGCCATTCTATTATGTCTCTGTTCACCCTGATACCATAGCCCTATAGGGTGGGCCCAAGAGAAATCTAGCTGTCCTCTGGACAGGACCTCTGGAAAGATGAGGCCGCAACCAACTCTACTGCTCAGATGATGCTTGAGACCTGATTCTCATCTTGATGTGTCATGTATTTCACACGTGGTCTGTGGGCCGCATTTCCCTGAGGAAGACCTGACTGTTGGAAGAAACATCTAGCACAGAGATAATGGAGAGGTTGGAAGAAGGACCAATTGATGTCATATCTCTGTTTCACTCTTTAAAAGCTCTTGCAACATAAAGCCCCTTCCTAATATTTAGTGTCCAGATTAGAGACTTCAGGTGCGGGGAAGGGTGCTTGAAGCCTTAGGAAAATAGACATGGACTATTTGGAGATGTATTTGGCAGAGGCCAAACATCACAAAAGAAATCTATAAAAAGCATCCCGAGTGGGAGGCTTGGTGGGGGAGAGAATCAGTAGGTGTTTTGTGGGTTGAGTATGGGAAACCTGGAGAGGAAATCAGTTCAAGGATCACAGCTCTGCAGGGAAGAAACCAAGTCAACCTAAGAACCTAACTAATTTGTGGTAGTGGTGTTAGAGGTGATGGTGATTTGAGAAGCGGGCACTCCCAGACAGGATGCAGGCCCAGAGAAAACACACCCAAAGGCCTCCTCCGTCTCTAGTTTCCCAGCAATGAGCAGAACCAGGAGAGTCTCACCAATACTTAGCAGAGCCTGTGAAGACCTGGATAATGCATCTTCCTTTGAAAAGCAGAACAGATGTGATTATGGCTTTATAGTCCTGTCTCATCAATCCACCACCCTCTGTTGTACCTTGTCTTTCCCTGAAGATTTGTCTACAGCAGAGATTTTCCTATCATGAAGAACTGCAGGATGAGCATCACCTGGAATCTATTAGAAATGTTGGTCTTTATCACCACTCTACTACCAACTAAACCTTTGAGATCACAGAAGTCTTCATTTTAATAAGCCCTCTCAGGATCCTGATGCTCATTTAAGCCCCCCAATCACAGGAGCAGAAAGGTGTGACGTCGCTTGATGGATCTGGCTGAATCTTCTATTTCTGGTTGTTGGTTCTGAAGGCCTAGTTTGGAAAGCAAGCCAGTGGGCGTTGAGATCTTACCAGTCCCTGTGCACCAACTTCCATGCTATGTTGGGGTTCTTTGAACATTTCTCAGTATGGAATACCAACACGCTGATATTCATGCATGAGCCTTGCACATTTGCTCAAAGTGATAACTTAGTCTTCAAACATTTTATTGGTTTTCTCCTTTTAGAATAAATCTTCCTCTATGTGCTTGGTTGAGTCAGAAGTTCTGAATCCTGTCTTACAGATGGAGCAAATGAGGCCCTTGGGATTGGTTCAAGACAGCCACTCAGAAACAAAGAAAGAGTGCCAGGAGACCCCAGACTATAGGCAGTTATATACACTGTCTCATGAACTTTCCATAAACTCTAGCACCAGCTTCATCCTCCAGTAGATTATAGGCAAGGAAATGAACTAGACAGAACTGGATTGATATGCACTTACAATATAATTCCAACAAGAGGGCTTGTCTTGGAGCAGGGTGGATTGCAAACCTACTTCTATCAGAGCAGAAACTAAAACACCTGTCAACCTTGGGCAGTGCCTTGGAAATAAGCATATAGTTCGCCAATGAGTACTCCCAACCTCTAAAATACTGAATGAAAAAATACCTACCCCAGAGCTTCATTCACATCCTTCAGATCACTTATCCTCTTCTTCAGAAACTCCATTTCATTATCCATCCTTTCGATCTTGGTTCTCAATTGATTTAGCTCAAAAATATTTATTCTGCGAGCATCTCTGATACATTCTTAAAAGCAAGTGAAAAGATGACTATCATTTGAGGAGCAGCAACAGTAGATGCTCTTTCTATCCCGAAGAGAGCTGTCTTTCATTGAAATACTCCCTTCACCATACTTCTGCACCAGGAATCTGTACTTAGCCACTTGAGGCATCTCAGTCTTACTGACATCTGCTGCTGTTGGGGTGTAACCAGCTTCTGTGCTCCGACAAGCATCACAGGGCAGAGTCTGGCAGCAGCTGGCTCCCACTGGCTCCACACCTTTCTTATCTCCCGCCTCAGACTTTCTGCTGTCTCCCAGACAGCATTGTTTTAGGCACCACACCCATGCATGTGTGGTCAGAAGTTCAGGAGGAAGGACAGTCATTGGAACATTGGTAAAAGGAAACATGGCATGCATACTTATTTCCTCCTCAACAGTGGATGCTATTGAGAAGTAACTTTACTGGAGCAACCACGGAAGCCTGGAGGGGAGTGGTTCTCAGCCTGTGGGCAGTGACTCCTACAGGGGTGGCATAGCAGATATTTACATTACAGTATTTATTTTATAACATTATATATAATATTATATAATCTGTTTATATTACACAACAGTAGCAAAATTACAGTTATGAATGAACAACAAAATAATTTTATGGTTAGAGGTCACCACAACATGAAGGACTGTGTTAAAGGGTCACAGCATTAGGAAGGTTGAGAACCACTGCTTTAAAGTGTTATTCAACCTGTGACATACCAAGAGTGAATACACTTCCACACAACAATCCCCAGCAACTAGCTGATAGCTCCCCTTAGAGATTCAGGCTATTATCCCTCCCCAGCCTCCACCACCTGGTATATCTCTTTTCTAGGTCTAGATAAATTGTTTGTGGTCTCAAACTTTGTGTCTCAAATACACATCTCTATCCCCAGGTAATCCTGTTAAACTGTAGGCTCTGCTGCCAAACAGAAGTCTGCGTGATGCCTGGAGATTTTGGTCTCTAACAAATCTTCCCTTGCTGCATCTGATGCTGGTATAGAGCTAAATAAACTTTCTTAACTATGTGTACAGCCTGAATCATGGAATTTACAAGCTAAGGAGATGTGTATTTTTCCTACTAACATATTTTTTCTGTTTATATAAATATAGCTCAATCTGGAAAATAAAGAAAAGCAACTGAAGAAAGTAAACCAGAAACATTTTTCTAACTCTCCCTTTGATGCAGATCAGTTAAGTCTGTTTTTCACCTTGTGTACATGTATCATTGTATTTTTCTTCTCAAAGAATGTAACGCCAAGAATATTGCTTTATTATATAACCTACAGTACTGGTTGGAGGGTAGAACTTTCACAGAAAAGTTAACAACAAAAGTTTATTAAAAAGTGTTACTAACTACAGCAAAGGATTAAAGTAACAATAAAGTAGCAGCTTTAGCCGTAAGAGGGAGCCTTGGTTATAAGGCTGTGCTCTATGGGATGGCAAAGAAATGCTGGGCTGCTGGAACTTTCTAGAAATCTCCCTAGAATGATAGAGGATTTGTTCACACAGGCTCCTCTACTGCCAAAGCTGAACTTCAGTCATAGCAAGAGGTGGGGGGATGTTGGCTAGTTTTATAACAGTTTGATGCAAGCTAGAGTTATCTGAAAGAAGGGAGCCTCAGTTGAGAAAATGTCTCTGTAAGATCCAAATGTAGGACATTTTCTTATTGGTGATTGATGGGAGAGAGCCCAGCACATCGTGGGTGGTGACATCCCTGGGCTGGTGTATCTGGGTTCTATGAGAAAGCAGGCTGCTCAAGCCATGAAGAGCAAGGCAGTAAGCAGCACCCCTCCACCCCCTCTGCATCAGCTCCTGCCTCCAGGTCCGCATCCCATGCCCCCTCCCCTCCTCCACCCCCCCACCCCCCGCGTTTGAGTTCCTGCCCTCTGTAAGATTCAGCTCCCATACTACCAAGCAAACATCAAAATGCAGATGTAGAACTAAGAGTCAGTAAGTGGATAATTGTCACATCTGTCTTTAAGATAGGTGTTTTATGCCAAGTGAGATGTCACATGCCTCTAATCCCAGCACTAGGGAGGTAGAGCAGATAGCCTGGGCTGGATGAAACCCTGTTTTAAAACTAACAAACACAATCAAAGCTAAAAATAAAATAAAATAAAATGCAAACAAACAAAATGTTGCTTTTCTCATTTGAATTGCTCTTTCAAGGTGGGCTCCTTGGGAAATAGACTCTAAGGTTGTGTGTAGAAAATGTGTAATACTTTCAGGGGTATCTCTGGTGGGGTGAAGGTGAAGACTGCCGAGGGGAAGTCAAATCATGAACACATTTACAATTGGTCCATGCTGACACAAGAGAGTCATACTGGCTGATCACTGAACACACTCTGACTCAGGGAGGGGCTGTCCCGTGGGCAGGGGCTGTCCACCTCTGTTCCAGGTGATTGTCAGAGAGGAACTCAGTCATGAGTCTCGGCTGACACTTCTTGCAGCTGGGAAAGTAAAGTTGGATCCTGGACTGACACCAAAACTTTCACTAAAAATTATTCAAAGAGCTACATTTAAGACTGGACTTTCCTAGGGACTGGAAATATGGCTTAGTAATAGGATGCTCCTCTAGTGTGTGAGAGACCATGGGTTTGATCTCCAGCACCATAAAATCCAAATCAAAACATTTAAGAGACACTCTTAGAAGAAAAGATGGGTTTGAAGTCAGTGTTTTTTTTTTAATTCACACACACACACACACACACACACACATATATATTTTAAATGTATGTGTATGTGTGTGAGCCTGTATGAGTTTAGGTGAACCTTGTGAATGTCTGGTGCCCATGGAGGCCAGAAGAGAGAGCTGGAGCCACTGGGACTGAAGTTGCAGATGGTTGTGAGCTGGCTGTGATGCAGAAGCTAGGAACTGGTCCCAGGTCCTCTGCAAGAGAAGCAAGTTATCTTAACTATGGAGCCATCTCTCCAGGCTTGGTTAAAATCTTTATGTCAATGGATTTGGGAATGATTTCTTTGATACAATACCCAAAGCATTGCAAACAAAAGAAAAGGTAGATAAGTTAGACCATCAAATTAAAAGCTTGTGTCAAACAAAGGCCACCATCAACAGAGGATAAGGATGAGCTCTGGAGTAGAAGTGAGTGTTTGTAAGTGATAGATCTAGTAAAAGGTTAACATTGAGAGTGATTTAAAACTCCACAACACTCAATGATAACAACAGTTACTATAAAGACAAAGGGCCTGGGTAGACAGTCTTCTCCAGAAAATACAGTGATAACCAACAAACACAGGAAAGGACACTCACAGGCACTAGTCATTGGAAAAATTCAAATTAAAACGACAATGAGAGTCTAATTAATGCTGAATAGGCTAGGTCTCATTAAAACAGACAAAACCATAAAAAGCAAGCAGGATGTGGAGGAAATGAAGCCTTGTGCATTGCTGGTGGCTACCCATGATGGCTGGCGTGCAACTGCATGAAGAGTTATCATACAATCCAGCTACTCCTTTTCTTGATCTAGCGCCAAAAGAATTAAGAAGAAGAGTACATCTGTGCATTTGGACATGGTTCATAAACAGCATTATTCACAGCAGACAAAAGTCAGAGGGAGCACACAAACATGAACAAAGTATGGTGGGGTATATACCGTGGAATGTTGTTCAACCTTGAAAAGGAAGGACATGCTGACACACGCTCCCATATGCATAAGCCTTGAAGACATTAAGTGAAACAAGCCAATCATGGCAAGACTACTTATGTGATGTACTTAAAGTTGTCAATGTCATATAAGTCAAAAGTAGAACGTGGATGAGGACATCCACAGTGCCTAACTTGTGCGTGTAGCTATTCATCAAAAATGAGCTGATCCATTTCTTAGTCAATTGAGCAGCAAAACTATGCAAATTATATTTCTATATAGTATATTAATCCACTTAAAATAAAATGGGAACCCACTATGGATCATAATGTTCATATCAGGTCGTGTGTCTATGGATGCTTATATAGGTAGCACAACTATAAAATCCTTGCTTCAAAAGCACGTGGTTCTCTTTTCCTATGACAGGCACTGAAGCTTTGCCGCTCGTGACCTCAGAAGTACCTTCCACCTCCCGGTTGATGCTGTTGGGCACAGTCTCCAGCAGAAAGTAGAGCCTGCTCAGTTCCATGCTCTCAATTTCCAGAAGCTCAATTGTCTTTTTCCTCATTTCTTCCTGAAAAAAATAATTATACCGTTAAAAAGGTAATGCATCAAAATAACAATGTTACCTTCCTAAGAAAGGGTCTGTTTTGGGTGTTTGAAACATCACCCCCACCAGACCTCTCCTGCTGCTGTTTTTATGTGGCAGACAACAGGGAAAGATGATGGCCTATAATCAGATTTTAATCTGTTGCTGCTGATTTATCTCTTAATTTCTGTTGGTTTTCTTTGACTGGGAACTTTTTTTTTTCCTTCTGTGTACCTGTTTCCTATATCCAGTTTCAATTCATCTAAATGGAAAGAGTCCAACAAAAAGGGCGATATTAAGGAAACCACTTACTAAAAATGAAAAAGTCTCTGTAAATACCCATGTATGAACAGAGAGCAATGCTTTTTTTCCTTTAAAAGATGTGTATGCATGTACATATGTATACCATGTCTATATATAGTACTAGCAGAGGTCAATAGAGAGAACTGGGTCCCCTGAACTGGAGTTGTGTGAGTGCTGGGAAGCAATCCCGGGTCCTCTGCAAGGGCAGCAAGTGCTCTTAACTGCTGAGCCATCTCTCCAGGCCACACACTCTTCTTATATTTATAAATCTAAATAGTCTTGTGGGGGTTGATTTGTTTGCTAGGTTTTAGATACAAATGCATTTAAAGGGGGAGAAACATTAAAAAAATCATCTTTTAAATAATAATAATAATAAAACTATAGCTATTTTGTAACCCAAAAAATTTCATTGCATTTTACCAACTAAAAATCTGATGACAAAATTGTATATGCTATCATGAGCAGTAGAGGGGTCTGCCAAGCTGAACACTGGAACCTAAAAAGAAATTCTTCCTTCTCTACCACACTTCCCAGTATCCTCTACTGCCAAAGCTCAACATCAAGTCAGTTGTGGGGGGAGGGTATGGTGGGTAGTGGTGTGCTGGCTGGTCTATGTCAATTTGACACAAGCTAGAGCTAGCTGAAAGGAGGCAACCTCAGTTCAGAACCGCCCCCTTAAGATCCAGCTGCAGGACATTTTCTCATTAGTGTATCATTTCTGCAAAAACACAAAATCCAATGCAGATATCACTTGTACTCTGAAAGCAAAAGAATTAATTGTGAATATTTTAAGGTAGTAGAGTTGGTGGCAATATTTATTTACTTACTTTTACTTATTTAATTACTTTGTAAAATTTCTAGGGTAAACATGTATTGCTTTTATAATAGGTATTGATCATTTTTTTTAAATGGAGGGATTTATGTGTGCTACTTGAGAGATTTCATGGCTTGCGTATTAAGCAGATGGGGACTAGATTCTTTAATTAGCCACAATGGAAACCTTGACTTCTATATATATACTAAGAAGAATGTGGTGCTGTGTTGTGATTACACACTTGTTTAAAATTATATAAAATATAAGTAAGAAGCTGCTTATTTGTGGACTAGAGGTCACTTGCTTCACAGCCCTTTCTACCCTTTTAGACATTTGTTGTATAATAAATTTGTATTCACCATTTTTAAAATCAAATAAAGTCTCCACTGTTTCAGCTGAGAAAACATTTTAAGCATCATCCAAAGATGACAAATTGATGTGTCTGTGACACCCCAGGAGGACATTTTAGAACATTTCTTTGATCTGGCTTCTCTAGGGACAGGCCTATATAAGGGAAGAATTTCTGACATTTCCATGACACAGTTGTCTGTCTACTTAAATCATTTACCAGTTGTGAAGGGATTTACTACTGTATATATAACCATATAAATGACTCCCCCTACCCCCACCCCACCCTACCAAGTATTGGGGTGGCTGTTGGCTAGCTGGCTGTTGGCAGTAGGTTGTTTGGCTGATTGATATTTTTGAATGGTTGATTGTAAGCATCACTTACATATTATGTGCAAGCTATTGTTCACATGGCCCACCCATTAACTGGACTCCCTCAGCACTTGTGCGGCTTTTCCTAATTGAGCTTGTCTTTATCTTTGGCACAGGCAGCATAACTCACTTTTCTGCATGAAAAATTGAGCATCAGTCTATACTGAAATTGGTTAGTAAACTGAAGAAAAACTATTTCTAACTCAGGGTAAATACTTTATCTGTTTGCATATTTAGGCAACCTGAGCACAGCTGCTTCTAATGTAAGGGTTAATGAAAGTATAAGCAAAACTCTGAAAAACATAAGATAATAAGTACCAATTTTTTAACAGCGACAGTAATGTCCTTAAGGAAGGTTTTAATTTCTTCATTGCAAGTGAAATAATCACCTTGCAGAGATTTTTCTGGAAAACAAAAGATTAGAATATTAAGATCTCTTAACTGATATTTTTTCTAGTCTTACTTGGTTCAGCCTTTATGATCTGGTTCAAATGCTGAATCTTACACTGTTTTGAATGTCTGTTGAACATTATGAATTTCCTTTGAATATGCTTCTTATTGCATACAATCTCTCATTAAATTCATCTTTGTAGACATGTCTTATGACAGGAAGAAGAGATTTCAAATAGATGAAACATCAATGATCATTTATAAACGAGAAAGAGCTAAGATGTCTGTAATGTAGGTTCAAAAGGTTTCATATCTAAACACACACACACACACACACACACACACACACACTCACAGAGTGAATATAAATTACATTGTGCCAGAAACACATACCAAATCCCTTTAGGTAAGGAATCTTTATATTATGAACTTCTATACACAACTGTGAAATGCGATTGTGAATTTGTCATTGGTTAAGTGTGGCATTGTGTTCCCATTACCCTTTGTTCATTGATGTACTAGAGGAGGTCTCCTTTCCCTTTAACCTCTGTCAGTAGGGAGTACTGAGGACATTAGTAGCCATTTCCATCTCTCAGAAGAGTGAATTGTAACATCTACCCTCAGTTCCAGGGAACTTGGACTCTCCTACAGACTATGCTCTGTATAGTTATGTGTGTTAAAGGGACACAAGTGTACTAGAGTTCTTTCTCTTTTGCTTTATGGGGTAAGTGAGTATGTGTCTATTATTGCTCTTGAATATCCTGGAGACATATACTTTCTAACTAAACTCAGAGCAAGAAATCTTTATTTTACTTTAGATTTTATTTTATATTTTAATTTATATTTTTAATTATATTTTAGATAATTTTAGTTGTAGCCCAGGCTGGTCTCCAACTTGCTACGTAGCCAAGAATGACCCTACCATCTTCTGATCTTTTTGTCTTCATCTCCCAAGTGCTGGGTTTCTCACATGCAGGTACAAGAAGTGTTAATGAAGTTTCTTCCTAAGAAAAAGATCCTGGGGTGCTGTGACAGGCTATCTTCTAGACATGGCCACTGTACTCCCAAACTCCCTGCAGCTACGGTCAGGTGCACAAGGTGCGGTCAACAAGGTCAGACAGCATTCAACATGCAGCACTAATTGAGCTCAGTGGGGGGAAGGAGGAATAATAAAGATGGGGAGAGGAAGTTTTGGGGGTGTTGGGAGGAGTGGGATGGGATGATCACGATACTATGTACACATGTATAAAATTATCAAGGAATAAATAAAAGATATTCTAATAGAAAAACACCCAAGTCTCCAGACATTACTAGCATATGAAAAGTATTTGAACACACACACTGTTCTAGAGATGAGCATGAAGAGAATTCAAGGTCCAAATTCTAACAATGACCGTTGTCTACTCGGGGGTAATTTGTGTCATTCATTATTAACATTTTTCCCCCCATGGGAATACTTGCCTCTGCTTATTCAATGAGAAGTGTGAAATTAAACTCAGTCCTCTAAGAAGGTGAAAGACAAATCACTCCAAACTGCAATCCTATCACAGAAATGCTTGTTTTGAAACAGTACGATGGCCATAGTGAATCAATGGGATGGTTTTCTCTTAGTGGTCTAAATGGTTTTTGCTCTCAACCAGAAATGCCTTTGTGGAACTAACATATTGAGATTTCTAATTGAATAAGTATAAGCAGAGGGCAAGCAGGGGGAATCAGGGGCTGGTAAAGACCTTCAAAGTCCAGTCCCATCCTGCTCAGGAACAGATTCTCTCTGCTGAGTCCTACCCCCTAAAGGTTTCACAGCTTATAAACAACCCCACTAGTCAGGAAACAAATCATTATGATCCTGGGCGAGACAGTTCAGAGCTAAAGCCCACCATGTATGTTAGCGTGGTCACACACTTAACAAGATAATTTTTGGTTTAAGTCTCCCAAACACTGTCTTTTATCTAATTTTCTTTGCCTAATAAAACAGGTGCCTCTCAAACATTCCTTCTCTTGCTTGTCTTTTAAGTTTCCAGTTTTCCACGGTAAAGAGTGGAAGGAGATAAACCCATGGGGAAAAAAAGGTGACAGGAGACAGCTGAAGTGGAAAGCAGTTGCTCAGGTCTGGGTTGATGGCCTGGATGTATCACCCTAAATGAGCCTGAGCAGGTGCGCTGAACAACTCCCTGTCTCCCATCTTTCAGGCCAACAAGGAACAGAAGGCTAGACCCGGGCCAGGGATGTTGCAGTGTTAGGAGAAGAATGCCTGCCCGGATTCCTGCCTGCCAAGAGTGGAGCAGACCACCATCTCCAAGGAAGACTCCTGCGTCTCTAGAACTTCTCACCCACAACTAGGAGCTGCTCTAATGCGGCAGCCGCTACGGAGGAGCCCAGAGTGCTGGGGAAGGTGCATAGCTCCAGGGAGAGGCTGGTGGAGACTGAGGCACTCCGCGTGACCTTCTCGCTGACAAACCCCTTGTCGGGGGTCCAGGAGCGAAGGGCCATCTTGCTTCTGGGGCCGGCAGTGCCCAAGGCAGAGGACCACGGTTGCCAGGGGCAGCGATGACGCTAACGTCTCCCGGCGCCCCCTTGTGGCCCCCACCTGTGGTGGGAAACGCCTTTGGTTCTCTTTACCACCAAAGCCTAAATGGTCCCTACTCTTCAGCTACTCTGTCGTGCTCCGTTTCCTTACCTTTCGTACACACTACTTTTGGGGACAAGGACCACACGTGAACGCCTCAGGCCTCTCCATATAGTAGCTGTCTTAACCTACACGGAGACTTTATGTGGCAATTTTATTCTAGCCACCTTACAGAGGAGGAAACTGATGCATGGGTGACTAAGTAAATTTCCGAGGCCCTATGAAGACAACACTGGATCTAAAGAGGAGTCCATCGAATCATCACACTAGGAGTTTACCCTCCAGGACTGTTCTGAGTACATTTTGCCTTGAATCGGAGTTCTTTTATCCTTATGCGAACTGTTTGATGACAGGGACACAGGACTAATCAGGCTCAGTGTTGCGTGTGATGATCAACTCTGCCTGTCTAGACACAAGCAAGGCGATTTAAATTCTGTTCCTAAGGTTTCTTGACAGGTGTTGAAACTGAAGTCCTATGATTGTAATACCATTAGCTGCCAACTCTGTGGTGCTTATTATGCTTCAGACCTTGTTCTGAATATGTTCCCTCCTGTGAGCTATTTAACCATTGTCATCTTTTGAGGTGGGTATCTGGACTCACTTCCCAAGGGAGTGCCTTGAGCCTGCCATCTGGAGGAGGCCTCAGGCTAGGAACAACGGAACCAGTTCCAGAATGGAGACTTTCATCATCCAAAAGAGTCTATCCTGACTGTGGGTACTGTCTCGGGTTCTTTCTTCTTGTTAGATTCAGCCTAATTATATTCAGATCTGTTCTTGCCTCTGTGTGATCTCTTCTTGATGGATACAAGAACCAGAAGGCCCATTTTCCAAACTCTCCTGTGATCTTGGGTTTCTGGGTAAGTTCAACCAACAGAAGACGTTAGGAAGAGAAGAGAATGTGGGGGAAGCTCCTGTGTCTGTCCAGAGGGGCATTTCTAGCCACAATGGACTGCAGGTACCATACAGTGCCGTGGTGGTTTTCTGACTTTTTCCCCTTGACTTCATTGTGTTTGTGGCACATTTCCTTTGAGAGCTTTCTCTCTGGAAACATGCACATTGGACCAATTCTAATCCAACCTTTATAGACTCACCAATTCCCTTACATTACTGCTGTTCATTGTCTACAGATGAAGGCCAATCCCTACGGGACTATCATCATCTTCCACACATGTTGAAGTTATTATAGGTTTTCTAGTTTTAAAAAAAATCTCTTTCTCCTCTTGTCTGTAATATTTTATTCTCTCTGAACACGCTCCGTGAAACATGTCCAGCATCTCCCTTAGCTCATGCATCTTCTTAATAAAATTAACTCTACCATTTTCAAAGGAACTTTTAAACTTTGAACTAGAAATCTGGACAAACAGCATGAAGAAACACTTCATAAATGATAAAACTGTCCCAGAAACACATTAAAAATTTTTTTAGCATTCAAATAAAAATAGTGCACCCATTTTTACATTGTATAATTGAGGTTCAAAAGAATAATAATTGAAGTGTTGGTACTGAGAATGTGAATTTCCATGCCCTATCTGGACAACAACTTAGAACATTGTATGAGGAGTCAGTGTATAATAAATAACACATCATAGAATGATTCTGTGTATGTGCATGTGTGCATGCAAGGGCATACACATTTGTATAGTTTCCTATGGAGACAAAAGGTCAATGTTGGGTGTTTCCCTCAGTAGCTCTCCATTTTATATTTTGAGGCAGAGTCTCTTATTGAAAGTAGAACTTGCCTATTTGACTAAACTGACTGGCCAGCAAGCCACAGGGAAGCTCCCGTCTGTCTCCCCAGCTCTGGGATTCTAGGGAAACCGTGCTATGCCAAGCTTTTATGTGAGCACTGGGAATATAACTTGGGGACTTTGAACCATCTCTTCAGCCCAAATAATGGTTCTTACAGAAACCAACCACAACTGTTCCCAAGGACATACTATGAACTTGCTTGTTGCCATTTTATTTCATTAAAAATTTTTAGTTAGTATACAAAAATATGATGACATTTTCACACACATATAGCATTATGCATGTATGATAATACAGGTGTAAAGTTCTACTTTAAACAGTAAAAATTATATATAGCCCAAAATTATGTGCATTGGGACCCTGCCTTTAAGTAACTTTTGAGACATCCATGTAGTGGGAAAATCTAGGAAGGAAGTTTTAGAGTATGGCACCTGATGGATTTAAATGAGCTCTGCCACTTACAGCATGGAGTGTTTCTTGAGACTGATGGTCTCTACTAATGTCACTCACAGATCTAAAGGAGTGAAAGTATTAATAGCTCATAATTTGTAGGATTGTTGGAAAGACTACCCTAACTAATACTAATGCACATGAAATACCAAAAGTGTATAGTAAATGAACACTGTGAATACTAGAAAGAATGGCTATAAATTTGCATGTACATATCTAAGGAAACATTTGAGTGAGGTGGGAATATTCATTATGCTCAGTGTAATGATCCTCTATCTTCTCGGTGTTTATATGGCAGAATCGACCACACTGGAGATTTGGTTCATTGTAGTCTATCATGCTTCACTGATCCTCGAATAAAACTCCGAACTCTGTATGTCAGTATTTCTTGATAATAATCTATGCCTGTCTCAACACAATCTTACAAAACAGTTTTAAAGGCTCGATATGCCATCTTTTTGCTGCTGTGACAGCATGTATTAGATGATCAGTTTGAAAGGAAGACGGGCTGATTTCACTCATAGGCTTGAGCCCTGGTTGCTTGGCTTTGTTGTCACTTGGTCTGTAGTATGACAGGGGGACACAGAAAGTGAGAAGGCAGTCCTAGCATCCCTTTCTAAGGCACATCTAGTGACCCAGCTTCCTTTTGCTGAGCTTCACCTGTTAAGGGTTCTACCACCTCCTAGAGGCATCACAGGCGGAAGACTAAGATGTCAAAACATGTGACATTTCAAATCCAGGTTGTAGTGCTTCAGCACCTGTCCCCTCATAAGCTAGAATTCCATGAGCAAGATGCTTTAGATGGTGTGATAGGGACAAGGGGCACTTGGTATTTCTGAAGTTGTAAAACAAAGAAACTTGTTTTTTTGTTTTTTTCATGAAAATTCCATGTTTAGCTTACTTTCTGTCAATATGCTCAAACTAACTCAAAATATATCCTTAATTACTGATCTTTATGTAATATACTAAATTGATACTTCCAAATAATTTAAGAGGTGATTTAGAAAAAAGGAAAGAAATAAAAAGCCTTTCTATAAGCATATAATAAATGTTTGTTAAAGTCAGAACTTTAAATTAAAAGCTCATTAAGCAAGGGTCTGGGGACATAGCTCAGGTAGCCCAGTGCTTGTAGAAGTGTAAGGACTTGAGTTCAATTCTTATAACCCAGGTGTAAAGTCCACCATGGTGGTGTAGCAGAGAAAGGCAGATCCCTGGGGCTTGTTGGCCAACTAGCCTAGCCTAATCAGTGTATTCCAGGTCCCCAAACAAGGCAGATGGCTCTTGAGGAGCGACATCCAAGGTTGTTCTTTGGCTTCCATTTGCTACACAAACACACTCACACACACTTGAGCACACATGCACTCACACATGCAGACATGCAGACATGCAGACATGCACACACACACGTCACATACGCACACGCATATGATCTTTGTGGGACATAAGAACTGTAGCAAACTGTCTGTCATGCTCACTCTCCGGCAAGTCTAGCACATTGCCTTTGCCCAATCAGTGTTTAGGCAATACAGTGGTGTTATCCCTCTGTCCTACCGCCTTCGGCAGATTGTCTCAGCCTCAGGACTATCCCCTTCATAGTCACGGACAGGTGCTGAAGCCCCAGATGGTCTGCACTGAAGCAGGGAAAATAGAAAATTCTCAGGCGTGAAAGTCCCACATTCCTTTCTTTGGGGAAGGAAATCTGCCCAGCATCTCACACATTTCCCTGTCTTGGTGTCCAGAATGGGATCACAAGGCCACCCAAGAAGGGAGTTAGAACAATGATGTGTCTACACTGTCATCTTTGTGGATGTGGCAGAAATCAAGAAGCTTCAGGCAAGCTGGGAGCTGGGCAGTCTCTACATAAGTCAATCAAATTCATGTTCAACATTAAGGTCAGCTCCAAGCTAGGTGTGGCTTCCTGTTCAACCTCAAGGTCAGCTCCAGGCTAGCTGTGGCTTCCTGTTCAACCTCAAGGTCAGCTCCAGGCTAGCTGTGACTTGGTGTTTCCCTCATGTCTGAGAAGGAATCAATGCAGTGTCTCAGGCTGCATAGAAAGGGAGTTTGTATCCAGTGTATCTCCCAAATCTAAGCCTTCCAGGTGGCGTCACACCTGGCAGATCTCTGTATGATGTTTATACATTAGAATGCCCCTGCTCCTATAATTTCTAGTAGCTTCTAAAGTATTTTGATCAATTTGACATGAAATCAGAAAGAAGACCTATTGGAGGGAGGAAGGAGGCCATCAACGGTTAGGGCAGGTGGCATGGATATGTCACAAATTTGGCTAGAGTATAAAAATGCTATAACAAAACCTGTTACTTTGTTAATTAAAACAAGTTAATGAAAAAAGCACTTATCTTCAGTTCTCAGTTACAGTGGCTTCATCATGTGGCAAAATGGCAGAGAAAACGTACGCCCAGGTGGTACCAGATTGATAACAGTAAAGCAAACAGATGGAAATACCCTGATAGAATTATGCCAAGGGAGGAGAGCCAGGTACCCACCCCTAAGGAAGGACAGACTGTGTCAGTCGGTGTTCATAACAAAACATGACTATTTCTGTTCAGTGACCAAATGGATTTGGCCACATCATTGCTAACAGTTCTTAGCAACTTGCCTCTTTGTCTTGATCCTTCGTGTGTAAAGTGGGAATCTGCACCCTTTG